CAAAATGGAACAATAAAGAGAGTGAAACTTTACTTTTATATATATGATTTTAAATAATTTTCCACCAATAAGCCTTATAAAATTTGTTGAATGATATATGATTAAATCCTTTCATTTTCTTTGCCATTTGATCATAACTTATAGTGTAATTAAATTTTGTATTGAATGATTGTCATAAACATTTATTTATTTATTTATTTTGTTGAATGATATATGATTAAGTCCTTTCATTTTCTTTGCCATTTGATTATAACTTATAGTGTAATTAAATTTTGTATTGAATGATTGTCATAAACATTAATTTATTTATTTATTTTGTTGAATGATATATGATTAAGTCTTTTCATTTTCTTTGCCATTTGACTATAACTTATAGTGTAATTAAATTTTGTATTGATTAATTGTCATAAACATTTATTTATTTATTTTTTTTAAAAAAAATAAAGCGTTAAATATTTTTCCACCAATAAGGAGAGAGTGAAACCTTACTTTTATATATATGATTTTCGGCGTGAGGGGCAATGAGTTTTTTTCGGCGTGAGGGGCAATGAGTTTATTTTTTATTAATAATTTGGAATTGTATTTTCTATTTCTTTTTATTTTCAAATCAATTTTATGTTTATTTTTATAAGTTTTCAAATTCAAAGTTATTTATTTAATTGTAAAAATTTTAAATATGTTTTATATTTTTATATTATTTTTAAGATTCTAGAGGTTCAATCAATAATCAACTCTATAATTTTAGTTCTTAACTTAACCTCTTACAATATTAATATAATTAAAAAACTCCTAAGCTACTTTTTCCCACGTATCCCCTTATTAAAGATGCTCTAAGGCCCATGGGCTAAATTTATAGTACTATTTAGTTAAAAATATATTTTCTTAACAACTAATGAACATTTTAATAGAATTAAAAAAAAGGGTGAGTTAAAATGGTGTACCTAGATAATTCAAAAACAAAAAGTTAGGAGTTCATAATGCAAAAATTAGTTCTCTCTCTTGTTTGGTGATGAAGTTACAAGGTTGTCCCTATTTGGTTTTGTGAAAAATAATTTTTTTTTTATCAACCCAAACAATATCCAGATAATGATGATTCGCTCTGACAATATCCAAGAAAATATTATACTGTTCATCGTTAATAGCATTCGATAACTTATTTTAAAACATGTTAAATAATCTTTTATCGCGATAATTTACATATTATCTGTTAAACTAATACTAAAATTATTCAGCCTTGATAAAATTCGATAGCACTGTTCATTAGTGATTAATAGCATTCGATAACTTATTTTTAAACATGTTAAATAATTTGTTATCGCGATAACTTACATATTATCTGTTAAATTAATATTTATTTTTATATAAATGAACAATTAAATATTTTTTTGACATTGTGCATCCAAAAAATTGTATCTTTCGCCTTCGATTACACTGTTTGGAAATACAATTTATCACCGAAAGCAATAAAAACTGGGATGTATGTGAATATTTATTTGATTAACAATGTAAATTATATTATATCGCGATAAGTTACAAGTTATGTGATAAAATTAAATTTATTAGGTTAAATCATGTAGTATATATCATATATAAATAATTGAGTTATATAAAAAATGTAATAAATATTATTATTTATAATAGTTACCTTATGCTTATTTTATCTTAGTAATTAATAATTATTGTTAGAGATATGTAAAACAAATTTATATAAAACAATAAATATAATTTATTATTGTATTATGTATCTAATATATTTTTCAATTTGTTAATTTATGTATTATACTTAAGATATAGATAATCATAACAATAACAAGTTATCAATATGTTTAACATATAAGTTATATATTATACCTTTTAAATATGAAGAACAGTAAGTTGGAGCAGCATATATGGCTGGAGCAGCAGCAGATCGTGTGAACAGTAGGTTGGTTTCACTGGCTGGAGCAGCATATATACAGTTTTTTTTTAATTTCTCAAAAACAAGATAAAGATTTTTATTATGATATTTCTTTTGCCGAAACAATGAAGTAGGTTTTTTGAGAAGTAGGTTTTTTTTGAGTGAGGGATAGGGCTAAAACTGTCTAGAAAAAAGTTAGCAAATTATTGAATTTAGGATGCTAGATACTTAATTAATTGGTCTTCTGACTCTATGAAGTGCAAATACCCTAAAAAAAAAACACTAATTTTACCAATATATCTTATAGTACAAAGATTATTGAAAGTAAAAGTGGATGAAACAAAAAGGATTAAAGTGATATTTAAGGAGATGCATAAGAAGAAAAAAAATGGATTAAACCATGATGGGATGATCAAATACAACACTTTAATTGATGGAATGCTTAGGGAAACTATTTTTTTTTGTTTGAAAAGATGCTTGTTGTTTTGTTAAAGGGGTGTCGACACAAATCCTTGAAGAACTCCACTGACGTCCTAAAAGATTTTTACAAAACCTCGAGGCTCCATCACAATATCAGTATCAATATCAACCATCATTACATTTTATATTTTTGTCCATGATTTATTTGTATGTCCTTCTAACCAATTTATTAGATGTTAATATTTTAGCCTCTTTCATTATTACTAAGAAGTAAGAACAAAATGACCATGTTAGTTTTAGATTCAAAATAAAGAAAGAAATAAAAAAGGTACTATAAAACACATCCCAAATTTACAAATTTTCCGGTACTTTTTGAAAGTTTTTTATGTTTCTTGTTTACTTTGAGACAAAAAAAAAAACCGTAAAACATTTTGTAGAAAAAGGTTCATTTTGATCCAAATTTACAACATTTTCCACACAATTATTGTAATCCTCTGGAAAATATGTAAAATAGAGCTACTATAATTGCAATTTTAAATGAAAAGAGAGATAGAGAAGTGTCGATGTCATGAAGGTGATACTACTACCACCGAACTTGAACGAAACATCGGAAATCACCGGACGAAGAACAAGTTTCAAGCGGTTGAAACTTTTGTCTTTTTTTTTTTTTCAATGTTTTGCTTGTAACTGTCTTTCACTTCTTTTACCCTTCTGCTTTGTTATCTTTGTTATCTTTAATTATGTGCGTGTCCTAAAGGATTCTAAACCATATTCATAACCAAAATAAATAAATAATGTTTAAGTTAAGAAACTGTGAAATTTTTTTTATTTTACGACAAGTCCAATGGTAAGTAGCCCTGTAGCGAGCTAGGGTTTATTTCTATAGAATCAGCCTTGAGTATATAGCTACCGAATAAGGAGAGAGAAGGTGACCATCGTTTGGACAAGATGAAGATTCTCATGGCTAATTCGGTCGGAACAAAAGAGAGGATTTGGTGGAGAATCACATCAGGGTCAACTCTCTCCTTGTAAGTGAAGGAGATGCACTCAGACAAGTAACAAAATCACACTTTCCAAATAATTCATAATCGCATAGCCTAAAGAATTAAACTAAGTTGTTTCACTAGTGCATGCACGAGGCATGGGAGAAGTAGTACTTCAGTTACACATAAATAAAAAAACAAATTTCTTAATACCAAACTAATATCATCCAAAGCATTGATCATTAGCTTACCAAAGAACAAGCCCAAGTTCTGATGGCTTCAATGCACTTCCCAAACGGTAATTATAGAGATAGTAGTGAAGCAGAGCATCATCTCCTGGACCAAACTTCAACTCTTTCAAGAAACTCTCATTGTGCATCACATCCAACGCGTAGAAAATATCAAAACCTTTTTGCTTAGAGACGATTAGCACATCATTCATCAGCAGAGGTAACGAAGTCTTTGTCACGACATTGTAGTAAGAATAAGCACATTCAACTGTTGCATATTTCGGGTTGCTGAGGATAGTTAAAGGAACAGTGTAGAAGCTGCACAAGTCAGTAATCATGCCATGAGTTTCTACCAAGTAACTGTGGACGACATCTTTCCTCGGGAGAAGCCAGTGCTGGACATCCGTTTCGTCAAAGTCAGTAGCAACTCCAAACTGGCAAAGGTAGTTCCTGAGCAACAACGTAACAGCAGGAACATCACGTCGCTCCATTTCCCTAAATCCAGGAGTGATGGGTGCGTCTGGTAATTTGTAGAGTTTGATGGTCATGTTCATTGTCATTCTTTCACGAAGCGTTGCAAAGCCAACATCAATAAGCTTCCTCGGGTTCAACATTCTGACCCAGTATTGACAGGTGGTGACTGGTGTAGGAAGTACATCAAGTGAGGTATAAGCGGCTTGCCATATATTCTGCAAGTGAACCCTTCTAGTCAACTCCTTGATCATGACAGGAGCAAGCCCCTTAGACCTCAGCTTCTTCTTGTGAATACACAAGAAACTGACCTTTGCCATGTTAATAACCTCATCACGCACCCTGATTCTTGCTGGCACGCCACTGATGAAAGCAACGAGTTTCTTCGTGGTCTTGACACGGACTCCAACATGCCAGTTCTGGTAATAACCAGGTGGACACAATGCCCACCTTAGAAACTCCCTCGAGTAATTAACCTTGAAAGTGTATCCATCGTCCGGATAGTTTTCTTTGAGAAAGTTGTAAACCTCTGAACACGTATCATCAGATTCCATATCACATGTGCTCCATTCGAATTGACCAAGAAGCTTGTACGGCTCTTGCTTGACCTCAGATAACGGAGCTGCGGGGTCAATTGGGCCTTGAGACAAACTCGTGTTTCCGATATCCTTAAACTGCCCAACAGGTTCATTCTCCCAGAACTTGTGCGTCTTTGAGTATTGTAACCTTCCAACTAAAGTATCGTTGTCCTTGGCTAATGGGTTTGCTTCTTCAACGATTTGGTCTGCTTTCCTTTCTTTAGAGTTAGGCTGAGATTTTGACATGTCTTCAGTCTGCATTGTTAAGCTCTTCCTGTCCTCAGATCCATTTGCAGGGTTTCACATTAACGGCTCCATCTACACGAAACAAAGAGATAAAGTAAATGGCTACAGGCGTTTTAGGGTTTCTCGAGTTATCACAGAATTATAAAGCCAAATGTAACGTCATTTTGTTCACTTTAACGTTTAATAGGCCGAAATCTGTTTATTGGGCCTGTAACACAGTCCATTCAATCACTCAATAGGGAAATCAAGATATCTTCGTTAGATTGATTATTCTAATTACACATATTCAATGATTGATTATCAAGATAAATGCGAAAAGCTTTTACTAAAATCTACACAATTAAAAATGAGAATTATGTAAAATTTCCAAAAACTAAACACTCTGTCTCGGCTTAGTTAATGAGCTAATTAGCACAATGGAGACACTATTGTATATTCGAGAAAGGATTGGAATTTGGAACCATCTCAAGCAAATTTGGTTTACAGAGACGCCATTTGTTCAAGTGTTTAAAAATTATGCCCCAAAAATATATTAGTGGGTTTTAAAAGCCCATTATACATTAAACAAACCCAAATACAGTAAAATTGTCCAGAGGTAGTGTAGCTTTCTAAGTGAACCCAATAAAGTGTAAAAATTGTATGAATATATATATATATATTTTAAAAATTGGGGTGAGACAGTTAATAACGTGTAAATTTGCCAATTAAACCATATAGAAGAATAGACTCACTTTGCAAAGAAAGAGTGGTTGGGTTATTTGTTTGTTGTTGCACATATTATTAACCAAGGCACACGTGTGGGTAGAGGTAAACATGCGTGCGTGGAAAAGTTCAACATTCTATAACCAGAGTAGTATATGATGAACATTGGATCTCTCTTGATTTGTAAATAGAGAGTTCTCACTTTTCACAAATGCAGTCTTCTAATACTATACTAATCTCCTTCCCCAAGTTTTTATCTTTAACCCACATTTATTACCTTTTCATAGTATATAGAGTAATAGTAATGAATTTCGTTTACAGTTTTCGTACTATTATCTTTTTATTACTCAATATACCAATCAATATCATCCAATGAAATCTAGAGTAAGTACAAAATATTCATAAATCCTTTAATATCCACTTGTTATAACCAAAAAAAAAATCGTGTAGTGGTGTTGTTTACATGAGTACTAAAAGACTGGGTCATCGTTTTACCCAACCATGCTTTTCCTCTACAACCCATATATTACTTTCGCCGACCGACCAAAGAGATAATGTAAAAGATGATAACCTTTTTCACAGTTGATTTTTTTTTAAAATATATTTTATATACAGAAAGATAAAAAAATTAGACATGAAAGTACAACATGAAAGAACAAATTAAAAAAGGTTTTCTTTGAGATGAAAAAAGTATAAATGGTACATTTTTTTGCTATATCTCGTTTATATTGTTATTCTTCATTCAAAATATTTTCTTTTATACTTATAAATGATCTGACACAGTGGCACGATATAGCCTAATAGGAACAGTTGTTTTAACAGTAGAGGGAGGCAAAAATTAACATTTTACCTGGCCATCAAGTCACTCACTCAGTCACAATTTCGTTGTTTGTTTGTTTTTTATTACTGGAACAACTACATTGACAAAACTACCCTTCTTTCATCACGTGGCTTGTTGGAAGAGAGATTACCTATTTATGACGTTTCAATATTTGATTTTTTATTTAAAATTCTTTTTTCCTTCCCTTATCAATATCATCCCTTTGATAAAAACCGTGTTGTTGTTAACAGTCAGTTCGCTAATAAAAAGTACATAAATGCAAAAGCAAAAAAAAAGAAGGACATAAATGCAAAAGCAAAAAAAAAGAAAAACGAAAATAACAGAAAGCACGTGCAGACACGCGCCGTTGTCTCCTGTGTTAAAAAACAAAAAAGGTGAGAGAATATAATCCCAACGGAATCAGGTGATGAGATCCTCTCTCTCTTTTTACCACTTCCCATTCCCAAATCAATTCTCTCTCTCTCTCTCTTTGTATTTTCGAATTTTAAATTTCGCCAAGTTTCACTAATTTCATCTCTAGTTATTTCTCACAACAAATACTAATTTGCAAGTTTTTTTTTTTTTTTTTTTGACTAATTTGCAAGTTAAACAAAAAAAAATAAAGTAACGAAAATTGAAAGAATTTTAATATTTGCTTCAAATATTCTATTTATATAGAAAAACCAGAGGAAGTTTAATTCTAACTATATAAAAAAGTACATACCAACTGTATGATATATATATATATATATATATATATATATATCCCTATGCCACATAACAGTAAAGTACAAAGGAAAGAAACAAAATTCTAAATAACAAATTTTTTTTTTTTCAAAAAACAACAATAAATAGCTTTCCAAATTCATTATATACAAAACCTCTCTCTCCCCCAATTTCATGAAAATGCTAATTATGTGCACAACTCCAACACCAACGCCAACAAACTACTACTACTACTGCGCCAATACACTGACACTCACACACACACACAAAATAACACTGAAATTTTACTGACACAATAATTCCAATTTTTATGTTCATCAATAACCAAAATTCAAATTTTTTTTATATAACCTCTTGAAGAAGAAGAAGAAAAAAAATTGTCATTGGTACGCAGAAGAAGTTAAAAAGATTTGAGGGAATTAAAATTAGAAGACTGTACACAATGAGAATGAAAGAGATGATGATTTGAGAAAAAAACCCTAAACTTTTTGATACTCTTTCTGTCTGTGACAAAAACTCACAGTACTAGTACGTGTAACTTTAGCATTGTCTCTTCTTCTTCTTCGTCTCTTTCTTTCTTTCTTTCTATGGCTTCAGACTAACCCACTGGTACCGACCTTCAAGCGGCGTATCGTTAACGATGTCGTAGTTGTACCTATTTTAGTGTATTTACATATACAACACACACGTTTTATTTTCAAAGTACACTTTTTGTTATCATGCGCCTGAGTTTTATTAATAAATATCAAAAAGATTAAACTCACTTTTCTGTGAATCGTTTCTGGTCGAATCTCTCCGCCGCCGAGAAAAAATCGTCAATCTCCGCCTGCGTCGGTGATTTTCCCATCTTCTTCGTCTTCATCTCCGCCTTTCTCTGTTCCCTCCTCTCCGTCGTAGTTGCCGAGTCCATTTCAGCTGTTTCTCCCTGATTCTCGCTTACCGGACTTCCCTGTTTTCTGTAAATGACCACAGACACACACATAAAATGAACTCGAGAGAGATTATGAATTTATAGAAGAAACAATGAAGAAACTGAAACAAATCTTTGAAACGTTATGTTTAGTATTTAACCTGAAATTGTTGGTGATTAACGTTGAGGTTTCGGTTTCGGTTTCGGAGATTTTTTGAGCCTGAAACGGAAACAATCAATTACTCTTTAATTCTTCGTTAAATCCCCAAAAAAAAAAAAAACGTAATCAGATCCTTTTCAGAGCATTTATGATGAACCAGACGAAAAAAAAAAAAATTTGAACAGAGAGAAATTCAAAATTTGTGGAATCGAGTTTTTGAAATTTCACCTCCAGATCTAAACATGGAAGACGAGTGTTTGCAGCGATTTCGTTAGTTTCACTGCTGGTACAACCGGAGCTGATGCTTGAGCTTTGGTGATCGTCTTCTTCGGATAAAGCGGCGGAGCAGAAATTTCCGGAATCTGAAACCGAGTAAGCTAGAGAAGAAGAGGAAGAAGAAGAAAGAGTTCTCGTCGGTGAGCGTAGAACGTCTTCGTCATCGTCGTCGAGTCTTATCCTCTTGATGTTTGATCCTTCGAAGTCAGAGTTTCTCTTGAATACCAACGATTTTGTCTCGCTCATCTCTCTCAAACTCATTTTTCGTTGTCTCTCTCTCTGGAGAATTTGGGGTTTCTCTCTGGTTAGTTTAAAAAAGGGAATAAAACAGAGGAGGAAGGGTTTTGGGTATTTGGGGGAGAGAAAAGAGGGAGGAAGATGAAGGATCTAGAGCCGTTGATTAATTCAACGGATCAGATTTAATATATTGGGCCTTGGCTATAGCGGATGGGGCCGTTGACGGGAGAAGCAGGTAACGGCGCCGTTACGGAGCTTCGTTTTTTCTTTTCCAGCGTAAACGCCGTCGGGATTCGAAACGGCGCGTCTTTTTTGCCGTTTTTAGCTTCCTTTTAAAGCAACTTCTGAAAGCCTCAAAACGTCCACGTTTTGTTTTTTTTTGTTTTTCATCTTTTAAGTTTTACCATCTTGATACGTAATTAATTGTATAATACACACTAGAAAAATATAAAATTAGACCAAAAAAAATCACTAACGAAAATATAATCTCTATGAAATAAATAAAAAATATCATTTATGGTGATGATTAGAGTCTGTATCCTAATTATAGTTAGTGATTAAAACCGTCAGGTGAACCTAAAGGATTCACGTTCTTACGAGTAGTAGTAGTACCACTTTGAAGACAGAACTATAAATACATATCAATTAATTAACTTAAAATAAAACAGTAGTGTTATATTAAATGACAACAAAACAAAAAATATTAAATTCCATCTTTAAAAATCAAGGCTCTTACACGAATTCTCTACTACATGTCCAAAAATGGGTTATGAATTTACACTTTTTTATTTATTTCTGATACAATTGGACCATTTTGGATTTTTTGGCAGTGAAAATTATTGGCAATAATTGACCGTTACTAAATAATTTTGCTTACAAGCATTTACTTTCGATCAAAATAAATTTGTATATTTTGCTGTTTATAATTTTCAATTTTCATATGTTCACAATCGAAAATAAGAAACCTTACTAGTTAGTCATCTTTGATCGTCCGATGATTCTTCTTCTTCTTCTTCCTCCTCTTACTTTTAAAATGAAAGATTTGATAAAAATAAACTCATTATTTTTTTGAGTTTTGGTAATAAAATGTAACGTAGAGATTCTTGATATGGCAATGCCCTAAAATGGTAATAGTTACAATATCAGTTCGGAATGTGTAAGACCTAATCCAAAAACAGAACACATGAAGCATGAGGAAACATTAGAAAGGATGAATGTAACAAGATCAGGAGTTAGACACATGATGAGTAATAGATGCATCTTTTAGATGATTAAGAGCTATTCGTTTTAACAAGCACATGCACTGTTCGAGTCCTCCAGCCAATGATGAAGACAATGAAGCCTATGTCTTATCTAGTTCATCATTTTCAATGAATCAAACAAGACTGGTTTTGAAACCTAAAAGGTACACGAAAATCCTCGAGAACTTGTACTGACTGATGCGAACATAGAATATAAACAGAACTAGGAAAAAAAAAAGTAACGACTCGAATGGAAAATTACAGTAGCTAAAGCCTGTGTGTTTAAAGGTAAAATCGCTTCATTTCAGCTGTGATAAATTCATGATGTTGGCAAATAAGAATAACTATGTAAACACAGTGACATAAGACCTAAAACTAGTGTTGAGCCTAGAGATTTGATGTGCCGTTCCGTAAACCTAAGAAGATTCCTTCATTGTGCTAAGCTACTTTTTAAGAGGGTCTCAGACTCACAGACCTTTCTTCACTTCAAAAAAGTTTGGACGTTCTTTGTTTGCTGCATCGATGTCTTCTTGTGATGCCACAGCCACTGTAACACCTTTATCTCTAACCGAGTCAATTGCCTCTGCAAATTCTTTGAAGTCCTTCAAACTGCGAGATCAAAAAGAAAGCTACTTTATAATCTGTTTGAGACTAACTATGGTGAGGAATTGGAACTCGCTATTTAATAATAATCAAAAAAGTCGTTAAAATCCTAACCCTAAGAAACTCGGATCAAAACACGGTCCCAAAGATCCATATACTACACTGCCACAAGATATCCGCAATGCAGAAAGTGCAAAAGATGTTTGAATTGATATATATGCACGTCAAAGCAAGAACGAGAGAACAGTGTTAACCTTGTTGATAGTATCTCTTCACGCCTTATTTGCCTCTCTTCGTCGGTTACATTAAGTAAATGCCTCAACAAACTGGGGATAGAGATAGGAAATTAAATTCAGAATCCATTACATTCCTTGAGAAAGACCCACCAACGACCAGAAAAACGCAGAAATAAACATCATACCTGGTATAACCTTTGGCATCGGGGAGTTGGTATGAATCTACATCACCAATTGTCCCAATAATTGCTTTAGTCAGGGTGTCTTCATCGACATCGAGACCACGTAAGAAATCCCCAGTTCCATCATATATGTCTAGAGTCTTTAATAGGTTGGGATCACGGTAAGATAAGAATGAAAATGTTCCTGCACAAGAGAAAATCCAAAGGTCAGGTCTGAAGGAGAACATGTCAGCATGACGAAAACACTCTCCAATCAATGAAAAGGAAGCACTTTTACCTGAATGTGAATCGAAATCACAGAAACCTCCATATGCACCACCACTTACACGAACACGATCCCATAACCATGTGTTACCAATATGCTTTGATATAACATAGGAGCTCCCATCAAGCTCATAGCCACTGCTGTATATATTACCTGCTTTTCCCACATAATTCACCTGTCGAAAGGGCATGAATAAATTTGTGATATAATCAAGGTTGGGAGATGAGAAATACACACCCAAGTACACAGATATACATCAGGGTTTTCAGTTTGTTTACCTGGGTTGGTATTACTATAGCTTCATTCCTCAAAGGTAGTCGTGCATCCCAAGTGACGAGTCCACCAGACGTATTTTCAGGGAGTGAATCAAGAAATTTTCCTACAAACTTTTCTGTGTTAGTAAGGGACTTTCCATCAGCTGTCATATTAACTATGCAACCATTCCTGGAAAGGAAAGATCTTCTGATTTCCTCAAGTGACGATGAAATTCCTTCCCAGTCTTGATCCACCTTCTGTTCAAGAGTATGTAGATATTCAAGGTAACTACAAAGAGAAAAGCAAAATCTCTATCAGGCTCTCTACAAGTATCAAACTAAAAATGTGAAAAGTATCTTATCGCTAAATGGGATAGATAAGAAAGAAATATAAAATATGTAGAGCACATAGGATGAAATTCTATTTGGCTCATTTGTCAACAATAAAGTTTCTTCTCCCACAGCCAGGTTTCAATCAAATCAAGATGCTACACATATGATGAGAACTAGCACTTTTAAAAAAGAGTTATCAAGTTCCGACCTGAGACCACCCATCTGTTCAGACATCCATCCAGCAACGTTCAACATTGCTTCCATCCTCGCAGCAGCAATTGCTTGACCACTTCCCCTCAATTGGTTCTGAAATGAACACAAGTTGGTGTTATATTACCATCGTGTTCTATTTATTATCTAAAAGGAAGAAAGAACTGCATACCTCCATTCCAGCTCTACTCTGAGAGACGAATTGTTTAAAGCGCTGTTGATCTGTAAATCGAACCTCTTGCAACACACAGTTCATCTGCAGCAAACGGAATGAAACACAAGTACTTAACTACAACTTCTTTTGGACATCAACTAGAATTTCAAGAATCGCATGGTTCTTCGATCAAACTACAGCTACATTATCTTCTACTTTAAACTCAAGAGTAAGGATTTTTTTTTTCCTGAATAGGCACATACTCTAAAATTAACAGAATCAGTTTTCAAGTAGCAAGTACTAGTCTAGTCTACCTCTAACTCCCCCGTGAACACGCAGAAATAGTATCAGACACTGCTCACCAAATGGGACGAGAAGGAGAGATAAAAAGTGATCAAGAGACAGGAGGGATACAAAGACACAAATCAAAGAAACAGATTTTGTTTTCTGATAAAGAGATGGACATACAAGTTATCAAAAAGATGTAGCAACGGGTTAGAGGTCATGAGGCAAAAGGTTAAATTTGTATTCTGTATTTCTGTTTCAGGGCCCAAGAAAACGGAAACTGATTTATCAGCCACAAAACTCTACATTAACTATCCTAACATATGCAAATCTCCAGCTACATGTGATAAGTTAAAGATGTTAAAGCAAATTACCAGGTTAAAAAGGTCTTCAGCGCGTCCAACCATGGATTTTCCACGCACAATGATTTTGCTACATGGATCATCCCTACCCCACACAGAGGATGTAAGGGGATAAACTGATATCCCTCCAGTTTTCCTTCCAATCAACTGATTAAGTTGTACAAAGGTCAAGTCTTTCGTGCCCATCTCTAGCAATGATTGACTGTCAAGACAGGAATATATAGGAATTAAAAATTACAAACTTAGCATAGGGTATCTCATTGAGTTATACTGAAAGAAATTATTGCGAAAAGGATATACTCTGATAAACTACAACTAGAACAACCATCAGTCAAACTTATGGGAGATTAAAAATGTGATCAAGAGACAGGAGGGATACAAAGACACGAATCAAAGAAACAGATTTTGTTTTCTGATAAAGAGATGGACATACAAGTTATCAAAAAGATGTAGCAAAAAGAGGGTGATACAAGAAGAAAATTTGCAATGAAGCTACTAAGAAACTGACACTAAAATTAGAAACAAACGTTAGTAGGAGAACAAAATATCAAAAATTGACCTTGATACTGCTATCACTAAAATGCAACCAAGAATCGCATAACTAACCATGACACTAGAGTAGAAGCCCGAAGGCTTGGAAGCTGCCTTTTGCACATAATTTCAACTGAGCATTGTTGAGAGTACTAAAGTAAAAAACAAGAATAGTAAAATAGATATGGAGACTGTCTCGGACATAAACCAAGCAACATGTCATTCTAAAGGTTTAGAACTACATCAGGCATCCAAATTCCAAAAGAGTAATTTGTTTAGAGAGTCAATCTAGCGAACAGAGGTTGCTTGGGATTATTTTTTTAGTAATATTTCACCATTTGCATTTCTGGAAAAAATTAGGAGAAAAACCCAAAAGCAGAACATAAAGCCTAAAGGTTAAAACGAAGATGTAGAAGGCAACAAGTTACCAGAATAGGGGTATCAGTGGAAGAAGTTCATGCTTTAGTGATCCCATATCAAAGACTACTTCCGTGTAGAGTATATCATTTGTAAAGAGATCATGTCGCAAAACCTTCACACCATTGATATCTCCAACCTATAAAGCACCATATCAGCATCCAGCAGAAAAATTGTCAGGAATCCAACAATTGCAGAGCGCTAATAAAATGATCACCTCAGAGGGAACATATATAGGTTCTTTTGGAATGTCACTCAAGTTTAAACTTGGAACGCATTTCAGTGCTTCAGGAGGGTCAGGAGTCTCTTGCTTCAAAGTCAACTCCTCTGTAGCACGGGATAGCTCTGCAAGATCTTCTTCTGTCATACTTGCTTTAACTTTTTCTAGAATCTCTTTCTCCTCCGCTTCCTCTTGAGAAGCTTTTTCTGGATCAGGCTGAAGAAACGTGTTTTTGGGATAGAATTATAGAAATATTAGAAAGCAATGAGAAACTCGGAAAAGAAAACTACCTGCATCTCGATAGTAACACAATGAGGGTTCTTCAAAATAAACTTCTCTATCAGTGGAGAAAAGACAGCCTTGGATCCTTTTTCAGCTATTCTAGCTTTCAGGGACTTCAATGGTTCCTCATACTTTAATGGTGTAAAAGGATCCATGTCGTATATCCATTTCGCCTAAGCATCCAACACTAAAATAAGAAACAAAACTGTACTAGATAAGGAAAAAATAAGAAAAATGTAGATAAACTCACAATTGATTGGAGCATAAGTGATAAACCACGAGGGAACGATCCTGTATTGTTTTCTCTCAGAGAAAACTCAATGGTATTCATGGATGCCTCAACAGCATCAGTATCAAACCCCTCATCTGCCAACTTTCTCAGAGTGTTCATTATCAACTCTTCAACCTTCTGGACATTCTCATCGGAAATACCTTTCAAACCAATACTGAATTGGGGCTGGAGAAGTTCATCTTCCATCCCGCTATTAACAAGAGCTTCTCCTAAACCACTTTCCAGTAAGATTTTTCTTAATGGGGAAGCAGGAGTCCCAAGCATTAGATGATCCAAAAACCCAAGTGCGAGTTGAGTTTGTAAGTCCAGTGGCTTGTCAGAGAGCAGCCAGTTAAGGCACACCATATGCTTCTTCTTAAGGTCCCCATCTTCACCAGCAGGGTATTTTTCAACAATCCTGCGAGGTCCAGAGAATAGCTTTTGTGGTTCAACCTTTGAGCTATCTCGAGCTGGACTTGCATTAAACATGTCCAAGTATTCTGCGCAAATTAGTAAAAGTAGTCTCAAAATCTGTAAATAATAACACAATGGCGAGCATAAATTAAGAAGAGGTTAACTCCTTAAAATGTAATATAGGATATGACTCTTTACCACTCAAGATGCGGAGGCGGTGAACTGGATCATCATCTCCATAGAACCATATCCTGGCATTGCTTGGGTGATAATACTGACGGTGGAACTCCTGGGATTATCACCACATGAAGAATAATATATTATGCATCAGAAATCATACATATCATTACACTTCTGTTGCAGTATAATATCATATTACTTCAACATATAACTGTATCACATGAGGTGCTTAACAAACCTTAAATTCCTCGAACGTAAGCTTCGGGATATCTTTTGGATCACCTCCACTGTCAACACCATATGTATTTTCTGGAGATAAGGCCTATTAAAAGAAAATAGAAGAACAAGTAAAGGATTCCATAAGAACCGCTGTACCAAAAAATAATGAAAACAGATTATCTAACAGGGAATTTAGGAACATATCTTGAAGTGATGGGCAGTGTAAGAAATCAACAAAATAATAAATACAGATGCGCACATGCAAAGATAAATATATATAAACAGCACACACATTTAATCAGGTAAGCTATAAAACATCGAAAAGTAACAAAGCTCACTAATTTATACATTACACATCCACTCAAACCTTTACAGAAATTCACTTTTAGTAAGGGATTGCAATAAGAAATTGTTTAAGAAAATGAAGGACCAATCAAAACTTGCCTGTTGAGTTATCCGCCCTAGTATATTATCAGGCTGTGAATACACACCTTTCATCTCATTAAAAACAACGCCTGATATGTAAAAAATTAACAAAGAGACAGGGAGAGCAAGTTAATACAAAACAAGGTATAGAAAAAAAGCTTTAAAACTAGGCATCTGTAACCAATAGAACCTTTATATGATATGTCTTCTGAAGGATCGTTAAGTTCATAGTGCCAGCCCTCCTGCTGAAAGGTGTGAACGTCATCCACACACTTGGGGAAGAACACAGCGTCCAAGTATACATCAACAAGATTGTAGAAATCCTAGCATAGATAGTGATGAGATGTGATCAGACCAAACTTGAATATATGTACGCATGGCACAAAGATAGAGCAAGAAAGGAGTATTTATGCATTATTACCTTTGTATTTGTTGAAGCAACTGGGTAGCAAGTCCTATCAGGATATGTGAATGCATTCAAGAAGGTATGCAAACTTCCCTTTAGTAATTCCACAAATGGCTCTTTCAGAGGGTACTTTCTTGACCCACATAATACGCTATGTTCCAGTATGTGAGGAATTCCAGTAGAATCTTTCCTGCATCAAGAACCAAACTATTATCTAAACCACTTACAGCCTCTCTTAATTAAACTGAAGAATTACAAGTAGCTTGTAAAGACAATTCCAACTGAAAGAGTAAAAACTATTCAACATTTGGCTAACGTGATATGTTAGGATATAATGAAACCGGTAATAAATTAACCACTTGATCTCAGATTCTCAGAACACTTCATGAGCACCAACAAAGACGAGGGAATTAAATGACTTACACAAAGCCCTCTAGGATTAAGTACTTAAACTACAACCTGAGGTGATTACTAATCAATTTGACCGTTTTGCACTAGCTAACATTACAAGAATGAAGCCTCAGATTACAATATCTTACACAACGTTACGAAATCAACTAGATCAATACAAGGACTGAACAGAACCTATAAGTCACATATACTAAAGATAAATTAGCAGGAAAAAATCACTTACGGAGGAGTTCTGAAAACAATGCCAAACACCTTATTCTCATCATCGTTTGAAACAGAGATCACCTCGCAACCAGTTTTCTTGTGTTTGAAGAGAACAGCCTTAGATTTACACTCTGAGATAAACTCTTCCGATACTTTCTCAAATCCCAGCTTCTCAGCCTCATCTTGACCTACATTGGACAAGAGAAAGTCCACTCATCAGAATGGTGTACAAATGAACACTGTTTAAACAGAAATATAAATCAAGTATACAGGAAAAGATTCACATCTATCCTAAATTTGAGAAAAATTTCTGGATGTTCTAAATTTCATATGGTGTCACTGTAAGTCTATAATCATATAAATCAACTAAAGACAACGATCACCAACAAGAAACACTTTGAATCTAACTACACGGACACTATCATAATTTGAAATCTCTACAGATAAAAATAAAAAGAGAACAGTATCAAATCTAGCTACAGAGTTTGATAATCTCACCGGGATAAGAAGGTGCGGGTTGTGTAGCGACGGCGCGAATGGAAAAGCGAGAGAACTGCCCATTGAGACTGCGACTCGCGGCGGAGCGAAGATTAAATCCACGGCGGGTAAATAACCGTCTCCCAGCAGCTTCTGGAGTAGAAAGCCGGCGAATGTTGCGGCTGACGGCGGTCGTCGAAGATGAGAACGACGAGCAAGAACGAGGGTACTTGTGGAAAAAGCGGAAGAAGAGAGAGGTCGAGCCAAGAGACGAGGTACAATTTACTGATCGGAGCATAGCTGCCGGAATATCTTCTCCGCCGAGGGGTTTTACTGAAGGTGTTTTCTCCGTGACCGAATTAATATGTTGTCAACAAAATAGCTTAAAGCGGTTCGGTTCGTAAAATTTAACCAGATAGAACTAAACCGATTAATTGAACGCGTGAATTTAAAATTTGTTTACCTTTTCATGGATGATGAAATGTTTTAACTAAATTTGAAATGTCCGCATTTATACGATTGATTTTTTAGAACATAGTTTGGACTTTTAGATACACAAATCCACGAAAATAATTTAACACAATTATATTAAACTTTTCTTTATGAAGTTTTTGTTTAGTGTTAACGTTTTATTATCCTGTTATAAACTCCACAAAGGTCTTCATCATTTTGGAAGCATTTTGAGAATTAGGGTTATGGAGATGGAAGCAGTGTCCTTCCTCTTCATCTTCCACCACTTCCATCACACCTTGCCACCCACTCTTCTCCAGCTTCGCCGCGTAAGCCAACCCTTGCCGCCAAAACACATCTTTACCAGCCACCGCAACCAAAACCTTCTCACATCCCAATCTTGATAAATCCGACCCGGATCCAACAACATTAAACAAAGGATCATTCACTCCATCCACACTATTAGGGCTCACGATCTTTTCCCAAATATACGTGACTCTACTTCTGACTTCTCTGTCTTGCACGTCATGCTCGTCGATTGGATCTTTCCCCCAAAAGCCTGGATGCACCATAACTATCCCTTTGATTCTATAGCTTAGCTTCTCTTTAGCAGCTCTTATTCCCATATGATGTGATATATTGGCTCCTGCGCTATCTCCTGCGATGAAAACTCTGTTGAAATCTGCGTATTCGTTAATCCAATCATCAGAATGAGCAGCAAAGATCCACTGAACCGCGGACCAAGAATCATCGTAAGCTGCGGGAACCGGATGCTCCGGGGCAAGACGGTATTGAACCGATACGGCGAGGCAGTTAGCGGTTTTAACAACCTCCGTGAGGTAGTTATGGTAAACCGGAGAGAAAGGAGAGTGAGTGATGTAAGCTCCGCCGTGGAAGTAGATAAGTAGAGGTAGTTTGTTACCCTCCCTGACGAGTTTTGTGGATTTATGAGGGAGAAACATACGAACAGAGAGATTGTGCTCCGGGGAGTATACGAGATCTTTTGAAACTACGTCGTTTTTCGGGTTTAAAGACGCCGGGATGATGTCGTTGCCGCCAAGTCGCTCGACACGGCCATTCTTGTGAGTTCGGATGAACGGTAGATGATGATCTGTGGTGTGATCAGATTCCATCTTCGTTTTTTTTTTTGTTAAAGAAAACAGAGTGAAATGTCGTTTGTATGAGATTTTAATTATAAGTTAGATCAAAATGATGAACCCTAACTTTCAGAGAGTTGAAATTGTCTAGATTCTATCATTATCATTTCTAAGTGTCATTTTGTTAGTAAGTGTTACGTATGCTAACAAATCAGTAGTTTCTTTTAGTAAAATGATAAAATCACAGGTTGCTTGACTTATATTGCTTTCCATTTTTGGACTAAGCACCGAACCAATCGTGTAGACCAAAAGGTCCAAAACACCTGTCATTGTAAAATGTATCTACACATTGTTTACCTTTACATAAATCTCTTCTGTATTTTATACATGTATGAACCCGTCATATGATGACATATAGATATCTCGTATTCGACATATACTAAATACTATTATATGTTTAGAGAGAAAATGCAAGATATCTAACATCGCTATGACTACTTTTTTTTAATTTTTGGGCTCACATAGTTGGTCGAGAGAAACTAAGAAGTTGAAAGATACACTTATCAAGGTTGTGGTAACACATTGACACACGAGACCACTAATGACTAGTGGTCACCACGGCCACGATTACCACTAATTGTCCACCGACAAAAAACCTCAACATCTCTTGGACCTTTTGTGTTACTTATTTTGCTATGGAGAAGAAAAAAAAAGAGACAAAAGGACCACAAGTCTCATTCATCTATTTGATTTCTTGAACCTAAAATCAGATTACCAAAACAAAACACAAAGAAGACATAAAAATGTATTCACATCACACTTTGACGACAGAACAATAAAAAGAACAGTTTTAGAGATTCATTAACCGGAGATAAACTCCACAAACTTCTTCATGAACTTGGGAGTATTTTCAGAACTAGGGTTTAAGAGATGGAAGCAATGATCTTCACCTTCTTCCTCCATAACCTCCACCGTTCCTTGCCACCCACTCTTCTTCAGCTTCCCCGCGTAAGCTAATCCTTGTCTAACAAACACATCTTTCCCAGCCACCGCAACCAAAACCTTGTCACATCCCATCCCGGAAAAATCCGACCCGGATCCAACCACATTAAACCACGGATCATTCACTCCATCAACACTATTCGGACTCGCAATTTTTTCCCAAACCTCAGCAACTCCGCTTCTGATCTCTCTGTCTTGCACATCTTGTTCATCGACAGGATCTTTTCCCCAAAAAGCTGGATGAACTATCACAGTCCCTTTGATTCTTGGCTTAAGGTTCTCTTTACCTGCTCTCATTGCCATGTGATGCGATATATTACCGCCGGCGCTATCTCCGGCGAGGTAAACTCTGTCGAAATCGGCGTATTTGTTAATCCAATCTTCTTGACCAGACCCATTGGAATGTGAGGCAATCCACTGAATCGCGGACCATGCATCCTCATACGCCGCTGGAACCGGATCCTCCGGCGCACGGCGGTATTGAACAGATACGGCGAGGCAGTTAGCGGATTTGACGACCTCGGTGAGGAAATTGTGGTAGATTGGGGAGAAAGGTGACTCTATGATCCAAGCTCCGCCGTGGAAGTAGATAAGTAGAGGGAGTTTGCTACTGGCGGAGAGTTGTGTGGTTTTGTGAGGGAGGAAGAGACGAGCGGAGAGGTTACGCTCCGGCGAGTAGACAACGTCTTTTGAAACGACGTCGTTTTGTGGGTTTAGAGAAGCCGGGACGGTTTCGGTGCCGGCGAGACGCTCGATACGACCGTCTTTGTAAACCCGGATGAACGGAGGATGCTCGGAGATTATTTCAGAGGAAGAGTGTGAACAGATACAACGAAGAGTGGTTGGAGTTGATAACCTACTAAAGTTGCGGCCGGAGAAAGCGATTGTTGTCGGTGATGTGTAAGAGCGAGGGATCTGACGAAATAAGCGGAAGAAGAGAGTTTGTGAAGCCAATGAAGAGGAGGAACAAGCGATTCGTCGGAGCATGGTTACCGAAGTCTTTTATCCGGCGAAGATTGATAGCTAGAGAAAGATGTACTTTCTGGATAAGGAATTCATGAAAATAAGTAACCGACCCGGTTTAAGTTTTTGATTGAATGTGTTTTTTTTTTCCTAATTGACTAATTTTGTTGGCACATTCATCTGAGATATGTTTTGTCTTGTTGTGTTCTGTCATGAAGGGTAGGTATTCTTAGACGTCATGTCACATTGTCAATGGAGTTGAGGAATAGAATCGGACCATAGTCTCTACATTACATCAAAAACTTTATTTATATGATTTTCTCCATGTCATCAACAAATTACCAATATTTTATTACATGAAAACATAAGGATTACATAACCAAAATCAAATTAAAAAAAGAAACAAATACCATAGTACTTTAGAATCATCAAGATTCAAGAACATATATATATAAAAAATATCATTCTTCAACCACTGATGAAGTCGACAAGCTTGTTCAAAAACTTCAAAGCCTTATCAGAATCAGGTTTCTGCAAATGAAACACATGTCCTTCATCTTTCTCCTCAACCACTTCCACAGTCCCTCCCCACTGACTCTTCTCCAGCTTCGCCGCGTAAGCCAAAGCTTGCCTCGCAAACACATCTTTCCCAGCCACCGCAACCAAAACCTTCTCACAACCCAACCCCGTAAAATCCGACCCGGATCCGTTTACGTTAAACAACGGGTCGTCAGTTCCGTTGACACTATTCGGACTCGCGACTTTTTCCCAAACCTCCGCGATTCCGCTTCTCGTCTCTTTGTCTTGCACATCGAACTCATCGACCGGATCTGTTCCCCAGAAAGCTGGATGAACAACTCCGATTCCTTTGATTTTGATACCTAGCTTCTTCTCTTCACCGGCTTTCATCGCCAGGTGATGCGATATGTTACCTCCGGCGCTGTCTCCGGCGAGGAACACTCTCCCGAAATCGGCGTGTTTGTTAATCCAATCTTCAGGACCACCAGATCCGTTAGCATGAGAGAAAGTCCACTGGATCGCGGACCATACATCTTCGTACGCCGCCGGAACCGGATGTTCCGGCGCACGACGGTACTGAACCGATACGGCGAGGCAGTTAGCGGATTTAGCAACCGCCGCGACGTAGTTATGGTAGATTGGGGAGAAAGGCGACTCGATGATCCAAGCTCCGCCGTGGATGTAGATAAGCAGAGGCAGTTTTTTCTCGCCGTCGGCGGCGGCGGCGGCTTTATGAGGGAGAAAAAGACGAACGGAGAGGTTGTGCTCGGGGGAGTATACAACGTCTTTTGAAACGACGTCGTTTGATGGATCTAGAGACGTCGGGATGATGTCGTTGCCGATAAGTCGCTTGATGGTACCGTCTTTGTAAATACGAACAAAAGGAAGAAACTCAGAGACGATTTCAGATTCCATTGATGAGTATTGAGTAGTGTGGTTGGAACTGTTTGTGAGTGACGCATTATTTATTTATTCCTAGTGACGGCTACTTAACACGTAGCGTTGATTGAGTATGAGACTTGACAGTTGACACGTAGCATTTTTCTTGTTTCTCTTTCCAATAGTAGTAGTACATTATTCTCAACATCACAGATTTATGAAACAATATTTGTTTTAGATACTTCCTTCAAATTTTATATTAAAATACAGTAATTGGTCATTTGTTGAAATACAATATTATTGATGGTGAAACAATGAAACAACACTATTCTGTCGTTTCTTTTATTTTTGTGGTGTGGTGTAAATAATGTACCTTTTACGTTTAACTTGGAAAAAAGCAAAAAAAAAATAAAAAAATTGTTCTCCTCTGTTTTGTAAGTATAAAGAACCATTTACTTACTGTATGTATACTCTTTGTTGCCTCCTATAGACTCTTCTTGATACCAAACTGGATTTATACTTCGTCAATGTTTTGCTTACAGTCTCGGCGTTTTCTTCTCGAATGTCGGATCCATGCAAACGACAACCTGCGCAAATTTCTTTTGTTTAACACCAAACTATAAATGTAAACACTGTGACAATGTTCAGGACTCATCAGGAGCATCATATTTGTATGCGTTCACGTTAATGGTTATTCATTACTCTTAAACTTTTCGGTTAGTAAGAAAGACAGTTTTTACCTTTCCAGTGCTTTTACCCGAATGCAGATACTCAACAGCATCTGCAACAGCGTTTAGACCTACAAACTTTTTCTGATCAATCCCAACCTACCAATGATGCAAGTAAAGGAAGTTAAGTGAGTGTTTGGAAATTAGTTTAGTGAAGAATCAGTTTCGTGAACAAACTGTATGTAAGCAAAAGAAATTCCAGACTAAATAAAGGATGCATTACCTTAAGCTTTCCGAGAGAGTATAGATTGAATAGCTTGTCAAGATTCGGTTTCCACAGTTGACTATATTGCACCAGAAAGAAACCAGCCTGAAACAATTGTTGTTTGTTTAGTTATAGGAACTTAAATCAACATGTTAGACGCAGTAGTTTGAATTGAAACAACAGTGTCAAACTCTAGACAACTTCATAAATACCAAAACCAGGATTGAATGCAAAAACAGAGACACCAAAGGAGAATAGCATGGCCGTTTCAACATACCACAGTTTGGCTTTTTGCTAATATTTTCTCGCACAGCCCTGGATAGTTTCCAGGTTGCCATCCCTTCTCCCCTTGATACTGAAAGAGAAAAATCAAAGTTATATATATATACGTCTGGCAATTTAAAACCCCGAATAGAACAAACAAAGAGTGATATAATAGTGAACCTGAGAGATCATTCCAATCACAATGAGTCGTCCATAAACAGCAAGCGCATTCAAGCACATATCAAACATTTGACCACCTACTGATTCATATATAACATCTACACCCTTTGGAAACTCCTTTTTCAATACCTGGTAAAATTATAACAGCATTGTCAAGTTGTCGGGTACCCACATATATACTAATAAAGTTAAAACTAGAGTTTGTCTACTTGGACCTACCGTCTTGATATCCTCGGCTCTATAGTCGATAACACGATCAACCCCAAGCTCTTTCAATAGCTTGGCCTTATCTGATCCTCCACAAGTTGCAATCACCTTATTTCCTGCTAACTTTGCAAGCTGCATAGAAAATTCTAGATTTCAGCTAGCGCACATATTTCCACAAACTAAATAGAAATGATATATGTTATGGTTAGTACTTTAAACAACCACATAGTTTTATGCAATCAAATTTAGGTATCTATACCTGGACTGCGAATTGTCCAGTCCCTCCTGCAGCAGCAGTCACAAGTACTGTTTCACCTGATTTCATTTGTCCTGCCTGTGAATCCCATAAGATAATGAAAATTGCATATTAAATATGACAGCTTAAGAACCTTAGACATGAATTGAAAATAAAGACTAAAGGTGTAGAAAAATGACAGACTATGAAAACAGACAGTTAATAACACTAATTAGTAGATCAATTACAACCTTTTCAAGGGCGATTAAAGCAGTTAAACCCGAGGTAAGCATGGCAACAACTTCTGCATCCGGTCTTGGAACAGGAAGCACGTGCTTAGAAGAAACCTATTTTCACAAAAGACAGGTTCACATGATTACTGAAGCCTTGAAAAAATCCCAACATTTTGGCATATGATTTAGGAGTGTTCTCATACAATCATGTATTCAGAATATGCTCCAAATGTCATAACAGCAGCTGGAGTCCCAACTTCCAAATTCCTAACAGATTCTCCCACTGCTGCAATTATTCCAACTCCCTGGAAAAGTGAAGCAATTTAGCAGTTTGATGTGGCCCCGATAAAGCATGGTCTGTTAAGAGCTGTGGAAGTTAAAATTGAACAAAATCTACCTCAAATCCAGCATCAAAGGGAAGCTTCAGTGAACCGCCGCCAAAGTAACGACCTGAGCTGAAGTTTACCTGCTCATGGTAAACAACAAGGACAGAATATAGAAGTTAAGGGTGAGTTGCCTATTAACTGAGAAGAAAAATGTTACAAGAAACAATTGAAAAGACGGTCTTTCCTTATTATTCTGAGATAGAACTATAATTTTTCGCGTTATAAGTGAAACGATAAGCAAAACAACAAAAAAAAGTTTGAATAGGGTAGACAATAACAAAAATAAAGATCTTACATCACTTGCGTTAACACCAGCATAGACGATTTTCAGGAGAACTTGGTGTGGTCCAATGGGTAGTTTTAGCGGTGCGCGGACTATGCGGGTAGCATTGCGGAAGTTATGAGACAAGGCGTGTACTATTCTGAAGGTGAGAGTAGGCCATCAGTATGTGTACTCCACGAGGCAATATAAATACAACATTCATCCAAAATTTGTTCTGGGTCTCATAGTCATATACTAACTTACATTTTCTCGAAGTTTTGAGGAAGTTCAATCTTGGAAGATACTTTAAAAGAAGGTCTATTTTTGGAACTTGAACCAACCAAGTACTTTGCCTCTTCCATTGGAGTTGGCCAATACTCCAAACCCCTGCGGTTGGTAATCCATAGACAAGCCCCTGCCTTGTTCTCATCGGTTATAAGCTCAAAAGCACCTAAATAAAAAATATGGCAAACCCATGAATTTTCATTAATGGCTTGATCTCATACTATTATCCTTCCTATATCGAGAACAACTTGCAATGTCGATGGATAGTAAAGGTGAGATCATATAACAATCCATACAATAGACAGATAAAATAGTTTTAAGAAGTAAGAGCATTCATGTGTTCCAATTCTTTCTGCTCCCAACTAATTCTCCATATTTTACTGAACCAACCAACCATGTCAAGCAAGCATAAAAAAGAAGAATTTGCTGGTATGGAAATATATACAGAAAGCGTAAAGATTCCAGCAGACATATGCAGCTGATCCCAAGATACAAGTCCAAGGAATTATAATCAGATATGCATACACACCTTTAATCAACATGTCCATTGACATGAAACCGCCTATTGCCTGAAGCATTGAAGCAGTCATACCTTCAGCTAAGTCTGTCTTGATAAACTGCACAGCGAAAGTGCAGAAGCAAAGATTTAGACAACACTCAGCAAATAGTATTTTGGTTGTGACAGACACATTCGTAACAGAGTTTTTTGAAGTAACAAGTATTTTGATAAGAGAAAAACGAAAAATCTAATCGAGCATAAGGAAACATTTTGGGAGACATTAAGATATTCTTCTTACTTCAGGGCAAAGCACATTGATGCGGATCCCTTGACGCCTATAATACGCTAATGATCTAGTGAATAAGACGACACCAGCTGTAGACATGTAACATATTTGTATAAGTCAAAAAGATAAATGGTATAATTCAATGAACATGTATGAAAGAAATAATAAAAACACAAGTAAAAAAATAAAACCTTTAGAGGCAGCGTAGATAGGGTCAATGGGCATTGGATAAAGACCCGCAGCTGATCCCATGTTAATGATAACTCCAGGCTTTAGTTTGGCTTTCATAGCTTTGATCTACACAACATTGGAAAACCATAATAATCACAAGTTTCGTATAAAACCGAGATACTAAAAATCGGAACTCAACAAACCGAGGAAAATGATAGGAGTCCTGAGGAAAAAAGAAGATATATTTGTTAAGAGTAGTATTGAAGCAAAGACTTACTGCAAGTTGTGTGCCTTCAATTACTGCAACGAGATCCACATTAACAGTGTGTTTCCACGATTTAGATCCATCAGTGTCATCTTTATCAAATCTTACAGGGTTGCCAATCCCAGCATTGTTAATGCAGATGTCCAGTGTTCCATATGTGGCTAAATGCTTCTCGAAAGCAGCCATGAGATCTCCTGCTCATAATACAGGAGAACACTACAATAACTAAGACAGAGTTTTCTATATCATCTTCAAGCTAAATACACACTCACCTCGATTAGTAACATCACATTTCACAAAGATAGCAGAAGGAAAGCTTAACCCGGGATGGAACTTGGCATTCGCCTTCCGAGAAAGAGAAGTAGTCTCTTGTCCTTTCTCCTCCGAAAAATCAACCACAGTTACAAAAACTCCTTTTTCAGCAAGAGCTAAGCAGAGAGCTCGACCTACACAAAATCACATTGTATTACTTAGTTTTGTTACTCATTTTTAATGCAAAGACATCAAGAAGTTTGTAATATAGGAAACATAACCAAACTATAGACACAGTCCAAAAAAGAAGTAAACAGAAACGCAATAGTACTGATGTGGTTTTAACACATACACATACAGACACACACAGAGGAATATAGTAGTGTCTTTCATCATCTTAAAAAGCTTTCAATAACATATGCATAAGACCCAGTCCTATAATTACATCCAAAGAAACATACAAAGACGCACCAACTTGTATACGTAAATCTAAGCAGGATAAATCCAGCGTCAGCAAAATCTAACAATTGTTTTCACCAAACACAAAAAATTTCCCAAAAGGTTTCCTTTTTTTATTTAAAGTAAGAGAATTTTACGAATCCACCAGACAAAAACCAGATATAAATCGGGAAAATGATAAAATCTACCGATGCCGGAGGCGCCGCCAGTGACGAGAGCGGATAAACCAGGCTTGATCTCCATTGAATAAAGTTAGACTAAGCTTCGATTGGTTAGAGTTTCTTCTTCCGAGAAGTTGGAACAGTGGTTGTCAGGTTTAAGAAGAAGAAGATGAAGATTGAATTGTTGATCCTCCTCGAGAAACTCAAGAAGCTATTGTGACACGTCTGCAATAATTACGACAGTCTGACATTTGCCAAACCCGGTTTGTCCTAATCCAAACCTGAATCCGGTTAATCTGCACGGAAAAATTAGTAACGGCCAAAAATTACCAATGGTGTGGTAAAATATATTAACGAGGTGATTGTTGTCAACCAAGCGCCTGTAGCTCAGTGGATAGAGCGTCTGTTTCCTAAGCAGAAGGTCGTAGGTTCGACCCCTACCTGGCGCGTTTACATTTTACATTTTCTCTTTTTCACATATTTTACTATTATATAACTCTCAAGACACATATTGGTTTAATCGATTTGTATTTGTGGTTTATGGTCTGATCAAAATCCAATCAGACCATCTTCTTTTGAGTTAACACTGTCAACTAAATTTAGTTATGACCCCGTACACAAAGGGGTTGAATTCTCGTTTACAAAACTAAAATACAAGATACAGTTTTCCTATTTCACTGTCCAAATTTGCAAAAAAAAACAAAAAAAAAATCTCTTACTTCTCTCTACTCCAGGCTAATGAGTGCATTGCTACAAAGTGTCATTTTGAGATATGTGGAAACCAATTTTTCACCATGGCCTCCAGGTTCTAGCAAATCCTAATCATCGTCCTCTGAATCTGCCATTGGTGCGATAGAAAAAAAAGAAAGAATTACTCAAAACTTCCAAAGACACATTAGGCCGAGTTACCATAATTAGTGATCGACATTAGTATAATGCGTTCGTCATGGTTCAATGCTCATGTTACAGATTTTAGCAACCATTGATCTCTTATAAATTATAAGCAAAACATATGATCTTAACAAAACTAAAACCGATGACAAAAAAGTGTTACCTGATCTTATGTCTTCTCCCACTTTTCCTCTGTTTTCAAGCTGTCTTATGATCATTGCACAAATGAGATACCACCAATATATGTGGAAAACTAATAGCATTAGCAACAATGTATTGAATGCATAGTACATCAATGAGCCTTTAACTGATGCCATATCCAAATATCCCAGTAGTTCCAAGCTGAAAAAGCAGCGCATATCGATAAATCATATATACATGCATGAAATCGGTATAGAGTAAGAGATTTTGACCATTGTAGTTGTAAATAAACTGTGTGTGTACCTCGTAGCCCTGATGATCCAAAATGGGAAGTATACCAACCGCAGCAAAAACCAAGAGATAGCAAATAATCCAAAACAAACACTTGCTCCAAGTTCTTTTCCCGAATACTTGAAAATCTTTGCAGATTCCATAAACACGTCGCTGGCATCATGAATGGCGAGGATTATCGATCCGATTCGAAAGAAGCTGCATATTAACACAATCAGTGCCTCTATATCCCATTTGATCTACATCCACAACTTACTTAAGTTGCATGCCATTCAAAAGTTGGAATTACCGTCTACCTAGGCACAAAAACAGTAACAAGAAAGCAAATGCGTATAGAAATAGGCTGGTGTTAGTTTTATTTTCGTGTTACATAAACAAAACCTCTAGTGAAGTTAGTCTTATCTTTTGCTATTTAAGTTAGAATCCAATCTTTGCAACATAATGCAAATAGACAAAATCAAAATCTGTACCCCACTAAGTATGAGGAGGCAATGAGGATGATGGTAATTATGTGATGAGACATCATAACCGCAAAGTCCTTTCTTCTGGTCTCCCACGCAAGCAACGCAGCAACACTATAAACATAGAACCCGCACTGGCACATATAGAAAAGCTCTAAACAAGACCTACAAGAAAAACATTAGTAACTTGAAGTTAATCATGAGCTAAGGTTATCATTCACTATTCCAATCACATGTTCTAGAAACCTACTAAGAAGTGACATCAAATTGATTTAATAATCTCCATGGCTCCAGTACTCATATCTTAATCAAGAAGTCAAAGGTAACCAATCTTTTTCCATTACATGCTAATCAAGAAATGAAAAGTAAATAGATTACTCACTTGAGCTCTTGATTAGGCCATCCGTCAAAGTAGAGTTTAAGATCTCCAAACCACGGCTCTGGATAAACGAATTCGAGAACAAGTAACTCACAACTAGCATAGTACAACAGTTTCCACAAGGACTCTTTGCATTTGATAATTTTCCCACGAGTAGCATCGTTTAGTTTTAGTGGAGAAGAACCTGTACTCAAAAGCCAAACAGCTATCCTCTGCAAGACACAAATCAACAAACAATGAAACACATTAATCAGTATCAACACCAGTTTTTGCAAATGTGAGCAAGATACACAAAACATCGATAACAACGGCCTCCTAAAGAAACTAGCTACAAGACTCTATGTTCTTTCACCTAACAGTAACATAGTTGATGTTTTGGCCCAATAACACAAATGCAACGCTTAAAACTATGTTCTTTTCTCAGCTTTGTGACTCAGAAGCTTCATGAAAAAGAAAAGCTAGTGTTTCTTACATGAAAGACGAATTTATCGAGGAACAGCCTCGAGAGAAAGAATCCAAAGGCAAAACAGACAGCTGTTTGGAAATGCGAAGGTTTAAGACTTCCGACATCATTATCGCTTGACGATACAGATTCAACCATGTTCCGGCGACACAAACTATGCCGGAGAAAAATAAACCTCGGTTTTCACGGAGAGAGCATTAAAGAAAACAAACAGAAGATAGAAAGAGAGTTGTGTTATGTCGACCTTCCCAGCTGGAAACAGGACCAAGAAGTAGTGTTGCAGAAGAAGAAGGAAGAAGAACCACCGAAAGGAGCGAGAATGAAGAGGAATGGATCATTAAAAAAAAATGGAGAGGAGATGACAGATGAGCCTATAAAGACGGAGGCATTGAGAGAGTTTTAATGGCAGAGAGATTCGATATGCGTCATTTATCATGCCTCTTTTTCCAACTTGTTTTTATTCTACTTTTTAACTATTCATTACGGTTTTATATTTTATTTTTATGTCAAAATAAACTATGAAATGACATCCTAATTTCTATGTGAAATGAACTTTGAAATGACATCCTTAAGTATGTGAAAAAAATGAAGGAATTGTATTTAGAATGGTACTTTTTAAAAGTCGCTGCGTTGAAGAAAATGTCTCCTCTTTTTGAGGTAGAAGAAAATGAATAAAATATATATATTAAAATAAAAAAAAGTCTCTGCGTTGCAATTAGAAGGAGATATGTATAGTCTGTGATGTTTGGTAGAGAAAATGTATATTCAAGAAGACTTGAAATTATCAGAGAAACGTATTTATTTCCGCAAAACGTATTGAGTCAAGATTCCAAATCTTTAATCAAATCGAACCACAAGAGTCTTGGATATTTGGCTAAATTATGTAGACTATGGCGGACAGTGACTTATGAGTTGAATAAATAATTGAGCTTTAAGGAAAATACATGATAAATAATAGACTATTATTTAGACGTTTAACTTAAATTAGAGACAACGGAACAAAAAAAAAAAAAACCAAGAACAGAGCCAGGAAAATGTCTGTCTTCCTCTGTTTCCTCTTCCTCTCACCCCTTATCTTAATCTTCTTGAACGTTTTCAAACCTTCGAGATGGAAGCTTCCTCCGGGTCCAAAGAAGCTTCCCATCATCGGTAACTTACACCAACGCCGGGAACTACATCCCAGGAATCGCCATAATCTCTCTGAAGTGTACGGACCAGTGGTGCTTCTCCAATTCGGATTCGTCCCCGTGGTCGTGATCTCTTCGAAAGAAGCAGCAGAGGAAGTTCTAAAGATCCACGATCTTGAGTGTTGTAGTCGACCAGAGACGGCAGGGACCAGAGCAACTTTTTACAACTTTAAAGACATCGGGTTCGCACCCTACGGTGAAGAGTGGAGAGCGATGCGGAAGCTCTCGGTGGTCGAGCTCTTTAGCTTGAAAAAGCTTCAATCTTTCAGGTACATCAGAGAGGAAGAGAACGACTTGTGTGTCAAGAAACTCTCTGAGTTTGCTACGAGCCGATCTCCAGTGAATCTTGAGAAAACCCTTTTCACTTTAGTGGGAAATATAGTATGTCGGATCGGGTACGGGATAAATCTCTATGAGTGTGAGTTCGTTGATGAAGATAGGATCGCGGATCTTGTGCACAACTCTGATGTTATCATAGGAGATTCTCTCTTTTCTGATTTCTTTCCCGGAAGAATCGGTAGGCTCATCGACTGGATCTCTGGTCAGAGCCAGAGACTGAACAATCTTTTCTCGGAATTAGACACTTTCTTTCAGAATATTCTTGACGAGCATCTTAAGCCTGGAAGAGAGAGCACTGATATTATTGACGTGATGATCAATATGATGAAGAAGCAAGAGAAAGATGGAGATTCTCTCAAGTTCACCACTGATCATCTCAAAGGGATGATCTCGGTAAACCCTTTAGTCTTTTTTCAAATTTTTAATATATCGAACCTTTAAGCAACATACCATTTGTGACTTTGTGTTTTGTGTTTGTGTCAGGACATATTTCTAGCAGGAGTTGGCGCAAGCGCTGCCACAGTGGTATGGGCAATGACTGAGCTGATCAGAAACCCGAGAGTGATGAAGAAAGTGCAAGACGAGATTCGGACAACACTTGGGGATAAGAAGGAGAGAATCAAAGAAGAAGATTTAAACCAACTTAACTACTTTAAGCTCATGGTGAAGGAGGTAGTGAGGTTACATCCATCAGCTCCACTCTTGCTCCCAAGAGAGACGTTGTCTCATGTCAAGATCCAAGGCTACGATATTCCTGCGAAAACTCAGATCATGATCAACGCTTACGCGATTGCTCGTGATCCAAAGCTCTGGGAAAACCCTGATGAGTTTAACCCTGACAGGTTCTTCCACAGTTCCATAGATTATAAAGGACTAAACTTTGAGCTTATACCGTTTGGATCTGGTAGGAGAATATGTCCAGGGATGACTATGGGAATCATACTTATTGAGTTGGCATTGTTGAATTTGCTTTACTTCTTCGATTGGGGATTGCCGGAGAAGGATGAAGCCAACAAGATCCCCGGAAATGAAAATATTCTCGACTTCGTTCAAGTTTTTCACCACTGAATATATATGTAGACTATATACTCTTAGAATCTAGTATATTCAATATTAAAATTAGTTAGTTGTTTTAGACAACTAGATTCTAAGAGTATATTCAATGGTAAACTTATGAAAGGTGTCTAAGGGGGTGTTATTGGATGGAGAATTTTAAGGGATTTTAATTACGGGTGGATTTTAAAGTTCAATAGCCATTAAATACAATTAAGATGGATTTGGTATGAAAGAGATGAAATCCTTTGAAAAGTGTTAGGATTGTGTTTGTACGTGTTTTAGATGTAAAATACATTAAAATCTTAAAGAAAACAAAATCCATTGAAAATTGAATAACGCTTGTTTTAAAATACTTTAAAATACATCCAACAAATGTTAAATCCAATAACAGCAGATTTTATTGTGGTTTTTAAAATACATAGTTAAATAACGCTAGATTTTGAAATACATACAAATCAATTAAAATACAAGGTTGAATAACACCCCCTAAAACAACTAACTAATTTTAATATTGTTTTAATTTTTAGACACTCATAAAATGAGTCCTATTTAAGACACAAATCACAAATATTAGACCAATTTTATAATTAAGAATTATTTGCATCAAAACCCACTTTCCCAACTTTTTATAACACATACACCTACTTTCTACTACCTCTATACTTTATGTAGAAAAAATTACTATTCCATCCCTCTTCATTTTTTTTTCTTTTCTTATTTCACTTTATCCAAACACTAAATTATTTTCTTTTTCCTTATATTTGTCACTTTTTTCTCTCTCTTTGTCAAACTCACATGTCTTCTTCATTATCTTCGTATCTCTTTCATCACACACACTTCATTTTTTATTTTATTTTTCTTCCCCTTCCTCTCTTTATCTCTCATCTTGACACTAATAAGATTGAATTTGATTTGAACAGTTCCATCTCAAACATAATTTTCTTCGGCGGTGAAGCTCACAAAATAGTTATTTATTTGTGTTTTTGTTATACTTTGTAAATGTTTGTGTATTTTCTTCCCAAATTTGTGAGTATTTCTGACCTATCCATACAACCCTTTACACATGGTTATCATTCGTAGCAAACCAAACTGAACTAAATAATATCAGAGCAGAACCTTCAACGAAAGAAAAGAGAATAATGATCCATTGTCAGCTCCAAATCTCAAAAGTAAATGCAAGTGAACATAACTACAATTATATAAATTTTTGCTATACAATTGCTCTGTTTATTATCAACAAGATTACTTAGGTATCCATATGGACATGATTGTATGGATGATAACTAACTGACAACTCAAGATCAACAAAGAAATAACAATGGATACCTTTGTGGAATCAAAATTCAAGATCAATTAAAAACTTCCGTTTTAGGATTTCGGGTCATGGTTTTATGGTTTCTTTGTGTAATGAGTCCATTGCTCACTTATATATGATCCATTGGTATTACATTGATTAGTTTTATACATTTTTGAGTTTCGTGTTTAGGGTTTATGAATTTGGGTTTATGATTTTTGGTTTCGAGTTTAGGGTTTGAGATTTATTGTTAATATTTTTTGAAATACTTGTGGATAGAGTCGGTTATTCTTTAAATTCTATAGTGTCTAGGATTTATAGTTCAGGGTTTTGTGTTTAGGGTTTTCAGTTTAGGGCTTAGAGTTTAAGGTTTAGTGTTATTGTTTTGTTTTAGCTTTTATGGTTTAAGTTTACATTTTAGTGTTTAGGGTTTAGAATTTAGTGGTTGGGTTTAGGGTTTAAGGTTTAAGGACATGTTGTGTATATGTTTTAGCATTTGTAAAGAAATTTCATACTTCCACGATGCCTCTCCTTATAACTTTTTTCAAATAATTTATTTACTTTCACTCTAGCTTCGTGTCATCTTCCAATGTTTTTCTTGTTAGCTTAATTTGCGTATTCCATTCTTTTCTCTTTTCACTTAGATACATTGACCATATATATCCATGTGGTTACAGTAGCATGGATATGCTTGGATGTTCATTAAAATGTTTGTAGGTTAGAATGTAGTGTATGATTTATGGCTTTTGTTTTAGAGCTAAATTAAATTGGATAAGAGGTAAGGTTTGAGATTCATGGTTTATGTTTAGAGTTTAGTGTTTAAGGTTAGAGTTTAGAGTTTAGGGCATAAGGTTAAGGGTTAAAGGTATATGATTTGGGATTTAGGGTTTAGGTTCTCTTGTTGCAGCTTCAAACCCATAGGAAGTTATTGAGTCTATAAGAGTAAAGAATTTCATGTTTTGTTGAGATTTAGGGTTTAGGTTTTAGGGTTTAGGGTATACGGTTTAAGGTTTAGGGGTTAAGACTTATTTATGACTTTTTTACCTAACCGCAATTTTTTCATGAAATAGGTTTTAATATGTTTTCATATTACTAAACACAAAGTAATTATAAATACAAATAGAACATCCACTTATCAATGAACAAATGTTCAACAACATATGGATAGTATATAAGATAATAATTCATCTAAAATATATCAATATGCATCTTAAAATGTAAAGAAAATATAATTATAACCTATTATATATAAATAAATATATTATTTTTATAATACCCACCGAAAATGATAATAACAAAAAAAAGGAAGGAAAAAAGGGAGAGAAAGAAGGAGAGAATGAGAGAAAGAAGGAGAGAATGAGAGAAAAATCCAGGATTTAATTTCAGCCACAAGATCTCCTCATCCAATTATCATCCTATGGCTCACGTTTTATATGTAAGTCTTCTATTTGTTTTCCAGGCAAACACAAATCGAGGGCATAATAGTCAACATCATTTTGCAAACTAAACTTAACATGACCAAAAGTACACCATATCCACAAAGTGGGTGTGCTTGCAAACATTTTCCCACAAAGTGGGTCAAAGTGTCAATAACTCTATAATTAAAGTTGATTATTATATTTTAGGATCAATTTTTAAGACACTTTTTAATTCACCATTGTACATGGCCTAAGCATTCGTCACACAAGTAAGCTTGATTCCAAAATAATAACTGAATCTATGGTTGCAAAAATAAAAAAAAGGAAGAAAAAGTGATGGTCCAGTTGGAGTCGGCTTATTGGGTCATAGTGGACTCGGAAGGCACCGGCCCGTAATCCTTCCACCGTCGAAAGCGGGAGGTGAACGCTGCTCTGTGAAACCAGCCTCACGCAATCTCCTCCGATCTAAGAAAGGTCGAACCCAAGCCTTCGCTCAGGACCGAACTTTCAACTCCCGACTTGGAATGGGCAGGCCAGTAGATAGCCCAACCCGAACCCGGCCCAATGAGATCGACCCAATGTTCCATCACCTTATTGTCTCCACTTGGATCACAAGCCAACGTTACTAAGCTCGACGTTCCAACACCGAAAGCTAAACATAGTTATACAAAAGAGAAAATTTTGCTTCTTCCGATGTGGGACTTTATCCCATCTCTATTATTATTATTTATTACACCTTAGTTTTTTCTAACAAATGTTATTATTTTGTTTTGTTGATAATTGTTCATCAACTCTGCTTTTCTCAAAATCGCTAATCTTTGAAACAATCAAGAAATTTATCTTTTTAAACATCAAATCAAGAAATTTATCTTAAAAACATGTAAGTCAATTACCAAGACAAAAAATTGTTTTGTATTCGAAGCTGCACACATTTATAGAAGAAAAAAAAAACATTTGCCCAAAAAAAAAAAAAAAAAAAAAAAAACCAAAACATATATATTGTGGTTGCTTCAATCTATTGCATGGTGTCGTTGTTGTTTTCACTTCAGAGATGATGTCGGATCTGAGCCATTACTGTTCCTGTTGGTGGATCCATCACCTATTTAAAGACAAACACAAGAGATGTAAGAAACCAGATTGTATACTGTGTGTGAGTGTAGGAAAAAGGATTTTAACTTAATTTACCAAAATCTAGATTGCTCCAAGCTTCTGGATCTTGCATATGTTTTGTTTTCTCTAGTGTTGTAGGAGGTCCTTGTTGCTGAGGATAGCACACTTGTTGCTGAGGATAGCACACTTGTTGTTTTTGGTCCATCAGATGATGTTGTTGTTGTATCTGGACTTTTTGTTGCATTCTCTGTTGTTGCTCTTCTAAATCTTTAGCAGTTTTTTCAAAACTCGAACCATCACAATCAATATCATATCTTAGTCCGTTCGACGCTGGAGGATCTGATTGCGGCGTTGCAGCAAACGATGTAGAAGGATCTGAGTGTGTTGTTGCAGGAAATGTTGACTGATCGATGAGAGACGCAATTGAATCATCTATATATATATAAGTAAGCATAATCATTAGACACCCTAACCCACTGATTTATCATAAAGTTTCGTCGTACCAAGTTTTTGACTAGAAAGAAAAAACATTTTAATTACGTACCAGTTGCACCAAAGGAATCCATGAAATCGAAAGAAGAGAATGAATCATCATCTCCAAAAACAAAATCGCTAGAGTCAAACCACTCCTCATGAATCTGATCTTGATGATCATCATTAGGTTTATGCAACTCTGTTACTACATAAGAGACATAATTGTGAAAACCAATGTGTTTCATCAATTCATTAGTAACAATAAATATATTCTTAAAACTAATAAACACAGAAGGGCTTGATCTGTAATCACATACCTGGTGGTGCAGTAGCAGTAAATTCCTGCATCAAATCACGTTGCTGAGAAAGCAACTCATTAAACATAGCTATTTGACGAACCAATTCGCATAGTTTTTTGTATCTATTGAAGAATTCTGGGATGTCTCTTTCAAGCTGTTCCCAAACTGAAAAAAAAAAGAAAAAAAAAAAAGCTTTTGTGAGTCATAATGATATGAAGACAAAACACCATTATTGACGAGTATCTGCAAATTGATTAAACACTACACAAAAACAAAACTCAAGTCCTGAAGATAAACAAGATATAGTTTAGAACAACATAAACTATTACTTACTTGCTTTAGTGATATGATGAGGAATCTGGTCATGTTCATAGAGATCATTCATGGTTTGTTCCAAACTCATGTACTTTTGAATACATCGTTCGATTTTCAACAGAAACTGAAGAAAACAGAGGATTTTTATTAGAGAGTGTCAGGAAATAGTATTGAAGAATTTGTGAGGAGAACAAAAATCAAAACCATTCATACATAATCTAGGATCTTATGAGCGTTGTTGTTTCCACTCATAGCTTGAAAAGTCATAAACATAGAGAGTTTGTTTTCTCAAAAGCTTCGGTTCATCAAGGTCTCTGCGTTTTTTTCTCCCACTGGGGTTATATATAAAGATTGCGCGAAAGAAATAACAAAAACAAAAAAAACTAACTTAGTTGACTTTATTTTTTTTAATGAATTTAGGGCTTTCAGGTCGTTATAAAAAGATTCTCAAGAAAATTCTCCTTTTTGTAAACGACTCCAAGTTTGATATTCTCTGAATATTTTTGTTTTTAAAATCTTAAGACTTCTAATTTATTTTTGGTCTAAATTCATAACTCTACCAGGAAAAGAAATGGGATGATACGAGAATAATATTTTCCAAGATTTTATTGTTGTTGGTTAATGTTTATCTCTTAGATTATTTTTTTCTAATTAGAGAACAAAATTATGTTTTGATATATTTTAAAAGTTAACTACGTACATAAAAAATACTGGAGAAAAGAAAACAAAATTATTAGTTTATCTTTTATAATTGAATCAAATATTTTGTCATTCATGTCCACGTATGTATTATTTTGCTCATAACTTAATAATAACGTATAATAAAACCTAAGAAAAATTCAGAACTATTTAGATTCCTCTAAAATCTCAAACATTTCTCTGCACTCACAAATCATCTGCAATGTCTGAACAATTTACATAAGACCCTCTCTGACCTCCCTAACAAAATGCATTCACCAATGTCATAACTAAATTACCTTTTGAGTTTCAGTTCATCTAATCTTTCACTTTGAGATTCTAGCACATGGAAACGTCTTCACAGCTGCGATGATACCTGAAGCATATCCATAGGAATGATACTAGACGAAGACAACCTCAAATTTGGCACAAGGGTTGTTTTCGATGTGTGTACTTAGACTCGAATTTCCCTCGAATTTGAAGTTGTACAAAGCCTGTCGTTGAGTTAGGCCAAGTGGATAAATCTTGTGTACTCTAAGCTCATTGTCTCCTTTTAGGCTTACAGGCCTTTCCTTCTTCCAAACCGGCTCATGTTTAAGAGACTTGAATTTGGTGAGAATTGCGGATTCTAGAGCTTCCTGAGTCAGATTTTTACCCCTGGATTGAACAAGAAAGGTTCGGGAGAACAATATTCTGGTTAATTCTACCCTGTGCTCTGCTTAAGTGGTGAAAGAGGTAAGCTTTCTTACCTTAAAAAGATGGATTCCATATCAAACCGGCCTCTTTCTCTAACGAAAACATGATAAACAGTGTCTGATCCTCCTCTGGTGCATTTGCACGGTCGTTTCTTGAAATTCGGGCTTTTCTCTTCTTGTTCTCGGACCCTCGTGGCCAGGAAAATGCAGAGACGGCAAGAAGAGTGTACAGCAGCCATATCAACAAGTGCCTTGAAAGAATCTGAAGGACCCTCGTACTTCCATCTAAATCAAAACAGAAGCATGAAGCTTTCAAGAAAAAGTTATTACATACATTTATAATCATTTGTAGAAAATACTGAACCTTAGTGTCTGATTATAAGCAGCAGGATTAGCTGCGAGATACTTCATTCTCTTTGCAACTGGCTCCACATCTTCCATACGCTTTATGTGAAGGAATGAGTCTGAAGAAGGTGCAAATTCTTTAATATTTGGAGCACCAACTACCACGGGGACGGATCCTAAAAGGAAATGTTGTAAACTTGTTTAATATTATATACAGCTCTGATCAAATACTTCTTTGTCTAATGACATAACCAAACGAACTTATCAAATATGCAAACAGAGACGGACAGAATCTAAAACATACCAGTAACTAGGGACTGGAAGAATTTCTCGGTGACATAATCTTCCTCGTTAGTGTTCTCAAAAGCCAAACTGAATTTGTATCGCTTAAGCGCTTCAACCTTATCAACTATATAAATTTTAAAACAACTGATCACATCAAACTGGCAGCTCACTGTTAGTCCAAAGTCTAATTTGAACAATCTACTTAATTTCTACATTACCTTTTCCATCCCGGTTCCGATGACAACCACCATAAGAATCAATCTTGATGTTAGTCTTCATCAGGGCTTCAAGTGCTTGCAGGCGGAAATTCCGAGCACCACAATTAGAAATAAAAGCAGCTGCGATAGCTTTCTCGGTCTTTGGCTGTACTGGAGCCATAATATCATATTCCGCCCAAGAAAAATACCCGACAGGAACATCTGATGATAGACTAGTGGTCATCACAATATCATAACCTCTCCTGATGAACAAGGAACATTACATTCACATAAACCTCTACCAAAACAAATGTCATGAAAAACGTTAAGCACTGCTAAGATTGTGCTTACCCACCGTCGTGCCTGTGCAAGATCATTTTCTGGATAGTACTGTGCTGATTCCATGGAACGGATTATACTAAGAGTTCCAGGCTGATGACCTAATCCAAACCCAGCATCAGGTGTCTTACCTGAACTATCTCCAAATGTACAATCCACAGAACACGACTGAAAGTCCTATAAATTGAGACGGAAATGAATCAAAAACTTAACTTTCAATCGAATAAGAGAGTAACACATATAAAACATGTACATGAATCCATCCAGAAGATATAGAAACTCATCATGAATCACAAATGAGCATGATCATCAGGAAAAAAGTCTAGAATTTTAGTATGCCCAAAGCTAGAATTTTCAAGTTCTCTTGACTAAAATCAATCAAGCAAGATTCTAAATTTAAGCCCAAAAAGGAATGAATGATCAAAAACGTAAAAGATTAGCTAAAAAGTAAAGGAACGAATCCATCTTACAGCAATTTTGATTCATTACGATTGTTACCTTTTCTCCACCAGAGATAAAAATCGGATCTTTAGTAAAATCTCTAGAATAAGTAAGTGAATCTTGTCTCATCAACCACTCCTCGCAGTGGTCTGTAAACAATCCGATCTTCTTCCGATCGGATCTGGCCGGTGGAGACAGGGAGAGTGACGGAGACTGGGTGAAGAAATCAGTCAACGTATCGACCAAAGCAACTTTATCGAGGCGACCCAGAAACGCGATCTCGGCTATAACTACAAGAGCAACGCAGATTGGTAACAAATTCGACAATTTCCGCTTGAGTGACGTAGAGGGTGAAGAAGAAGAAGAAGAAGAAGAAGGAGAGCCGTTGGCATTGGATAGATGTCCTGATTCAGCTCCAATTCTGGGTCCTCGAAGATTCGAGAAGACACCCATTTAACGAGAGGACGAATCAACGGGGATGAGATGAATAAAAGCGATTGCGTTTTACGAGAGGATTTAATGAACGGAATTGAAGAGATTCTCGTTAGTTAGATTGGATTTGGTATGTGTTTGGGTTTAATGTTGGTTTTGATAAGATAAAGATAAGTGAATATATTATTGGTTTGCTCAAAAGGAAGATACAAATGCTATTTGATTTTTCAGAACTTAACTTCAAAGTCAATGCACAAGTTGTTTTCTATAGTCATCGACAAAGCCTGAATTCGCTACGTATAGTTTAGTAGCTAGTTGGTTTTATAATCTCCTTCCTTCATGTTGCTTCTGTCTGAGTGAGAGTTTAAAAGTGGAAGAGCCTATGTAAGTATGGAAACACCTCACTCCAATAAACAACAACTTTGTTGTTGGCAAGAATGAATGAATACATGGTACGAATACGATGAAAGAAGACGAAGATGAATATGGCAAAAGTGAGGTCCGACAAAGACCTACTCAAAACTCAAAAAGAAACAGAAAAATTTTCCGTTTCTACTAATTGTTATTTCTTCAGCTTACAAAAAAAAAAACATAAATTTATAAATACAAGAAATATAAAAACATCGAAACCATGTGGATCGTTGCGAGCATTGCTTATCTTATGCCATAGTAGACCTCAAATCATTTTATTTTAGTGTATGTCGTTGTTATTGCAAACGAACAACTTCTCTTATGACAAATGAATAATTTCACCTAAAATGTTCGAAATGGAATAATTTTTATTCTTAATTTTTTAGGTTTCTAAGACCTACATTATTGGAGGTATTTTAGAGGCTAAGATACCTTAGTTTTTGCAAAAGAAATATCTTAGTTCCCTATTGTTTCGATATAAGATACTTCATTTGCAAAAACCGCCTAAGATACCTCCAAGAATGTTGCCCTAAACCATTTATATAAATCTACACTTTTTTAAATTAATAAAAATATTAGTTCATCGATAAATTGATTAAATATTATAATTACGTTATCATTAGTTATTTTTTTTTTTTTTTTCATTAGTTATTTTTTTAAACAAAATTATCATTATGTTTTGCTCTATTAGAGAGTGGAACTTATGTTAAAAGATAGAAAGTTTTTATAGCATTACAATAGGAATGATGAGTTTTACAAATTACAATTACTTAACATTACATTATAGAAATGAAGGTGGACGCATCATGGTTTGATGCTCATTCTCTACGCAGGTCCACTCCAAACGTGACAAACAAAAGTGTAGTCTATTCTTTTAAATAAGTTATCAAATTACTGTATTACGAAGAAAATCAGACGCACCAATTACCAAATGAGGAGATGGCAAATTTCCATATTTGGAAATGAAACTCGACGCAACGGTCTTTGCTTCTTTTGGGTTGCTTCGATATAACTATTGCTTCAAAATCATATTACACCCACTATGTCTATTGCGTGGACCCAAAAAGAATCACTTTGTTTACCCACTTTATGCTTCTGCCTATTTATTCAACAGCATATATATACAATTATATATGTATAATAATACTAACAATTACATGATATACTACAACTTAGATGTTAATTTGGTTATTCCGCTATTATCCGCAAATCTTTAATAGCTAGATAATACCGGAAAAATCTAGATTAGGATAAATTAAGCTTTACTAATATTAGATTAGGATCATATCTTAATTTGCAAATCTCAAAATTAATATCTATATATCCAATTTTACAAACAACCACAAGCCAAGAGAACACACCATTGTGTGAAGAAGACAAGAACACACAGTCAGCGACTAAAGTTGACACACGTTACAGCATCTTATTGGTTTAGAGATGAACGTGGTTGTCAGCTCAATTTTTTTGTCGGCAATATTCGTTTTATAACGAAAAACCCTGAAAAGGGTATATTACAAGTACATGATTCAAAGCCTTTTTAGAGCCCAATTTTAAAACCCAAATACATAAAGATGACACGTAAGAGACACGTGTTTGATACAAAACAAAAGGGTTCATGTGTCTGCGGCAAGTATTCGTCGGAATACCATCTGTTGTTCACCACCGCCAAATCTTTGAGTCGCCGTCAAGATTGAGCCAACGGCTGTCTTGACCACTAGATGAAGGCTTCATGTCACGTACTTGGAACATCTTTCTACAGATTTCACCACCACAAATCTAATTGGATCCCGTCGCTTCCGCTTTTATAATTGAAAACTTTTTCAGATTTTCTTCATCTCAACCCAAACTCAAAGAAAGAGGCTCCGCCCATGACCTTAACCAAGGTCACTTCGCATAACGGCGAAGATATTACGGCGAAGATATTATTCTAACTTTTGAGAAGAGTTAAGTCGACGGTAGAACCCAATTGAGAGCAAGCGGAATTTAATCTGCAATCCTGTAGAAAGAGAAGAAAACAAAAGCAAAAAGAACACAATCCGATCTTAGCCCAAAAACGAATCAAGCTAAGTCAGAAATTATTGAAATCCAACTTAGTGGAAAGTAAATCCGATCCAAGTCGGAAAGTATATATACAACAAAAAAACCAGTTAAAACCGGAAGATGATTCCGGTTAACCGGAAATCTTCTTCTCTCTCTGAAAAATGAGTCTGTGTTAAGAGAGAGTTTGTTGTCAGCTCAATTAAGTGACCATTTTTAACAAAGTTTAATATTAATTAAAACGGGATATTTATTTTTCTTTGTTTACTTAAAAAAAAAAACACACACACAAAATATCTAAAAATAAATTAATAAAAAATAAAATAAAAAACCCCTAAAGAGGAAAAAGCTTTAACTTACCCTCCCCCTTAAAATGGCAGTTCGTGTCGAGGCTACTACAAGCACACTTGTCGTCTCCCTCCCTCAGCAAATCTCTGTTTTCAGCAATCGCCTATTATATTAGGTGAGCCTTCCTTTTAATCCTTTTTTGTTTTCTTTGTTGTATTATCTGTTTTCCTTATCTTGGAATCTGCCTTTGTCTTATCATCATCATCCTTCTGTGTTGTATAGCTTTCCTTTTTTGATTGGTCCGATTCATATTATCTGATCTATGTTTTTTCTTGTCTCTGTGTGTGTTCTAATTCGAGTAGTCGTAATGAGGACGTAACTATTGGTGCTGGAACTAGAGACTAGAGTTCTGAGTCTTCTTCTTCTTATCCAACAATTTTTTTTCCTTTCGAGAATTTACGATCTGATTTGTGTAATAGATCGTCATCTTCTTGATCTATCTTTTTTGAGTTCTTTCAAATACTTTCAAGAAATGGTCAAAGCTATGGGTTTTGATTCAGTCTTGTTTTTGTTTAGGATTTCTCTCAAACCAAGGATCCACTTTTTACTTTCTGGATCGAATTTTATGTTTATGAGTGATTCTTCATGGCTAACACTATATAAAGTTTACACATTTATATGAAAGTTCCTCTCTTTTGCTTTGGTGTTCATTTGCTCTTTTGCAAAGTATATACTTAAACACAGTGTGACGCAGAGATGTTTGATCTACTCTTAAGCCGGTTTTTGATCTTAATTGTCTGGTCTTACCATCTCTTTTAGGTAAAGCTAGAAAGGGTTGTTTTTTGGACTGAAGTAGAAGAAGTGATTCCTAGTGAAACAGAAAAAAAGCATGGGTACTCATATCAATTTCGACAACTTAGGAGGTGATTCTTCTGGAGGGAATGGGTGTAATACTAACCAGTCAAAGCCATTGGCGAGGCAGTCTTCTTTATATTCCTTAACCTTTGATGAGCTTCAGAGCACCCTAGGTGAGCCAGGGAAAGATTTTGGGTCAATGAATATGGATGAGCTTCTGAAGAACATATGGTCTGCTGAAGAAACTCAAGCCTTTATGACTACTCCATCTTCGGTTGCAGCCTCGGGACCTAGTGGTTACGTTCCAGGAGGGAATGGTCTACAGAGACAAGGCTCGTTGACTTTGCCTAGAACACTTAGTCAGAAGACTGTAGATGAGGTCTGGAAACACTTGAATTCCAAAGATGGTGATAATGGGAATAATAGGACGGATTTGCCCGAGAGGCAACAGACTTTAGGGGAAATGACTCTAGAGGATTTCTTGCTCCGCGCTGGCGTTGTGAAAGAAGATAATAACTCTACTCAACAGAAAGATAACAGTAGTGGGTTTTATGCTAACAATGGCGCTGCTGGTTTGGGGTTTGGATTTGGACAGCTGAATCAAAACAGCATATCGTTCAACAGCAACAATAGTTCTATGCACTTGAACCAAGCACCTGGTTTAGGTCTCGAAGTGGGTGGAACAATGCAGCAACCACATCAGCGACAGCAACAGCAGCCACATCAGAGATTGCGTCCAACTATTTTTCCAAAACAAGCAAATGTAACATTTGCGCCTGTAAATATGGTCAACAGAGGTTTAGATGGTCCGGTTAACAGTAATATCGGAGGAGGAGGGGTTACTGTTGCAGCTACCTCTCCCGGGACAAGCAGTGCAGAAAACAATACTTGGTCATCGCCAGTTCCTTATGTGTTTGGTCGAGGAAGAAGAAGCAATACGGGCCTGGAGAAGGTTGTTGAGAGAAGGCAAAAGAGAATGATCAAGAATCGCGAATCAGCCGCTAGATCAAGGGCTCGAAAGCAGGTTAAGTGTTAATTCAACCAAACTGGCATTAGTGTCTTCTTTTCAAGAACTTTCATATTGATTTCAATATTCTGTTTAACCTCAGGCTTATACCTTGGAACTGGAAGCCGAGATTGAAAGTCTCAAGCAACTGAATCAAGATTTGCAGAAGAAACAGGTTTTTAATAACCATATAATACCTTTATATTGCTTCTCCGTATAGAATCTAGCTGGCTCAGTTCTTTAACTGAGGTTTCCTGTGTTGCAGACTGAAATTATGAAAACCCAAAACAGTGAGGTAAACGTTTTGCCTCTACTTCTTTGGAGATACTTTATTGTTTTCTTTGTATTTCATGTATACAATTTCCTTGTCTCTCTAGACGTTTTGTAACTGTCTAAATATGTGTCTATTGTCTCTTTGATGGTGCTGTTAACTAATACTGCTTCTTGAATTTGCAGCTGAAAGAATCGGTGAAGCAGCCTCCATGGCTGGCCAAAACACAATGCTTGAGAAGAACCCTTACTGGTCCATGGTAAGAAGGTGAAAAGTAAAAGCAAGAAGACCCTGGTAATGTAATATTACATTACTCGAAAGGAAGACGTTGGGAGACTAATATGTAATAGACGATAGTGCTACTGTACAGGAGAGATTACAGAGACACTTACAATGTAGAAATCTTTTGAGCTGAATCTAACTAAGAGTGCAGAGTATGAGAGCTTTTAATATGAATTCATAATTTTTATAAATATATGTAAACTTTCAGATTCAGCTATAGCTAAGAAGTGACTAACTCAGAAAGAGAGTCCATTTATTGGAGAGTGAGGTAAACTCCGGCTGTAATGTGACCTGGAAGCTGTACTAGATGATGGACCAAAAACCCGGGAATCGCCTCTCTGAAATCTCAAATTACTTCTCTTCCTACTATCCCAGCCTATCTCTTCCTCAACCGCTCTAGCAAATGCACTATGCAACTGATCACAGCTTTCACACAACAGCCTCAGGACTTGCTTAATCGATGGCCTAGACCGGCCTTCTTTCTCGGTACACAATCTCACAACTGCCACAACTGCTTCAAGCTGTTTTACCCCAGCATCATCAATGGAGTCGTTGATTCTTGGGTCTATCAACTCCCGGTGTTTTGATTTTGTCGACAAAAACCGTTGAGACATTTCCACAAGGTTCCTACCTTCATCGACCGCTCTTCTCCCAGTTATGAGTTCCAGCAACACAACTCCATAGCTGTACACATCACTCTTCTCTGTCAGCTCTTGTGTTACTACGTATTCCGGATCAACATAACCTGAAAAAACTTTCAAATCTTTAATTCTCAGTTTCCATCAAAAGGAGCAAGTTATTTTGTTTAAGTATATCTCCCTGACCTGGAGTTCCACGGATATTGGTATTCACAGGCTCAAAGCAAACAGAGCCATCTCTAGAAGAATGTGCAAGGCCAAAATCTGAAAGCTGCACCAAGAAAACATCACTTAGTTAGCCATTTCTCAAACTCAGAGGACGTTACTAAGATACTGCTTGATTACTCATACCTTAGCGACAAAGTTCTCATCGAGTAATATATTACTTGATTTGATATCTCTATGACAGAGAGGAGGATCACAGTAGAAATGAAGATATTCCTGGAGGAGAGAACAACGTGCAGCCAAGAACCAAAAACTGTAAAAGATATATTATCAAATCAGTTTACAGAGGAAATGTAGATGAAAGACTTTGGAATATTTACCAAAGCATTTGCCACATGGATTGCGATTTTCATTCTTGTTCCCCAACTAAGTGGAGGCTTTCCACTGGCTGCAAAAGAAAAAAATCAAAGAAGAAACGTTTTCAACACTCTGGATTCTTAAAGTTAAGGTAGAAGAAGCATTTATATACATACCATGTAAATGATCCTTTAAGCTGCCATTTTCCATATAGTCATAGACCAGGAACCTGGAAGATTGGAAAAAAAAAAGAAGAAGCTGAGAAAACTCTATATTTTTAATGGTTTAGATTATAGCAGAAGGCAATAAGCAATGTATGATAATTCTTCACCTTTCTTTCTTGTTGGTGCAAAAGCCTTTCAAAGCAACAAGGTTACGGTGATGCAGCTTAGCTAATAGCTCTATCTCTCTGCAAAAATCTTGTTCAGCTTGTTCAGAAACTTTGTTCATCCTTTTTACTGCTGCAATCAATCCATCCTTGAACTCAGCTTTGTAAACAGTCCCAAAACCTCCCTGACCAATCACCGTGTTGAAATCATTTGTTGCAGTTGTCATTTCTTTGTAGCTGAATTTTCTGAAAGCTGAAGAAGAATCATCTGCAAGATAGAAGATTTTTCATTTCTTTTCTTTGGTAAGACATAACAATCCAAAGAACTAACTATCTTTGTTTTTTTTCCCACCTTCATGAATCTTGAAAACAGGCAGGGAAGAAGGAATTGATTTTGTTGACTTTTTATCCAAGCTCTCAGATTCATCAAGTTCTCGGTTTTTTCTACGGATAAGAATAACCAGGACCACCAGCATCGTAAGAGCAACAGCTGTAACAACAATCCCAATGGTTGGAACCATTGTTAAGTGATATGGATTGGTGCTTCTACTTGTAGTCATTTCAGAATCACTGTTGCTTGGGCTAATAGCATCAACCGTGCTTGGAGAAGGCTCTGGACTTGCCATAGGTGGAAATGACTCTGTGGATATGCAAATGAAATCAGACAAAAATAGATTTCCCAAAAACTGTTGTGATACTTTGAAAATTGCAGTCATGTGTCTAACCTGAAGGAATGCTAAGCTCTGTCACTTGAAAGAAACAACCAAGAAGCTCGAGAGCCGATGAATCATCGTCAGTTCGGCTTGCTAATGTAGCATAAGTTGCGTCACGACATGTACTCAATGTAATGTTCTTAGTCTCTGGACCAATGAGATTACGAAGGTAAGTGATACCAGAATTCAAACACTTCCTGCATTGGTTTCCAGACGAAAGTGGAAGTCTGCAATTTCTTGAAACATGTCCGAATTTTGGAGACTGATGCATTTGTCTTACAGTGGTTCGACCTTCACAGTCATACTTAACAAGGATCTTGGTTCCTAAACCGCAGAAACTAGTAGCGTTTCTCGAGACTCCGTACTGCTCCATTGTTTTAGAGATGGAAGCAATGCAGGTCTCAGATAAATCTGATGCAACTCCAAGATTACTTGACAAGTTAGCGTAACGAGCCACGGATACAGCAACAAAAGCGTTCATGTAGCGGCAACATTTGCCTCTGTTGGTGATGTTGGAGCACACAGAAGCTACTAGAGTGAAATTTGATGAACTGAAATCTAATGGACAATCTGCAAACACAAACAACAATGCAGCATTGGTGTCTGTAAGTTTTAAGCTTTAACAATGGAGACTTGCTTCAAAACCAGTAAAGATCAGACTACAAATTTCAAGTTTTTCTTTTTTATAACTTTCTAACCACAATGGCTTTGAACAACAGGAGCATGAATCAAAAAGCTTCAATTTTTATGCTTTCTCAAGATCTGACTTCAATTAAAAAAACAGAGTATTTTGCATGTGTAAGAAACTCTAATGACCAAAACTAAGCAAATTCCGATCGAAAACTCAATTTAGTCAAAGAAAGCAACAAAATTTACAAAACCCAGAAGCTGAAAATTCAAAATCAACATCAGTTTAGGCAAGAACAAGAATTTAAAAAATGAAGTTTTTCAACAGGGGAAAATCGAAAAAGATTAAACCTTTAGCCATAAGTGAAGGGAATTGGGTTGCAAGTAATGCAATTAATGCCAACAAGAAAGCTTGACTATTCACCACCATGGCCAAAGAGAGCAGAGGAAGAGGAGAGAGAGAATGAGATTATAAAAGGGAGTTAACGGAAGGTCCCTGTGTTGAATATGACATTCGAGGCTCTGTATTACTCACTGACAAGTGACCAGCAAAGAGACAAATTTTAGAGTTATCAATTAGCTATACTATTCAATTCGTGATCAAAATCGTAGAAATTGTTAAAAAGCCCCCAACTTTATCATGTCCTCTCGTTTATGGCTCAATGCAACACTAATTAACTTGTGAATGTTTTAAGGAAACACAAAAAAAAAAAAAAAAAAGTTGACAGTTAGATAAGTTTCTTTCATGTGAAATGATTAGGACCAACACAAACACAAAATTACATGATTAGTAGTAGGATTAATAAAAAAATGAAAGCAAAATTGAAATGGAAGTCACATGTTTCTATCATGATGTCTCATGCCATTTCGGCAATTATTGAATTTTGTTTGTTGTCATTCGTTATTTAAAGATTAAGAAAACACATCCGTTGATCACAATAAACAGTTGTTGTATGATGGTATCTACAACTGTTAAATTCAATACTATTAATTACTTAGCAAACTCTTCTACTTTGTAATAAATAAAAAACAATAATATTTATTATTTTACCTTTGTTCTTTCCTTGGAGTAAAAGAAAGGTATTGTTTGTTAATTAAAGAAAAACAAAAAAAATTAAACAAGCATTTATGAAGTGTTTGGTGACACGAAAGCGACATGTATATTGGGTTCGAGGGCTTTGGGATTTTGGTCCTGTAATTATCCTAATTTTAGTTTTGGATATAGAAAAATTCTTCAGCGGATTCAAAAATATACAAAAAAAAATGGAAATGGAAGAGAAGAATGCAAATGTGAACGACACAAATGGAAATGGTCTAACATGACGAAGGTAGGGTCAACTCACATGTGCACACCCTGTCATATCTCAGAGAGACCTCAACTTCACTATTTTTCTTCTTCTTGTTTTTTGGTTAGGTTTTGATATTTTAGTATTGTATGCAGTTGTGTTTCCCTAAAATATTGTAGTAATGCCATAGACGAAGCGTTCACATCATTGTAACCGTTAGATTTGTATATATATAGGGTTGGATACTTGGATATGCAACGGATACTTTACAAAAAAAACAGGGTTCTTGTAGCCAATAGAGATACAAAGGTTTATAGTACACCGTTTTGAATAGTATCATTCGTCCCTGTTACCTTTTTTGGGTCAAATCGTCCTAGTTGGAAAAAAAAACAAAAGAGAGCAAACTATTTTCGAACTTAGCAAAGTGGGCTACCTTGGGCCAGTTGATTCTCTTAGTTACATGGATCGATGGTTTAATGTATATAGAGAACAAAATTATACCCAAAAAAATAAAAATCATTATCGCCTTATCGGGACAATTGGCGTGACAAGCTTTGTTCGGAAGAAGGAAAGGTTACTTACTGGATTGCGTGAAAGGTTTGCTCATGCGATTTGCCTTTTAACCTCGTCTAGACTCTCTCTAAAGCCTCAAAAGCTATTTCCTCTTTTCTTATTTTGCTACTCTTTTTGAGGAACTTATTAAAGATTTGTCTTCAATTTATCAGTAGTGTTGTATTGTGTGAATAAGTAAGTTGCTGGAGGGAAAAACAAGGATAATAGTAAAAATGGTGTATTAACAAAGAGGATAGAGTTTAATACTTTTGAAAACGTTTTACATTAAATTGAGATGTCCATAACCATAACTAAAAACCACATTAGTAGAGATATCCAATTTCTCGTGTAAACAACATTCTAGCGCAATTAGCTCAATCAGTTGGAAGAGTAATTGAATAAGTCTTCCCAAACTTAAAACTATCTCTACATTTGGAAAATAAAAAATAAAAAAAACTGATTAACCAAAAAGACTACTCAAATCATCATCATAACTCAACTATGGAAAAAACAAAAGAGATCACCAAAACGATCCAACTTCAAAAAGGCAGAGTTGGTCGAGTTCTTTCATAGTTCTAGACCAATTGTATGTAAATTTCCTCTTTTTTTTTGAGTGTATAAAACAAAAGTAGGTGGAAAAACAAAAAAGAGGCATACACCATTTACCAACAAACCCACTTTTGCTGCATCCATTAATATTTATTAACATCATGTCTTAACCGACACGCGCGCACTTCCGTTCACTCTATTTTTATCCTTAAAATCCTCTCATTTACTTACTTTTCTTGGTCTCAAGACTCTCTTCACGCAAATGCATACCACCATTTTTATCCAACAGTGATGATGATCATCAAGTAGCTTGCTTGCTTGCTTCTTCTTCTTCTTCTTCTTCTTCTTTAGATATTTGGGGTGTTTTTATTTTTTTATAAACTATCTTGGCGTGGAGATAACTATGTTTCCGAGACTACTAGTCTTTCTCGTAGCTCTTCTGATTCAATCTTCTTTTCTTTTAGAGATATCCTCTGCTCTCAAGGTAACCTATACTCTCATCAAAGTTTGTGTCTTTCCTCTGTTCCGACAGACAAAACAGAGGATCTTTTTTTTTCTTTTTGTTTCTTGATTTGTTTTGGTTTTGGATCGTAGGAGGGGAAAACATGTATAGCAGACAGAAACTGTGACGCTGGATTACACTGTGAAACATGTATAGCCAACAGTAGTTTCAGACCCAGATGCTCCCGAACTCAACCCATCAACCCCATCTCCAAGGTTCATACTCTGTTTTCTTTGTTTTATATCAGTCTTTCATTTTGAAATTGATGAATAAATTTGGATTCAATCTTTATCTTAAACTAAAAAAGGCAAAGGGATTGCCTTTCAACAAGTACTCATGGTTAACAACACACAACTCCTTTGCTCGATTGGGGGAAGTATCAAGGACCGGTTCTGTCATTTTGGCACCTACTAATCAGCAAGATTCGATTACAAGCCAACTCAATGTAAAACTCTCCCCAACAACATTTCCAGTACAAAGTTTCGAACTTTAGCAAACCTTGTTTCAAAAGTGTGAATCTTTTTTGGTTATTGCAGAATGGTGTAAGAGGGTTTATGCTCGACATGTATGACTTCCTAAACGATGTCTGGCTTTGCCATTCTTTCGACGGAATGTGTTTCAATTTCACCGCTTTCGTAAGTTCTTATACATACATTTCTTTGTTCCTTGTGAATGTATTGTAAGATTATATTAGTTTAACATTTTTTTTTTGGTCTTGTCTGCAATGTGGTAGCAACCGGCGATTAATATTCTAAGGGAGTTTCAAGTGTTTCTAGAGAAGAACACAGAGGAAGTTGTAACAATTATCATCGAAGACTATGTGAAATCGCCTCAAGGTCTCACAAAAGTGTTTGATGCAGCTGGGCTACGTAAGTTCATGTTTCCAGTAGCTAGAATGCCCAAAAATGGAGGGGATTGGCCAAGGCTTGACGACATGGTACGACAAAACCAACGGATGTTAGTTTTCACATCCGATTTACGTAAAGAAGCAACCGAAGGGATTGCTTATCAATGGAACTATATGGTTGAGAACCAATGTGAGTTAGTACTATATATATGATGCAAACCAAGTTATATATGAACATAGTATTTGTTAACGAATGCAAAAAAAAAAACTGCAGATGGAAATGGTGGGTTGAAGGCAGGAGCGTGTCCGAATAGGCCACAATCAAAACCGATGAGCGATAAATCAAAATCTCTTGTTCTTGTGAACCATTTCCCTGATGCCGCGGATGTGATAGTAGCATGTAGACAAAACTCGGCTTCTCTTCTTGAATCTATCAAGACATGTTACCAAGCAGCTGGACAGCGTTGGCCTAACTTCATAGCAGTCGATTTCTACAAGGTACATCTATATTTGTATGTAGTTGTAGGTTGTGAAGATTGTCTGGATTTCGTCTTACTAATTTATGTGTGTGAGTTCAGAGAAGCGATGGTGGAGGAGCTCCGCAAGCAGTTGATATTGCTAATGGCAATTTGATGTGCGGTTGCGATAACTTTGCATCGTGCAAGGTCATTTTCTTTTACCTGTTTTGAATTTGAAGCCGTCATGTAAATTCTACGGTTTGGTAACATTTTCTAATGTAAAATGCAGGCTGACGGCAAGTGTGGACAGTAAGATAAACTGAGTCACCGTACTAGAAGCAACACCCATAACCAAAGGCTTTCTGTGTTGGTTGTGTCACCTTTGTGTTATTTCTTCTCCCATAAAACTTGTAGTGTAGTAATTGTTAGCTTTTGTTTTTGGATTTTTTTACAGATTAGTGTAATGGTTAGTTTCATTGTTCTATATTTCCTAGTCATATACGAACTAGTCAGATTATAATATGTCTATACATAATGAAAACACAGGTGAATATATAAAAAATGTTGAACAAAAAGTTGTTTAATAGCTAAAACTAAAACATATGCTGATTATAGGGAGAAAAAAAAACATATGCTGATTAACCATAAAATGTAGTATATACAGATTGAAGATTTTGTTATTTTTGGTTGTTGACAAAAATGTTATGAACCTGACCCAGACACTTACTCAGATTGGGGACCAAAACATGTAATATGGTCCTCTTTCAAAGTGTCACAGGGACTTGTGTCTTCTATGTTTTTGTCGTTAGAGTTTTCCTTATTGAGTTACCGACTTTTGATATTTTTAATTACATCAACGAGTCGAAAATATCTCATCTCCTCGGGAAGTCCTTACGAAAAGGTTACTACTACACACATCTTTGTCACTTACCCTCATGACCGGCCGGTGAATACAATCCTTTCTTTTCACCTCTTTCCCAATCTCTTACATGTATTTTAACTGTCTTATTTTTACCCTAGTATATATACTTTTTTTGGAATGTAAAATTTTCCAATATAAACTTATTTACATCTTAATTGCTTGTTTTAGAATTTTTAAAAATATATATATTAAGAAGGTTTATAGAGAATAGTAGGATGACAAAAAAAAATAATACATATGGTGTGCCCTTTATTTTCAATAATACATATGGTTCAACTTGTTTCTTTTGACACTAGTTGCCAAATATTAGAGATAGCAACATTGCAAACCCATGTTCACAAAAAAAGAACCATATTACTTGAGTAGATCCATTTAAGAAGCTCCAAAGCATAAATTAAAATACAAATAGCTATATGTTAGATGTCGATGGTTTATGACAATTGATAATCCATCTCTACTTTTGCTTTGCACCACTTACACTCTCACCCTTTTTTGATGTTGTTGTTGACACCTATCTCTCTATATATTAATCAAGTTAGTAAATTCTATATATACAATATATTGGGTGAAGTTGCCATCCATTGCTTTTACTTTCTGTATATTAATCGAAAACTGGTTATATGCTCACTTAGTCTAGATGCTAGATGTAGATAAGGTAACGAGGAATTTATATGGTCCAAGAAATTGAGAATTCAAAAAATCAACTGATCACGTGGTTGAATAATTCATCTTAGTGATAATCATTCAAATGCATTTCCAACAGTCTATAAATTCATCTTATGCAGATAGAGATATAGTGAGATGATGCAAAGGTACTCAACAATTACATTTATTCGCTTATATATTGCATGTAGACACCAGAAATTATACACAACTTTGGATATATAGTTTCGATCATACATCATAATCAAAAGAAGGTTATAGATTCCGAAGCCGGTCCGGGTTAAGTGCATTGTAAGATAACGGATGAGAAACTTGAGCTTTTTTCTCTTCGAGTTGTGCTTGATCCAGTTTAACCAGGTTTGGATTCTTACCACAAGGGACAATAAACAAAGACTTGGGATCAGCACAAGTCTGTCTCCTCTTGAAGAAATCAGCGCATTGCTGTGGTGTGTTCTGGTTTGGAAGATCAAGTATACAGTTCATACGAACGTCCAGAACCTTACTCTCGATGAGTTTTCTACATTTTGGACCGGCCTGAGTGAAGTAATTATAGGATAGAGACAAGTTTTTGAGACAAGCAATCTCGCATACGATCTCCGGTATGGTTCCATAAAACTTGTTTCTGGCTAGATTGAGTTGTTCCATCGAGTCTAAGCAACCGAACGAGTACGGTATTGGACCGGTTAACTGGTTACCACCAACATCAAAAACAGTGGCTTGCTTTAGGTTTCCTATTTGGTACGGTAAGCATCCGGTTAACTGGTTATTCAAGAAAAGAACTTCTTGTAGGTACTTGATGTCACCAATACTCGCAGGAATTGGACCCGTGAACCTTAAGTCACATCACAATAAATATAACAAGAAAACAATTTAGCTTTACTCTATATATATTAGCTGTAAATAGAATTGCACAAAAACAATTAAACAAAACGAAGATAATATGACCACGACTAGTAGTTCCCTTTTTAATATTTTGTACCGAAACTATATGACCAATTATTTACTTCATCTGATAGAATAATCATAAATTGAGTTTTCATAGATTTATGTTCTTTTTTTTTTTTTTCTTTCTAAAATACTTACTTTCATTTCAAGTACCCTTAGATTTCTATATTTGGTAACGACCCTTTTGGATTTCGAGTAGATATACTCGAAATAAAGAAGGTTAAGAAGAGTAAGTAAAACCCTAACCCGTTGTTTGCGAATGTGAGGTAAAGAGCAGTGATGGATCCAAGATTGGTTGGAAGATTCTGAACAAGCTTGTTGTTGTTGATGAACAAGACGTCGAGGTCGAGATTAAAGACCTGAGGAGGAACAGAACCTTTGAAAGTGTTGAACCTGAGATCGAGAAACGTGAGATTGACTCCTTGCAAGACATTGGTTGGGAAACCGTCGGTGAATTTGTTGTTGCTTAGGTCAAGCTCGAACAAGTATTTTAACTTGCTGATGTCAGGCACAGTGCCATTGAAATTGTTGGAGTTTGCGTGGAAGATGGAGACCGTTTCTAACTTGTCGAGGAAGTTATCTAACTTGCCTCCCAATTGAAACCCATTAAACAGGACACTCGCGACAGCGGGATGGTTTGATCCCGGAAATGTGGCGCAGGAGAGTCCGTTGTATTTGTTGCAAACGTCGGGGCCAACCCAAGAGACAAGTTTCTTGAGTGGATCATCGACTGAATTCTTGAATCTCTGGAGAGTTGGATAGGCTTTCGCTATGAATGGGCTGTCAAAGAGTAGAGGTATTGGCGGCGGTTGTGGCGGCTTTTTATGCGGTGGACGCCGTGGCGGCTTTTTAGGCGATGGAGGTCGCGTCTTAGGTGGTGGAAGCTGTGGAGGAAGAGAGGGTGGAGGAGGGCATGGAGAAGGAGGAGGAGGCGGAGGAGGGCATGGAGGAGGAGGAGGAGGAGGAGCGGGAGTAGGGCAATCTGCAGGTTCCGGTTCTGGTTCCGGGGATGGTGATGGTGGTGGATTGCTGTCGTTACCGCCACCGATGATGATCTCTAAGGATTTTCTGTCGGTAATGTGGTTGTCTCCGGTAGGTAAAGTGAAGTGGAGATTTGAGAGAGAAAGAATGAGAAGAAGAGTTGAGAGAATTGAAGCCATTGATTTTGATGAGATGATTTTGTGGTGAGTTTTGAGGATAAGTACTATGTATCAACTAGGTACATATATATTTATATAAGGAGATTTTTAGAGCATAGGAATTAAGGAGAAGACTAAGAAGTATGAAGAATCTTGAGAAGTCAATGGACACTGTCTTTACTCTTTAGTTTGTTTGGTCAGTGGGATGGCGCCACTGCTACAATAATTACTTATTTATTTATTTATCTATTTAGAGTGTCAAATTAATAATAACAATTTGAGATGTAATTTTTGCTAAATAATATTTTCGAAGGATCAAAAGAAATCATTGATGGATGATAATACAGCTAAATGAATTTCCAAAACTAACGAAGAAAAAACATATGAAATAGAGCATTTTGAGCTTCATTGCCGACAAAACATCCTAAGGGATAAATATATAAATAAAAAATAGAGATAAGATTATTCATGTGGAACATTCGTCAGAGAACATCAACTTTAGTAGATGTCGATCGAGCAAATATATACTATTTTGAGTAAAATCGATTTTGGATGGAGTAATAAGGTATATATGTTGGCAGTGTGTCAGATTTTTCATGCAGTTCAAAGTGGTCAAGTGTTTCAAGATGAATATGTTATTTAGTATTTACTAAAACCATAAACATAGTCAAGGTGGTGATCTTTAATAGGAACGAATTGGACAGAGCGACAAGTCTAGACTTTTCTTTGTTTGTGTATAAAATATAGAGTTGTATTTCTACCTTCTTCCCTTTTTTTCTCGTCTGATAGAAACTTTTACACCTTTGTTTGGAAAACTTTAGGCTCTTGATTTGATGAGGAGATATGGTCTTTAGCCCAAAATGTTATTTAGTACCGTAAAACATCTACATGCTGCAGTATTATTTGCACTCACATACTTTACATACCATGTTCAAAAGTTCAAAACTTGGAATCATGACCATTCACCGGCCATATGGTCAAAATCCTAGACATCTCGTTTTGTATGTATCCCTATAGATAATGATGTTTCTTATTTGAGTTTAGTTTGAGTTGCAATAATCTTTCTCGAAATAAACAAAACAATTGTAGGTATATTTAAACAGGCCCAAAAGTTTGTAGTCAAAACAAAAAAATGGGCTCCAAGTGGTTATGAAAATGCAATTTAGAAGAAGAGCAGTTTGAACTCATGCGTGGCTAGCAAAATCTATATAGGCCCATTGGTCGTCAAACTTATATCGTTGCATTTGGACATTGTTTTGGTACCAAAAACTTTGAAAAAAAAAAGGTTTAAATTTATATACATATTTTTAACTTTAATGTTTATGTTTTCCTCTGTAAATGGTTATTTGTTGACAAAGAAAAATTTGGCTATTGGTAATAAGGGTAACATTGGTTGAAACTATTCGACTGTTAGGGTGAGAAGTATCTTATAAACGTTATAAAACTGTATAAAGTTTAAAATGGACAGCTCAATACGCGTTGTCGAAAAAGACACACCAGAAAAGCATTTCTCAAAAAAAAAATCAAAGAGTTATTTATTTTGTTTAATGTTTTTTTTGTTACAAATTATTATTTCATATAGCAAAATATAAGTGTATAAAAAATGGGTAACCTAACTTAACATAACTCAAATTAACCCATGACTCTAATAAGTTAGGCGGAGAAACCATAATAATTCAACAATATAAACATATATTTCAAACAAAACTGTGCAGAAGAAAACTTGTGAAAAGTTGCTTTACTAATTTATTTTGAGTTCTTTTTACAATATACTCCTCTTTAGTATTTCTTACAAAAATATGGAAAAGCACATCTAATATTTGGTCTATAGAATATATACATACATGTGTATTTCCTATACATAAAACGAAATGTAAAAAAAGAGAGCTGATGGAAAAAGGAAAAAAAAAAAGAACTGATTACCTGATAAATCCAAATTTACTCAAATTTAGCAAAATTTATTCTTCATGGATTTTGTTTTCCTCTTTTCAATGGCTAAATCCAAAAAATGCACTCAATTGTGGTGTGTGAATGATTGCCACGTTACCCAAATCAAGAATTCCAAAAAATTGTCTTTTACATATATATATGTAAGAATTTATTAAAAAGAATCTAAAGGTCCGTTTCCATTAGGTAAGGAATAATAAGTTACAAAAACTCGTAATTGAAAATAAGAAAAAAAAAAAAGGAATTCAGACAAAATTAAATTCAAAAAGTTTTGTTTTTTACGTATAAAAAAAAAGAGAAAAAGAGAAAAGTGACACATTCAAATCTCTGGCGATCAATGATTACATGCACTGAAAACTATACAAAAGATAACGCTCACTTTTACCACCCCTTTCATTATTAGTCAGTTAAGATAATCACAAGTTAATTAAGGATCCTAATTCCACCTTTTTGCTCTTTTCAATTCTCACACTAACAACTTCTTTACTTTAATTATATATATAAAAAAAGAATTACAAACAAATTAAGTAGTACTATTAATCAAACGAGAAAGATCACATAAAATTAGTGAGATACTACTTTGTCTTATGTTGTGTAACAAAACCAATTCTTTTACCTCTCGGTTAAAAAAATTACCCTCGTTTCCAAATAGCATGTATCTATTCCATTTTTTACCATTATGTTCTATGAAAATCGAAAAAAAAATCTTAAATTTTCATTCACCACAATGTTAAATATATACTTTTGAAATTAGAATGAATGTAACGTATGTTTCTCGTATGACAAGTTTCACTACCTTGAATATGAATGAATTTCTTAAAATACGATTCTCATCTATTATATTAGAGAATGTAACTTAGAATAAGTTATTTTTCTTAAAGTAAAGAAAAGTTATTTTCTTAAGAACTAAATTATGAAAGTACATTTTAATTAAAAGAAAAGCTAATAAATAAGTTATGGCATCATGAGAAATTAATCAACAATTCAGTTTTTAAGAAAGTAACTTTAGAGACAGATATGAATTTTGGAATGAAGTTATATAAAGTTAAATATTTTTGGAGCACATTTGTCGGCATTTCCAATGAAAAAGTATAGGTGTATATATGCACATTATGATCTTTAAACGTTTCAAAGAAGAAGAAAAAAAGCACTTCAAATACAACTGTTATTCTGATTAATTGAACTGTTCTTTTTACATTATTTATAAAAAAACAAATCTGTAAATTATTCGAACGTTGTGAAATTAAATTCACTAAAGACAAATTAGGGTGTGGTGGCTAATACGCAAATTAGTTGTCTTCTAACTTAAAATTTGGACTATGTATGTATGTGTGAAAGTTGAACGTAATTCACATAGTACCATGAATTTTGATGATGGTGCATGGAATGAAGCATAAGACAAAATACACTGAGTGTTTGAGAGCTCTCATGAATTTCACAGTCATTTGTATTTTTGAACTATATTTTTTTCTTGCATGAATATGCTAGAGTGTTACAAAATACCATGTAATTAAGTAATGAAAAAAATTGTGGTGATTTGCAAGGAAAATTAACAAATTTTGTTAGCTTTCTAAATTAACAGTCCATTAATTAAACGAGAGTAGACGAATAGTCATGCACTACAAATCAAAGCTTAACAAAAACTTAGTTTAAATTAATTTTATTCACACACGAATAGTGTATTTTACATAACTTAATTAGTATACTAAGTATATATATATATATATATATATATATATATATATGTACGAGATTTTGTTTAGAAATTTTCATTTTCGTGTGCCTTTTTTCAAAAAAGTTTCATTCAACTATTCATTCTTTAAAATACCTTTTACTAAATACTCCTATGAAAATTTATAAAGTTTATAAGGTATTTATGGATGTAATTAACTACTATTTAGATAATATTGTAGACATGTATGAATGTAGTTTGCTTATGCTTTTATAAGGTAACATAGGCATTTCGATAGATCACAAAATTTTAGTGGAGTTTGTTTTTAAGGACGTTTTAGCAAGGGATATTTAGAAAAATGATTTTGGAAAAGGCCTTTTTAAAGTCCTCCAATATTAATTACATATATCATTTGATGTATATATGCTGTATAATTTTTTACAACTATACCTTTTAAGTTCAATATCAAAATTAGATTTACTCACAAATAGATATTTAAATTACACAATTTATATGACTGGCTCAACATGATTTTAACAATGTTAATATCCTCCTTCATGATACATGTAGTTTGAGGAAAAACAAATAGCAAATTTTTTAATATTAGAGTATATTAGTAATAGTTGTAAAAAAAAATAGTATATTAGTAACAGTAAGTTCCTATAATTATATATTTTTTATTTTGTTGAGGAGATGGTTTTGTAAAAAAATTAAATCCTGAAAAATATCATTCTAAATTACTAGATTAGTATTCTAGTAATTTCTCAATTTCATATTACTATATAATATATGCATATAAAAGCACATATATAATATAGCATAAATATGTGATATAGAAAGAAAAAGCGCGTATTAGTTTATGATCACTAATTTACCAAAACTAATTAAGAAAAATTTTGGTTTTAAGAAAAAACAAATTATAGAAAAAGGTATTCCTTAAGAACTTCACAGAAAAAGAGAAAGAAAAAAATGAAGTAAATATGTATCCTTTTTTGTTTTGATGACCTAGTAACGGCTTTGTTATGATTATCTTTTGGGGTTTTGCTATGAGCTCACTTAACTCCTCTATATATACATCTTCTCTGATTTCTCTTTCTTTCACCATCTTTAAACGTCTCTTCCTCTCTCTCTTTTTCTTTTCTCCTTTTCTCTTTCTTTATATATAGATTCGTAAAAATACAATTAAAAAACAAAGCACAAAAGGGTATAATGAGCATTCAATTCAATATGACTAATGCTCAAGAGTTTGGTCAAGAAGGGTTTATGTGGGGCATATCCAATTCTGATGATTCTGGAGGCGGTTGCCAAAAATCCGAAAAACAATTGCCTCCATCGCAACCTTCTCTTCCGTCGTCTCAGATCCAGATTGAGACGGCCAGAAAGGTTGCTAAGGGAAAGAAGAGGACGAAACGAAGTGATGAAAATGATGGAGAAGAAGCACCTGATCATGAAATGCATATATGGACTGAGAGAGAAAGAAGGAAAAAGATGAGGGACATGTTTTCTAAACTACATGCTTTGCTTCCCCAACTTCCTCCTAAGGTATTTAATTAATATCAAGAACATATAATTGATAATTTTCGTTTTCATCGACATGAAATTCATACATTGATTACAATACTTTTTTCCTGTAATTCACATGCAAAACATTGAATTGTGTTTATAATCCAATTCTGTATATGCAAAGTTTCATATATGCATATACTTATAACCTGAAAAATACAATTTCATGCAGAAAATAACATTTGGATTTTTGAAGAAGGTTTTAATCTTATCCAACTGCATTAAATGATTCCTTTTGTGAAATGAAAGAAAATAAAACTAAACACATTTATTTAATCCTCCAATTTTCCATTTTTCTTCTATATTTTGTCATTTCGTTTATTACTAATCAAAAATATAGATGATTTTATGTTATTTTATGGTTATTTAAACTAAAAAATTTGATATCTTTCTCTTGCTTGTTGTCATGTTTTAGATCTCAATTTCTTCAAGTCCTTATGCTGGTTCTTTTTTCAGCTTTTGTTTCATATCTTTTAGCATTATATAAACCATTAGATCATAATTTTATCCCTTAAATTTGGTCTGATAATTTAGCTTTCATTTTTTTAGCAAGACCAAATTAAAATATTTTCAAACTCTAAACAAATTTTTTATATATTTGATGTTTTTTTATATCTACATTATAATCAGAAGACTTATTTGAATCCACCGAATGCGCATGGTAAAAAAGCTCCGGTTTTAAAGCACTATAAAAAGTAGATAAAATAAAAATGAACTAATATGTACATTTTATGTGCCGGATATCTTACGTTATATAGAATCATATATTTTAATATTTTAAGTTTTGATCCACAGGCAGACAAATCAACAATTGTGGATGAAGCGGTGGAAACTATCAAATCCCTTGAACTTACTTTAAAAAAGCTCCAAAAGCAAAAACTCGAGAAATTTCGTCAGTACTCGTCTGCCTCAACAAGCACAACTCCTACTACAACTTTTGCGTATGATCCATCTTCATCCTCTTCCCCAACAACAACTCTCCCCACACCAATATCATCATCAAACCATCCCCAAATCCTTGCTGCAGCGGATTCTTACTCCCGTGAAGCTTTCTTGGCCGATCATATATCTTCATCCAACACTGCTGTCGTGAACCCGCCTTACCCTTGTGGTGATCCGATCGCGGCTTTCGATACGTGGTCTTCACGTAACGTCGTGTTGAATATTTGTGGAAATGAATCTTTCTTCAATCTGTGTTTCCCTAAAGGCAAATCAGGGGTTTTCACTTCGGTTTGTTACTTGTTTGAGAAGTATAACTTGGAGGTTTTGTATGCTAATGTCTCCTCAAATATTTTTTGGAGCACCTACATGATCCAAGCACAGGTATATTCTACATATTTAAACGTTATTATCATATAATATGTGGTGAAATATATTATTTACGATGGTTCTTTTCTTTTTATGTTCTTTAATGTAATGAAACAGGTAAATCCGAGTTATGCGAATCAGCTGTTGGGAAATGGGTTTGGAGTAGGGGAAATTTTCAAGCAAGTTGCTCAAGACCTGGTCTTGTGTTTTTCATCTCCATGAATCATAAACCGGCTGCATTGGTTTGAATTTAAAGCATTTTCATGGTTTGTTTTTTTGTGCGAAGTCCCGTTTCTTTTGCTTATGCAGAGATATTAGCTTGGATTTTTCAGTTTAAACCCAAAAAAAAAAAAAAAAAATAGAAGATATTACCAGCTCTTTCGAACATTGTTGGCTAGTGACTTTTTCGTAATTTTAGTTTTATTTTCTTCGCCAATGTATTGTTATTGTTGTCCAACATGACATTTAAGTAAAATAACTTTTTGAAGGTTAAAATGTTTAAGATGCATTTAAATTTTATACCCAAATGAATATTATTTTTACTTCTCTTTGGGTGCAAATGACTACTCTTAAAATGAACGAGTTGAAAATGATGAGATGATAAAAGAAATGAAGATGAATAGTTTTCATTTTATTAAGCTCTTGTAGAGTGGAAGAAAAGTTTTATTCTTTTCTCTTCTTTATTCTTCTAATCTGAGATGAAAGAGATGAATAATCAATTTTTCAATTTTTAACTCAAATGGTACGGAGAAAGAGCAAGTGGGCTAGTGGTTCTCACCTCTATTGACTATTGCCTTCTCACCAGATCCGGATTCGAGCCCGGTCCCTCTCAAAGAGAAACTTATAATTTGTAATGATGTCAAAAAAAAAAAAAAAAAACTCAAATGGTACACTTTTGGATGAATCTAAGTGAAAAAATGATTCATCCCTTTCATCTCACTTTTAATGGTCATCCATTTGTTGCCTTTGTTTTATCATTTAAATATTACACCATTTCTCATTTTTTAGAGTAAACAAATTGCCATCAATTCTTTTGTATTATGTGCATGAATAATTTTTCAAGTAACCAAACATGATTTTGACTTCAACTTCAATATATTGGCCATAAGATGATATATATTAATATGAATATGAACATAGTTCAAAATCAAGAATCATAGGACTTTCTACGATATATGTTTTGAATCTCTATGTTTTTTTATGAATGAATAATATCTGTGTTTATGATGTTATATATACATATCCATCCCTATCTTTTCTTTTTTAACCTCTTGTACTTTTGTTATAGATACAAAATATGGATTTTGATTGAAAATATTGCCATCATAGGAGAAAACCTTGACATATTTTTCATGTTCATCATGTTTATGTGATTTTTTTTTTTGTATTACTGGTCTCACCATTTTGGGAGAATTAAAATCTTGTAATTTAGAAAAGTTTAAGAAGTGGTCCAAGTAGATTACCTCATGTAGAGTTTATTGTCAGTCCTACATGAGATTTGATTCATGATGGACCAATAAAAACCATCAATTTGGAAATTGTAAGAACATGTTCATAATGGGGTTTAGTGAAATTTGAGCACTAAAAGAAAAACAGAGATAAATAAAATTCTTATTTAATAACCTTTAACGAGAATCTTAAGACATATGTCTTTTTATTATTGGTTAAATTTTATTAAAGTTGAATACTTCAAGTTTAATTATATACTACTAAATTACATTAATGGTGCGTTTTCAAGTTTATTTACCAGTCGAAGATACTTTAAAAAATTCACATATGAAGTTTTTTTTTTAAATTACATAATAATAATATAAAAAGAACATTGACCATTTTACTGTTCATTTATTTAAGTTTGAAATGTTTAGTTATGGTTAGTTAAGTTTTAGTACCCAGTTGACTCAAAAATTAAGAATATAGCACTCTTATATGTATAATTAGTTCTCTCTCATCAACTTGTATAAGTGGACAAAATATCCTTTCGCATCTAACAAATTATTTAGTGGTATAATGATTTAAGTATCGACGATACTGTTCATCAAATACATAAGTAAAATCATGTTATAAGTTAGATGAATAACTATTGAATTACCATGATAACAATATATATATACATATAAGTTTATAAATATATCGTATTAAATTGTTTTGTATCGCGATAATTTACGATTTATGTGATAAATTTACAGTTACCGTGTTAACTCATTTACTATACCATATACAAAACAATAATGAATGTCAATAATAACAATAACATGTTAAGTAATATTATATAGAGCAATTCTTGGGTTTACCCCTATTGTGAACATTTTTGTTCACCTCTTATTACTATAAACCCTAACCACTATTTTGTCAACCTAAACCAAAATTATATTTTGTTTAATTACATGTTAATAATATGTTATCATGTAAACCCAAACCCAGACCCAAACCAAAATTTTAAACATGTTAATAATCTGTTATCGCGGAAATTTATTAATCCAAACCACTATTTTGTCAACCCAAACCAAAATTATATTTCGTTTATTTACAAAATCTAAACCCTAACCACTATTTGTCAACCCAAACCGAAATATAATTTCATTTATTTACAAAATCTAAACCCTAACCAATATTTTGTCAACCCTAACCAAAATATAATTTCGTTTAATTACAAAATCTAAACCTTAACCAATATTTTGTCAACCCAAACCAAAATATACTTTCTTTTAATTACAAAATCGAAACTCTAACCACATATTTATAAACTTAATATGCTAAATAATTTATAGTGTTAAACTTAATATGCTAAATAATTTATTAACAGTATAAAAGATATTGTATTGCGATAAAATTATAAGTTATATGGCAAATTTGAAATCATTCTGATAAATCATTTATTATCGTGTTGAATCATTGTATCATATTGTAGAAGTTAAAAATAGATGACGTATAAATGTTGGATTAAAAAGTTTATAATTTATTGATTTTTATTACGTTATCTCGCTAAACTATTTGTTACCATATATAGGAGTATTTTTGTCCAGCTAAAATAACTATGAGAGAGAACTAATTTAAAAAACATTAATGTCAAATACTTAATTTATTTATTTATTTGAGTATAGAGTGCTATTTCCCGTTTAGATATTGTTAATTGTCACTTTTGAATTTTGAGTGTTGACCCCAAGTAAATGAAGATATAATTAAAGATGATAATGGGCTTCATATACAAATATTTTAACTTTTTTTGTGCACCCATCCAATTTCTTTTTATTCATAGTCATCATCCATGTAAATTTTACATGTGATATCTGATTGTTACTGTTTATTTTATTCATATATTTAATTTTTCCATTATCATAAGAAACATAAGCGGCTACTTACGGTCTCACTCTAAGTCTTGAGTATGGTTTTGTCATTAATGATGAGAGAGCTTCATATACACATAAATGGCGACGTGAAGAAGAATGATGTGTACCATTCTGAGAATTCAAGTTTAATTATACAATACTTCATATACACATATATGGAGTAGTTAACACACACATAAATGAACTTGGGCTTCACAACAAATTTAAAGCCCAGGACCAAACTAAGAATTCATAAATCTACCATCTACAGTATGATTTGGGAATCATAAATGAGAAGCAAACTAATGTACAGTACAATGTTAAAAATGGTAAATCCAATGAAAAATGTAAACTAAGAATGAAAACAGACAAATTGGCTACCTAACTTGCATTGCACACATACCTTAAGTGTGCATCAATGGAACAAAAAAAAATAGATATACAATATGCATACCTACCAGCTGATAATAAACTGTACAACAAAAAACTAAGCAAGAAAACTTATTTATAAAAGACTACGATTTTTCAAAATAGCTATTAAAAAGTCCCATTTGAAAAGGATTTAAGCAAAAGTTTTGGGCTCAAAACTTAATTAACGTAAATAGGTAAAACAGAGACTTTTGATTCTTTCATTTTTTTTCCCCTGGTTTTTAAAAAATTAATTACATAATTAAGACTACTCTAATAAATTTTTCTAACAAAGAATTAATAACGTGTTAAACGAAAATAAAAAAATAATTCAAAACGGCGCCACTTCGGTACGAGCAAAATCGTCGGAGTTAGCGGTAGAATCGTCAGGCCAAGAGTCTCTGAGAAGCTTCAAAAGCATCTGAGCTTTCCTCTTCGCTCTCTCCGTACAATCACTCTGCACCAGTAGCAACAACTGCGTCACCAACCCCGCCGCCGCTGCCTCATCTCTACACCTTTCTTCCGCCGTGCACAATGCCAACAACGCTCCCGCCGCGTACTCCGTCGCTCTATCCGACACTCTCAGTATCGTCTTCACCATTAGCGGCACCGTCAAAGCATGCTCGCCAAACGCCGCGCATCCTTCCGGTAACCGGCATAGTAGCTCCACCGTCGCTAAACCTCTCTCCGTATCGCACCTGTCGAAATCCGCCGCGAGACGGTCGATCAAAATCCCCGGAGCTCCGGCGGAGATCGCGAGATGTCTCGTTTGTTTCACGAGGCAGAGCGCGAAGATTGCCTTGATTCCGATCTTCAAAGCTCGCCGCGACGAAATCGGATTCTTGAGGAGGTCGAGAACGCCTACGAAAATCGAATCGGATCCGGAAATTATCAATTTCAGATCCATCGATTTGGATCCAGTCAACACCATCTCAATCAACGCGGCGGCGTTAACCCTAATTTCAATCGAGGAATCAAACAACAACCGGGTCATAAACCCGACCCGACCCGGATCCGATGCTACAGCTTCACACTCCGTCTCCGTCATATGCAACACGACCAACAGAGCGAGCGACTCAGAAACAAGCTCCGAAGAAGGAGACGACGACGTTTCAACATCGGCGAATAAAATCCTCACCAAAATCTCCCTAGCGTTGTGACCGGCGATCAAAACACGATTCTTCTCACTATCTCTAGCTAACCCCCTCAAACGACGAATCGCGGCGGCGCGGGAGCGAACAGAGACGTGAGTTCCGGTAATTGCGGAGGCTTGGCTGAGGAGAGACCTGACGGAGATAGGATCGGCGGGTTGTTTAGGAGTAGGGATCCGTACAACGCCGTTAGAGCGGTTAGCGACGCACCATTCTTGGATAAGACGGCGGAGAGTGTGGTTAGGGATGAGAGTGAAGTCGGAGAGAGCGACGCGTGTGACGGGGCAAGTGGTGTTGCCCATAGCGATCCAGGAGTCGATGCTGGTGCGGTCGTAAGTTTGACCGGTGGAGATGGTGACGGGATCGGACATAAGGTCAAGGGAGATTGGGCATCTGAAATGGTATGGAATTTGGATGCCTAGATCCAACGGCTCTAAATTCCCCGGCATTTTTTTGATTTTAATGTGGAAGAAACGAACTGTTTGTTTCTCAGAGCTTTGAGGGAAATTGAGAGAGGACTGGAGGAGGAAGACGAAGGACCTTATCTGCGCAGGCTATGATGCGCCACACGTGTGGCTTTTATATCTTTGTTTGTTTAGTTATATATATACCAGTAGTTCTTTTGAGCTTAAATTTTTAACTAAACCATAATATTCTTATGTAATTAGTTGGTTTTAAAGGAAGTGATAAATGTAAAAAATTGCAATTAGAAAAAAATCAACATAATATTTGTATGATAGTATAAGTTTTTTTTATGTGTGTGTAAAACATAAATTTTTCCTCCGTTTTGAGAAATAATTTAAAGAAAAAACAAATTGAGTTCAATCAAGCACAGTTATTTAAAAATTAAATTTTAAAATCTGTAAAATATGAAATATAGTCTAATTTTTTTTGATAGGTTGCAATTTTATTATTGTAGGTAGGTAGTAGAGATGTTAAATAATACGAAGTGTGTTTGAGGGTTTAGGTCATAATCACTTGTACGTATTTTGTTTTGATTCTTTCGTCATTAACACTAATGGCACTTATTCCGTTTTGCATTATATTCATATATAGTCTACATATATCATATATGTCCCAAGATTTTAATTTTATTTTCATACGCATAATTTTAAAAGTCACCGGTTTTTTTTTTTGTATCGTTTAGAAGTGAAGCTTAATGCTATCAATATATCAAAAACAATGAAATCTCTAATACTATATGGTATCATATATCTTAATTTTTTTTTTAACAAAAAATATAATCGACAATGATACCCACACACACACCCAGTTGTATACAACCACCCAAATTTATTATTTATCTACCATATAAATACGACGAAATATATTTAAATAAATGTAAGAAAATTAATGTGTGTTGTTAATTTATATTAAAAAGATCAATAAATTTTGGTCAAAGGAAAATGCGAAAGACTGGGAACGAAATTAAAAGACCCCACACCGAGACAGCTACCACTTACATCAAAACCCCAAAAATAGATATTACACCTTATACAAATAGTTTGACTGTTTTGTCTTTTATACTATTCACTTTCTTTAATTTTTTTTTTGACTGTTTTCAAATTCACTTCGCTGATGGTGAATTAAATTTTACTCTCTTTTTTTTTTTTAAATCCTGTTTTCACTTTTTACAAGGTTTCATTTCTTTATTTGACAGTCAATCATCCAAATAGGTCAAATGTTTTAAGTTTCAAATTACTAGGATTTTACAACTTCAATGTTGCTTTTTTTGTGTTATAGACTTTGACTTACTGTCATCTAATTAATTTATTTCTCAAATTCAAATAAAAGTAGCCTTTGCTTCATTGATAAAAAAAATACATACACAATATATATATATATATAGCTATAGCATCAAATGCATCATATATATTAGTAACAGCAATGTAGACTAATTTTAGAGTCATGTATGTCTTGGGAACGTTTGTGATTGGTTCGTGTATAATATGCATGCATGCATGATAAATAGTTCAGACGAAAGAAAAAGAAAGAATCATCGAGACTGTAAAACTTGCTTCAGTTTGAGTTTTAATTTGCTTTTCTGCACAATGTAATGTAGTGTCGGGAAAGTACAAGAAATTACAGAATAATAATTCGATTAAAAAAAAAAAAATCATGGGAATGGAGACAAATATTCTAAGACAATTATATCGAAATCATATAAATTCGGGAGCAGGGATAAGATCCATGGATTTGGACACTATACATTATTTTTTTATATTTTTTGAATATCTATACAGTACTCGTATTGATTTACTTAAAAAAATATAAAAATTGAGTGAAGAAGAGAAGAACAGGATCGGGCTGGCATAATTGCCTTGACCTCATGGGAACGAACAACAACAACTAAAGAAGTTTGTGTTTATTGTCTCTTGCTTGCCTTTATCCATCTCTCTTTTTTCGTTAAATAAAAATAACAATATTAAGAGATATAATTTTGAAAACTACATATAGAAAAACTAAAGTTTTTTTCATTCATGGTATAAGTTAGGGTTATGCATTGAAACACACACACACACACATATATATATATATATATATAAACTAGTTCTTACTATTAGTATATATGTTTAGTTATCAATAATTTTAAAAATCTGATTATACCAAACAGTAATAGTATTTACGTAGCATTTTTGTTGTAAGACTTGACTGTTGATATCTATGTTATCATGACTTATAATTTTACTCATGTGATCATGGCTATAGATAGCATTTGGTCTAATCATTATTTCTACAAGTACACATCTATATACCAACCAAATACTGAATAATTGGGGAGGAGAGGCATTAAAATTAGTTGAGCTCCCACGATCATATGTCTACCTTTTATATGCCAAAATAACCAAACTCATCTTAGTAATATATGTATTTGATTTAGATATACAAATGTATGCCACAGAAATATAAAATAGCTATAAATCCAACCACCACATATATGATTTTTAAATGGCTGGACTTGGCCAATATAAAAAAAAATCATGAAGACTTGCTTGGAGCCAAAACAAAAATGGATGAGTCAAAAGGTCAAAGAATCTTAATGAACAGTGAGGACATGAATGTTTAAAAATTGGATCCAGCTTGGTCCAAGAGCATGCTTATTATAACAATTACAAAAGAGGTTGGTCCATCATTAATATACATTTATCTTTATTTATTTATGTTTTTTTTTCATCAACTCTAAAATTCTAAATCACATATATGATAGTACTAATCGTTTTGGAGTTTACTAGAAAATATTAATATTTTAGTATCTGGCATGACTATAATTTGGATGGAGTTATTCACTAATTTTTCAAAATATTAAATATAAAAACCAAAGAAATACTTTTTTTTTTGGTTTTTCGTTCATATATATATATATAGGGCAAAAACGGTGTCGTAAAGGGGTCTGTGTAGGGGACAGTGCGTCTCCCACTTCTCGCGACCCTACGGTCTCCGGTCAACCCTGCACTGTCTTTGTTGCACGTGCTTCTCTCTCCTTCACACGTGCTTCCCAGCTCATCCTTCTTCTTTTGTTTTGTTTTCTGTTTCTTCTTACATATATATATATACTAGCAGTTGACCCGCGCTCCGCGCCGGAGTTTTATAATTTTGTTTCGTTAATTTTTATTCATATTGTGATATTTTATTATTTTTTTAATTGATTTTCAAAAAATATTATAATTATTTTCTCTTTAATTATTATCTTTCAATACTCAAATTTGGATTAAAAGCATTTGATTCAATTTATGAAATATTATTTTTTTTCTTTTTCATCATGTTATAAACTAATATTTCACTTTCATTTTATTTTTCCTCTTTATAATTTTATATATACAATTACATAAATGTTGTTTTAGTCTACCATAAATTTAAATTTTACTTCCATTCTAAAACTCAGTAACATATTTAAAATATTAAATTATGATCAATTTAAAATGAAAGTTGAATTATATTATTACACTAATAAAAAATTAAAGTATTGTTTTTCTTATTTTAACATTTCATTTTTTTTACATAATTTATTTTTATTTATATAAACTTTATATTAATTAAATAAGTAACATAAATATGCACTAAATAAATGTTTTAAATTTATTTTAATGTTTAAACAAAAATGTGGGTTAGGTGGCATCATGAGAAGAGAGAAAAAGCTAACTTTATATATATAGCTATATCTTCTAACCCAACAATATAATATATGTAATAAAAATGAATATGATTCTCAAATAAACTATGAATTATTCCCAAAATCCTTAACAATTACTGCCACTGTCGGATGAGTTCCAGGGTTTCTTTTGTTTTCTAATACTATTTTAGGTTTTATTTTTATTTTTTGGTGAGTTTTAATGTGATAAGATGGAAACAAACAAGACGACGTTTGTGCATGCATGTTTATCTTGAAATTATAACCCAATATTAATACTACTAATTAAATGTTTCAAATAAAAGGTTAAGATATTCATATTGGTTGTCGTTTCTATACGAAAAGGAAAATATGAGTCAAAGATTTTGATATTAAAATTAAATAAAAAAACATACACACACACATGAGAAAGCTTTTGGCGTACCTATATGTAAGAGGGACTAATTTGATTTAACCTAAAAGTCTAAAACCCTATTTCTTATAAAAAAGGTTTATAGCCAATTGCGAAATGGTCCAAATCTACTTACACTGACAGCTAGGTTTAATGGAGCACATAATTGGATACAAGAGGTGACTAATAAGAAAGAAAAGAAAAAAAAGGATACAATTATATACAACGCCGATCGTATACATGTTAATGTATATAACTATATATGTTGTAAACTTTAATACGTCGAGAAAGGATAATCAAATTAACAGTGACTGAGGAATCATCCAGAAAAGTTTTAGACGGCCCACAATAGATATGAAACTATTAAAATCCACTGGATGACTCAACTTGAATCGAACCAAAAACTAATTATATGTTGGAAAAAAAAAGAGAGAGAGAGAATAACTCTCAAGTAGCCCACTGAAGAGGAATCTTTTTCACCATTGATCATAGTTGGAGTTTAGTTGAAGGAGGACCAAAGCAGAGCGGGATCGGAGGAAATCATTGGCCACTTCTAGGTGTGCTTTTATTGTATATATAACTTATGGAAATATCTAAGTTTGAGCATGATTCCTATTTTAGTAATCTTAGAAATTGTTATGATCTTTAATCACATTATGATTAATCTAGACTACCCACACAAAAACCAAATTTGAAAAATAACATCCAAAGAAGCTTCAAAGAACACGTATGCATGATTCCACACCTCCTAGATTTTAAATCCTAGCTAGCTAGTTCACATTTAACTTATGAGTAGTGACTACATTTCAACAGTAGCACCATTCTTTTTCCTTGATGAGTTCAACTCCATAAATAATAACCTTTATGCATCGGTATGGTTTTATGAATTAATGAATGATTGAACAACACTAGAAATTGCTAATCCCTACTATATAACTGTGTTTAACATATAATTGATGTAATTTAGAACTGATATTAACTTTCATCACTTGGTAAAGATCAACACAAGTTTATATATCTATATTACTTGCATCCTTTTTGATACTGATGTAGTTACTGCTTCTTTGTTAACATCTATTACATTAAAATATACAAAAATTTAAATAAACTGAAAAGGGGTGGATGTATTTGTGATTAACCATCAATCCCTTTTACTTTATATTTTTTTACCATTATGTTTTATTTTATTTTTCTTTTATCATTGTCTACGTTCACTGTTATAAAAGACTAGACTTTGATTCACAATGGTTTAATTCTAGAACCCAACATATTAAAAATCACCTTGCTCCATTGTGTTATAGTAAGATAACACCATAATTAATCTTTGATATTAGTTGTCCATGAAACTTAGAATTCACCTCGTTAGTTTCCATGTCTTTTTGAAATTATTTGAAGTTGTGAAAATATAAGTAGACTTGACTATATGCAAGTTGGAAATTTGCAAAACCAAAGCTTACAATATATCCAGTCTCCTTTTTATAGTATTTTCAAAGTGAGACCTTTGATATATAATTAATATGTAGAGGCATAATTAATATTTTGAAGTAAAATAAGATAAACATTTGAAGAATATCACATCTTAGAGGCTATTAAACATGGTAAAGTTGTTACATGCATTAGCATAATCTATAGTTTCAGTTCATAAGGCTTATTATTTTAGTGTCCAACACCAGGACTAGGACCAGAATCTTGGGCTCGTCCAAACATTTTGTAGCCCTTAGCTCGATGATGCCCAACCCCTGGGCTTGGGCCGGACTGTTTCACTGTGGCTAACCACGAAAGATCTTGTACAGAAGACTCGACTGGTTTAAACGAAGACATTACGCTTCCATTGAACGCAGATGAATCTGTTAATTGGGTCACCGATCCCGAACTATCCTTGACGGGTCGTCCTTCAATGGCTAGTAACACAGATGCCACCACTATGATCACAACAACAAGAAATGCTGCGTCGAACTTGGTGCGGTTCTTAGCCATCACCATGAGAAATATGATTTGTGTAGTACGTAAGACGAATTTATTAATATTGGTAATGTATTTGAATATGATGATCATGATAAAGTTTGGTGTAGTGTTTAAGAGTATTTATAGTGTATAAGAAAGAGATGAGTGTAGGGAAAAAATAATAATATCAATTGTGGGATATGTATAATTTTTTTCTCATTATTTTGTTCGGAACTGTTGATTCGCCGCCACCTCCTTAAATTTCAACAAATGAGATATCATATTCACGTAAACTAAAAGAATTGAGTTTGGCTCACGTAACCTAACAAGTATTGAGTTCGGCTCAAAATTTGAGATATTGACGTTATACATTTACGTAGTTCGTTGTTATATAATCAAATTAGAGTATGTGTTGGTTTTTAACGAATTCGTGGAAAGATGGACTGACTTTAGACCCAACCATTAACAAATCTTGATTCAAGTAAAAGACTCGTAAATAATTTGTTTTTTTGTTGTTGTTTAAACAACACATATATACCATTTCATTACACAAGGCCAAGAAATCTTGGAATTATTTTACAACAACAAGGTGCCTCGTAAAACAAAGTCACACCTAGCTACAAGCCTACAACAAAAAGATTATACCAAGAGCACATTAAGATTCGCAAATATGATTTATCTTATTTTCACTCTAATTTTTAATGCAAATCTGAATATACTATCTGCAAAATCGCATAACAGTGCAATTCCGGGATCAAAGGCTTTGACTATTGTTTGTAGCCATCAAATAGTGTTTATACGACTGTTCGTTATGAGATTCCATTCAGTGTATCATTGTCGCGTGACTTGGGAGCATTGAGACTTTGCGCTCGGAACCTCACACTTGTAACCACTTTAACTTAAAGCCTTTGCAATAAAGTTTTATCGTTTCTTGACTTTAAACAGTCAGATAGCTCTAGATGAGATTTGTACATGAACCTACCTTACTTGAGGGTCACAAAATTTTCAGGTAAGCTTCCATTATTTTTAAGTCAAAGAATCTCTTTCATTAATCAGGATCAAAAAATAATATTTTCTCCGTTTCACAAAAAAAAAAAAAAAAATACTTTATTTACCTTTCATAAATTGTGTCATATCAATGAATACAATTACACAACAAAAAAATAAATTGTCGAAAATGGTAGAATGATATTGTTTATGAGAGGGTGATTACTACACCGATATTAACAACAATGGCTCATCTCAGTGGCTTTCTTCCTTGCTTGGTAGTGAATCTGGATGTATGCGTCTTATGTGTTATTAATGTGATGAGTTGCGGTTTTTTTCATCAGCATGCATTTTGAGATTTTTCTCAATACCTTTTGCGAGGAGGTGTTGAACAAGGAGTCAAGGATCCTGAGGAGATAACAACGTCACTTGTACCAGTGGATCCAAACCACTGTAAATTGATTTATAATCTGGAATAAACTCTTGCAATAGAGAAATTGACATGATAAATATAATATGGCCCGCCGTCATAAGAAAATCAATCTAACAGTTAGCTAGTTACGATCGAACATCTCATTGTTATATGTAATCTCTTACAGTCTTACCTTGTTGATTTTGTTTGATCGTTGTTTTTATTTCCGTTCTTTAATTTATATCGCATTGGTTCTTCTCATCTCACTGAATTGTTCCATATCTTTAAGTATATTGTAAAGTTCATTTTTCCGTTTATATTGATGGTCTTTTAACTTTCCCATGAATATTCTTAGTTATGGCAATCATGTTTGTTTCGTCTTTTAACTTTGTTTTTTGATGAATGAATCTCTGATGCATGACATATTTTATGACTTAAAACCATATTAAACACCAATGAAACCATATCTTCATGATGTAATGGATGTATATATATCAGAATGTTATATTTATATACTAAAACTCTTAATGCTTGTGTGTGTAGCTTATGAATCACTGGGATATAAATTGCGTTTGTTGGAAGTTAAAGAGACAGACTACGAACCGCCAGGTAAGTCGCGATACCAGAACCAAAACCAACAAAAGCATAAACAGTCACCTGCACAAAAAGAAGAAGACAAAACAACTAAACTTTTGTTCTCTATATGTTGGACAAGACAGAAGAGGTATATCAGTCTCACCTTACGGAAGTACCAAAAGAAATCAACTTTCTCCATACCCATGAAGGCTACTCCAGCAGCAGATCCAGTAATAAGCATGGAACCTCCCGTTCCAGCGCAAAATGAAATGAGCTGCCAAAACTCAGAATCTTGAGGGAAGGCTGATAGACTATACATCCCCATAGTTGCTGCAACCAATGGGACATTATCTATGATGGCTGATACCACACCAATAATACTGGCAATCAATTCAACACTAGATATATGTGCATTAAGATAGTTTGCTATCTCTCTGAGAATCCCAACCGCTTCAAGACTGCAAAAAATAAACATACAACAATATAAATATTTTTGTACAAAAAGCAAGATACAAGTTTGAGTGTAACATTTTTGGGTTACCTGCTCATAGATAACAAAATTCCTAGGAAAAAGAAAGCTCCTTGTGAATCAATCCGAGACAAAGCATGTGGAAGTTTGAGGTGTTGTCTCTCTAAGTCATCGTAATGGATCACATCTGTCAAAATCCAAATAACTCCAAGACCCAACAAGATGCCCATGTAAGGAGGCAATCCGGTTAATGACCTAAACAGTGGGACAAAAAGCAAAGCTCCAAGACCAACTCCAAATACAAGTTTTCCTCTTGGAGCAATCTGATCATAATAATCTAATAATGGAGTAGGAGGAGTCTTTAGTTCCATTTCATTTACCTCACTGAGAAAGATGAAAAAGAAACTGAAAGTCACATCAACCTAGATCTACAGTGAAAACATTAGAAGAACATTGAAACCATTATTTAAGAAGAGTTTATAAACCTGGTCAAAGACATGAAACCCAGTGGAACAACGAGAGAAACCGATGAAGGTAAAAAGAGGTTCTATAAAGAAGAAAGTAAATTTTCCATCATTTGCTTGTTCAAGCTCTTTAATTAAATCTTTTTTTGTAAGAGTTTAAATTTGATATATGAAAAACTTATGAAAACAAACCTTTATAGTCGAAAATGTTGATATATGACCATGTATCCATAGCATAGTTGTAGTAACATCACCAATAGGAGTCCAAGCTCCTCCTGCATTTGCTGCTATAACCACAACTGCTCCTAAAAGTCTTGCCATAGGTTATAAGGTTCAACATATACATTATACTAACGTTAATAAACATCTCATTGTTCCATATAAAGAAAAGAATAAACTTTATTAGGAAAAATATTCTAACTACACAAATTGGTGTTTCCTTGATTCACTATAGAGACAATTCTATTTCCTCCTTGTAAGCAGCTTAAAGACTAAAACCAAATAAAAAGAAAAAAAAGACTAACAAATAATTAAAGATTTTCATACTTGCGGTATTCAGATGGAGGAACCAATCTTCTCAGTAGAGAAACCATAACAATAGTAGTTGTTAGGTTGTCAAGAACCGAGCTAAGGAAAAAGGTAGCAAAACCAATCTGAAAATGAAACCATGAAAGCTAGAGTTAAGATAATGCGAAAGCAAGATCAAACAAGAAAACTAAATTATTATCAAAACATAACTAAGCAAATTAGAAATGGAATAATTAACAATACCATCCATAAAAGTATCTTCGGTTTCCTAGATGTTAGACGATCTGTAACTAGCTTGAATCCTTGATGAGCATCAATTATCTCAACAATGGTCATTGCACCGAGCAAATAGAACACTATTTGACTAACTTCACTTGTTGCGTTTTGAAGCTCTAAAACCACAACTTCTAGAGAAGCCTGTAAACATGTGATTATAACATAATTGATCATATAACTTTCGAGCTATATTGTTTTAAAGTCTTACTTCATCCGAGCATCAACAATATAATAGAGATGAAACAAACCTAACAATTGCAATTAAACAAAGTTTACTATGAATTCCTACCCCTATGCTTCGCACAACCCACAAACTCACAGCCATCAAAAGTGCTATACCGCTTTTATTGAAAGACAAAGACTCCTCGAAGATGATCAAAACATATCCTATTCCAAACAATAATCCCATAACAATATTTTGTATCATGATGTTCTATTCAAATAGCTATAAAAAAAATTTTAAATCATGAATTTCTATTATGTTTTTCTCTATAAACCTTTGGTTTTCAAAATTAGTAACTCACATAACCGTCACACGTGTTAACTTCATTAATTAGATTTTAACACGTGTCAAAAAATAATAATCTCCTTTAATTAATTAAGAAAACTAATTAAAAACATATTTACATATAATAATTTATATATACATATCTATAAAATTAAATTTATTTATCTTAATAAAAAAAAATATCAGTATACTAAAAACAAAAACAAAAATCCTTAGCAAAAAACAAAGAAATTAACAAAATAACAGCAAATAAAACATAATTTAATATATAAATTTAAGAGTGTTAACCAATCAATTATAATTTGAAATGTATCAAACTATTTTAAACATCTAATTCATCTATATAGTGTTGTTGGTATTTTAACTTTCCCATGATTTGTTTTAGTTATAAATTTCAGTTTGTTTTCTCTTTGAATTTTCTTTTTGATGATTGAATCTCTGATGCATAACCTATCTTTTGACTTTAATCATATTAGAAATTTTCTAAGCACCAATGAAACCATCTTCATAATGTAATGAATGAATATATATCATAATGTTACATATTCCAGTTTATAGAGATTGAAACTATTGACGCTTGTGTAGCTTATGAATCCCTGATGAGCAAATGAATATAAACTACACTTCTTGTTAGGTTAAAGAGACAAGACTGTGTGAACCGCAAGGTAAGTCGTGATACCAGCAGAAAAACCAACAAAAGCATAACTTTGTCACCTGCACGATAAAATAAGAAAAACCAACTACACTTATGGACGTTCTCTATATGTTGAACAAGTCATCTATATATGATGGCTGATACTACACCAATGATACCAATTCAACTTTGGATATATGAGCATTAATATATAGTTTGTAATCTCTCTGAGAATCCCATTCGCATCAAGACTCAAAAATAAAAATAAAGAACAATATAAATCTCTTACACAACAATAGGGAACAAGTTATTGTGGTCGAGTGAAATTTGGGGTAACCTGCTCATAGACTATCCGAGACAAAGCATGTGGAAGTTTTAGTTGTTGTCTCTCTAAGTCACCATAATGTATTTAAATCTGTCAAAATCCGAATAACTCCAAGACCTATAACAAAGATACCTATGTAAGGGCGCAATCCGGTTAATGACTTAAACAGTGGGACAAAAAGCAAAGCTCCAAAAACCAACTCCAAACACAAGCTTTGTTTCCTCGTGGAGCAATTTGATCATGTCATTTACCTCACTGAGAAAGACCAAAAGGCCACATCAATCTACTGTATCTGCAGTGAAAATATTAGAAGAAATTTGAAACCAGCTAGTCAATGACACGAAAGCCAGTGGAACAACAATGGCTTTGTTTCTACGCAATAATAATACTCAATGGCTTTGTTTCTACGCAATAATACTCAATGGCTTTGTTTTTACGCAATCAGATTTTAAATATAAAAAGACTCGCTACTACAAATACCTTCTTCATAATTAAGCAGCCATCGTCTAGGGTTACCACTTTCTCTCTTTAACCTAGCTAGAGCCGTTGTTTTCATCTTAGATCGTCATGGAAAATAAATCCTCCACAGCTCCTTGTGTGAATAAGGACACGACTACGACTGAGAAGAAATTATCTGAAGCGATGGAGATATTAATGGAAGGGTATGGTGTTCGTCTTCATAGGATGGAAGAAAAGATGGATCTGTTGATCTCATTGATTAGGTCAAATAAAGAGGATAGAATTGGCTCTGTAAAGGCCGAGGAAGAGAGCATGCCTATGCCTATGGATGAATCACTCTCTTATGAGGAACCTGTCCAGACTTTATTTGATAAAAAGGAGTTCATCAACCCTTTTAATCATGTTGGTGATGGTGCTAGTCTTTTTGTCGGTGGTCGTTTTTCCGGTGGTCGTTGTGGCGGTCAAGGCTTTTGTGGCTTCTGTTGAGGTTTTGGCGGCGGCGGAGGAGGAAAGATACCTAATTTTTTTTTAGTTTTGCTATGTAGCTGAACAAGACTATCTCCAACGATTAGGAGTGGAAAGCTAATTTCTTAGATGAAGAGGTATAATGCCATAAAATTTATAATAATAATTGTCAAAATTTAGTTATATTTTTGTAAAATTTAACCAAAATAAACTGAAATATATAAATTTCGGCTAATTTGAATAACCGGAACCGGCTCGAACGTGGATAGAACATAACCGAACACAATCCAAAAAAGGGAAAAAATCAGAATGGGTTAAAATATCAAACCAATGGCTTTGTTTCTACGCAATCAACTTTTGTAATAAGACTCTTCTATATAAATACCTTCTTCGAATACCTAAGCATGCAGCTGTCTAGGGTTTTTTTCCGATCTTCACTTTCTCTCTTTTTTAACCTAGCTAGAGTCGTTCTTCTCATCTTCTCCATGGACTACAAATCCCCCACCAAAGCCGAAGCAGCTCCTGCTGTGGTTAAGGCCGCGATGCCTCTGCAGAAGAACGTTAATGAAGAGCCCATAGATGATTTGGGGAACCACAAGAAAGACAAAACCGAGAAGAACATATCTGATCAGATGGAGATACTTGAAGGATATGGTGCTCGTCTTAATCGGATTGAAGAAAATATGGATCTGTTGATCTCATTGATTAGGTCAAACCATGGAGTCAAAACAACCTTTTGGAAGGCTTATGAGGCAGAGAGCATGCCTATGGATGAATCTTCTGATGAGGAACCTAGCCCTTTTAGTCGTACTTTCGGTGGTTTTGGTCGTGGCCGTGGTCCTTTGATCGGTGGTGGTGGTGGACCTCATAATCTTTTTGTCGGTGGTCGTTTTGCTGGTGGTCGTTGTGGTGGTCATGGTTTTTGTGGCTCATGTTGATGGTTTTGTGGTAGAGAAGGAGCGACCTAGTTTTGCTACTCAGCAATTCTTCAGCAATTTTTTTTTTTTTTTAATGTTATTAGAGAATTAGATGAAGCTCAAGATTACTTCACATTGATGTGCACAAATTTATATGAATATTTACTTGCTAATACCCTTGTTAATCCTTTAGTTCTAAGAAAAAATTATAAGATGTCCTTATGCAATTACGCTTTGGTCTATGGGTTTAGCGACTCTCTCCTTGGTCCTCGCTTATCAAAACTTATGGACTGACATTGCACAAATCCTCGCCTCCATGAGACATCTTTGAAAGTTTTAACTTGTGTCTTGTCATAAGATTTTATTTCACACACCGTTTCTGTTCATTCTAACTAATAATAGTTTTCTTTTAAGCAATAACTTTCACAACTCCAACTTAAAACAAACAAAAAAAAAAATCAAAATTTAGTAGATTTAGGTTGGTAACACTAACGATTAATGTCGAATAATAGAAGAAGGCATGAGTATTGCCGTTTCATTATTGACCGCTTATGAAAAAAGATGTGAAAACAAATACCACATTGGGAATCTTTCGCAAAAAATCGAACCTTTAAAACGCGATTTTATCTGTCTCTCTGTCCACGCTGCTTGAAACTGAAGCAGAGAAGAAGCAAAGATGTCTTTTGAGGAGTTTACGCCGTTGAATGAGAAGTCTCTTGTAGAGTACATTAAAGCAACTCCTGCTCTCTCCTCCAAGATTGGTGCTGATGATGATTTGGTTATCAAAGAAGTCGGAGATGGCAATCTCAATTTCGTTTTCATCGTTGTCGGATCCTCTGGTTCTCTTGTCATCAAACAGGTTTGCTTCATTTTTATTCCCATCATCTCAAGCATACTAATAGATTCGTATCTCTTCTTTGCTTCAGCCAAATCTCTGGAAATATCAATGGACTAGGAATTAGGGTTTATCTGATGTGCGTTTCAGATTCAATCTATCTGTCTCTGTTTTCTGCAAATTGCTATCTTTTTACCTTATTTTGAAGAGACTGTAAATCGAAATGATCATTGCTTTGATCTAGAGGATAAAAGGAACAAGCTTTGACTTACCATGTAAATTGAACAAGTTTTGATTTTTTTCAAGAAATCAGATTGGTGATTATTTGTCCCTCTTTATATGTACAGGCACTTCCATATATTCGATGTATCGGTGAATCTTGGCCAATGACGAAAGAAAGGGCTTATTTTGAAGCAACAACTTTGAGAAAGCATGGAACTTTATCACCAGATCATGTTCCTGAAGTCTACCATTTTGACAGAACAATGGCTTTGATTGGAATGAGATACCTTGAGCCTCCTCATATCATTCTCCGCAAAGGACTCATTGCTGGAGTTGAGTATCCATTCCTTGCTGACCACATGTCTGATTACATGGCTAAAACTCTATTCTTCACTTCCCTCCTCTATCACGATACCACAGAGCACAGAAGAGCAGGTTCATAACTCTTCACATATAAAAATTTGATGTGGAATTACTTTTCAACGTTTTGGTGTTCCCTGAAGTGAGTGTCTTTTGTGTTTGTGTAGTAACTGAGTTTTGTGGTAATGTGGAATTATGCCGATTAACGGAGCAAGTTGTGTTTTCGGACCCGTATAGAGTGTCCACGTTTAACCGTTGGACTTCACCTTATCTTGATGATGATGCTAAGGCTGTGCGTGAAGATAATGCCTTGAAGCTCGAAATCGCAGAGCTAAAATCAATGTATGTTTTTACCCATTTCCCGGGGATTTTCATAACCATTTGCTACTATCTCTAAACTACCCTTGTGTTTCTGTTGTTAGGTTCTGTGAAAGAGCCCAAGCTTTAATACATGGTGATCTTCACACTGGTTCTGTCATGGTTACTCAAGATTCGACACAAGTTATAGATCCAGAGTTTTCGTTTTATGGACCAATGGGCTTCGACATTGGAGCTTATCTTGGTAACTTGATACTAGCATTCTTTGCACAAGATGGACATGCCGCTCAGGGAAATGATCGAAAAGTAAGCAAGATATTCAGAATTCTGATTTCTACTTTTTCCTATCTTCTCATTGTCTACACAGTTGCGAGTACCTCAGTTTAAACCAACCTAACTCTACAAATCAGGAATACAAGCATTGGATCTTGAGAACCATTGAGCAAACTTGGGATTTGTTTAACAAAAGGTTCATCGCGCTATGGGATCAAAACAAAGATGGACAAGGCGAAGCATACCTGGCAGATATCTATAACAATGCCGAGGTTTTGCAGCTTGTTCAAGAAAACTACATGAGGAATTTGTTGCATGACTCACTTGGATTCGGTGCTGCAAAGATGATAAGGTAAGAGAATCTTAGACCACAGAGATTCCATTGTCGATCATATAAAAATGTTGTTGACAGTGTTGGTTTTGTATATGACAGGAGAATCGTGGGTGTGGCACATGTTGAGGACTTTGAATCGATTGAAGAAGATAAGCGAAGAGCGGTTTGCGAGAGAAGGGCGCTCGAGTTTGGGAAGATGCTTCTCAAGGAAAGGAGAAAGTTCAAGTGTATCGGTGAAGTTGTTTCAGCAATTCAACAACAAATCTAAAGACTCTTTATTATTATGTTCTTCTTCTCAAGTTCTTGAAAGTAATGTATTGATCTTGGAGTTAATTGCCAAGAACATTATCAAAATGTAATAATAAAACTGAGTTTTTTTATAAATCTAAAATGAAAAAAAAAACTAGGGATGATGATAATACTGAATAATGCATTTTGATACAATGAAACCTTTTAAAGGTTATCTTGATATGATTTGGCTTCCACAGTGTACTGGTTCACTGTTGGTGACAAGATAGCAGGTGACCATAAATCAGCACCGTTGGTATTCGCTACATGAACAGTCCAAGCTAGTGGTACAAGACATAAACCATTGTTTTTCAACTCTCTCATTGTCGGGTTCACGTCTTTGGTGTCTTCGTCTTCCTGACGACACATCAAACTATTCACATCAGTCATCACACCGTCAAAAATAGTTGTCTCTTTAAGCTTCTAAACAGTCGTTTCGAATCATGAAAAGTATGGCTTACAAGAGTGTGATGTTTGAGGTAAGGAGAGGATAGGACTTGAACTTGGTCTTGTAAGAATTTTATGTAACCCGTTGTTTCATTCAACACTGATGCTGTATCTGTCTATCGATATTTCTCAAAATTACAACCTTTTCTATATATATATATATTGAAATATAAATAAAATAGCTCTTGTTAGTAAAATCACCTTGCCGTATGGAGAAACCAATTGCTGCAACGCTGTGATTTTTTCGCTAACCTTAACATAATTACACACATTAGTATATACACATGGCATGCACTAATTAATACACACGCATATCTCTATTCATAACCTCAAAGCCAAACCTTAACGGATGACTTCTTCTGATCTCGCTTGCATCTCTTACCGGGTTTTGGATCGCAAACCCGGTCGTGTTCATCACTCGATCCGGTTCTCTTCTACCATTAGAGACAAACATTAAATTTGTTACATTATAGGGATCTTGTATAGTGTTGCATGCAATGATTTCTAAACCTTGACTAGTACCATTATGTGAATGCATGCCTATTTAATATAAAAGCTTACATTGGATCTAGATGATTTATCATTGACCGTACGAGTCATATTGCTTGAAGAGGGTCCTGAGAAGATCAATCCGGCGTTGTTTTGGTTTCTTCCGCCGAAACAGAGCATTTGAGTAGTATCGTTTCCAATGAATCCGACACCAAAGCTGTCTTCTCCAACGTTGCTAGATCCAAGAACATCATTAGACAGCAGAAGAACATCGGAGAAGTTCGTGACTCCGTCTTCTTCCTCCGTTGTGCCTCTCATTTAGAGAGTTTTAGTGGGTTTTTTTTTATCGTTGGCTTGAGTTTGGTCTTGGAAACTGAGGGAGATATATAACAAGTGAAAAGGTGAGAAACCATAAGAGAATAGTATAGTACAAAAACTATACTGTTATAATTTTAAGAGTATATACACCATATAACCAATTATTTTATTTTACTATATAACCATGTCAATATATATGTCATTACTTTTTACATCAGTTACTTTGGTCGGACAAGAAGAAAAAATGTCATTTATTTGTGTGAAGATATATTGATGAAAGATTAAAACAGAGAAAGCTTGCAATAGAGGTCATATAAACTGAAGCTTGAGGCTTATGCAAGTAGAGGCTAGAGAAAAGATTAGCTAATGGAAAGGAAGAAGAAAGAGACCAATACTGAAGTTTATGGTTAGCTTAGTTGTGTTTTTACCATTTTAATCTGAATCTTTTTTGTTTGACAGTTCTTCTATATGCATTTGTAGAGAACTTACCAGACACCAAGAGACAAGGCAAACCTTTGACGATGAGCTTGATGTACATGGTAGCTTAATTTGCATAGAAGATGACTATGATTGATGTATCATAGCAGGAGAAAAGGCGAGATCAGATGACAAGTTTTGCTGTAGTGAAGCTGACAAGACAGTTTGATCCAGCAGTAAATGCAGACAACAATGATGAAGTTGAAACAAGCAAAGCATATAAGAGTAAGGTTCTGATCAATCAAACACTTACATAGCTGTAATAAGGGAAGGAAGCCAGGGAGAAGACTGTTTGCTTTATGATAATGCCCTCAGAAGTGAAGAAACTATGGAAAACCAATGAGGATTTAGAAAAGAGAAGCAATGATTTTGATGTTTGATAACACTTTCGTTGAAAAGAGAGTCCAAGATCTTAAGGCACAAAAAAAATATGGCAAGGGTGAAAGAAAAGAGAGCTGAAAAACAGAGAAAGATCATAGCAGGTCGTTTGATCTAAGGCATCTTCTAGGTTGTTTTGGGGAGTCAAATGCAAGTAGAATACATATATCAATGATCATCTCTCACCTGTGTGATATTTTTGGTTTAGTATCTTATAAAGAATACTTGTTTGTTTTTAAGTGTTTCATTTTGAATCTTTTGAACTCAGTTTCTTGGACGTGTGTTTCATATCAGAATATTCAGCTACAGAGATAGCTTCATCCTCAAATGGAACAGCCTGATACCATCATATGATAGAAATCCAAGAAAATTGGATGTATCAAAGAGATTAACGGTTACATTAGAAACTATAATTAAAATTGAAGAGATAGACAAACCATTTATGCTTACTGCCTAGGGACTGAGATAAACAAACCTCTTAAGACAGTCATCACAAAAGCTTTGGTCTACACTATTCAGATTTCTAATAACACATACACATATTTCGTTTGTTTCCTTTAGGAATATGGACACATCTTTCATTGTTTATGAATGGGATTTTAAGAGTACTGTTAATCGACTGTGAAAGTAAGATTGTCCAGACATTTTCTTTTTGTCAGATCTTGTTAAGGTTCAAGAGTCAAAGACAATTCGAGTAAAATTGAATCACATCGTTTAAAGAATCAGTGAATCATCATGCACATGCACACTTAACTGACTAACGCCCCCACTGATTATTATTTTTTGCCTTTTGGGGAGACATGTCATGTTGAATATCTTGTAGCAATAGTTTCGTTTGGACAAAAAGGTTATAATACAATGTTGTTAAATACGAATCATAAACTTAGCTGTAAAACCACTATAATAATAACAATGGAAATAGTTGGTTAATGAGTCTGTTTTTGTTTTTGTGTTCTCTGCTCTTTTGACCGTTAGAACTTAGAAGCGATCGAGCGAGAACCTCAAAGATATTCACGTGGTGACTTGTTTAGTCACACGTTTCAAAGTGATCAATTGGTATCACACTGACCAATTTTTAATTTATTAACCTACCTTCTCGTTTTTATAACCTATATATAGTTTCTACATTTTGGTTTTTTTTTTTTTTTTTTTTTTGGTCGCCCAAAACATTTTGGTTTTGTTATGGATGATTTGAACTTTAACATTGTTCTGATTACAAGTGTATGACCAATTTATAATTTTTTTTTGTCAAACTTATTTTATGTATAAACTAGAAACTTAAATCAAATCATCGATATCTTGTTCTTACATTGTATTACTCCCCTGTGTTTTTTTTTTGTTAATCCAATTTCTAGGAAAAAAAGAATTGTTTAAGAAATATAGACCTTTTAGATTTTATATGCAATATTTATCAATTATTATTGACGATGAATTGTCAACTAAAAAATGAATACTATTGATTTAGACTTTTAGAGTAACAGAAAAAATTAAATAATAATAAAAGTTACATTATTTATCAATTTTTAATATGTGTGAAAAGTCTAAAAATAGCTTAATTAGGAAACAGAGAGTATTAATTTAAGTAATTGCTCCCCCAAGTCACTATATATACCATCCATATACGATTTATGAAATCTAGTTAATTGAACTAAATTGTAAAGATATTGCATGTCAATCTAGATGAAGGACGAGCAAGTCCAGTGATTAATACAAGAATCATGAACTACTGTGTGTTAAACATGTTCATCACGGAGTTAATATATCTTCATGATATATATTAGACACATATACATATATCTTCTTGAAGATGAACCTACAACACCCGCATTCCACGGTAGGGAGTAGGGACACCAAAAACAGTTTGGTTTTTTGGAAAAGTATGAATTATTTTGGTCTGGTGAAAAAAAATGTCTCCCAAAAATGGATCAAAATGATTGTCATATGAAGGCTAATTGAGTAGTAATATTATTACATGAACTAATTATATATTAGTTTGTTGAGAAGATGATATGATCGGACTTAAATAAACAACGTTTGTCTAACGTATCTTTAATGAACAGGAAAGTTTGTTTGATGATAGTGAGATTATAGTGCACGAGATAGAAAAACTCAATGAAAAAAACAATAATGAATTAAATGATATATATATATATATATATATATAGATCATCATAGAGTTAGTACGTATACACACATTGTAGTAGCGTAACGGCATTGTATCAAAAAAGTTTTAACTCTTCATCTAAATAAAAAACACACAAGAATTAATGATTTTTTGAAGTTTGCTGCAAGTTAATGCTAAATGTCAATTGTCGAACACTTTTGTTTAAGAAAAGAAAAAAAAGTAAGAGGTTCGGACAAGAAATGTATGAATCTGAAGACGTTTGCTAGGGTTTTATCAAAAAAAACTTAGAACAAAAATTATTGTAGAAAGATAAAAGAATAAAATTGAATGAATTTAAAGTAAAATTTTGTAAGAAAAAAAAACAATCAAGCAAATTTCTGTGAGAAATTATGGAATACAAAGGGTTTATTTTCCCAACTTTAATTACCCTAGATACTTGATTATATAGTGAATCAACCACACTAATTTAATTTTGTCTGAAAGTCCATTTCAACCAAGTTGCTTTTCCATTATAGAGAACCCATTTCCGGAAAAATAGTTTTAATTTTGTGATATTTAAAAAAACTTTGGTGGTCTTTTTTTTAGGAAATCAAACTTAATACTAATAAAATACCCATGCTAATAATATTAATGAGAATTCTCCTTTATCAAAATGTTTATATGTTATCACTTGAAGAGAAAACATCCATATACATACATATATATATAATCAATAATTTTTTTAAAAGATATAAGTCTATAACATAAGTCACAAATTACACTATTATTTTGTTCAATTTTTTTTTTTTTGAAACATTATTATTTTGTTCATTAGTCTCCTAATTTCTAACAAAAGAAAAAACAAAATATGTGTATATTCCTTGGCCATGCTCGAACTCAAATAGTTGCGATTCTTGGTTATCATCCGTTTATATAAGCAGACTTGTCGCTCTGATCCATTTGCAAGAGGTGACTACTTCATCCGTTTATAAAAGCATACACTAGATTAGATTGTATCGGATCTAGCTAAGCTAATAATGATCGAGAGACGTATCGAAAAACTCAAGAGTTAATAAATACCGTTAACTCTGAAAAAAGAAGAAGAAGAAGAAACATTAAAGCCAAAAGACGATCTAAATGAATCAGTGTACAGTCTACACCATCCTTAACGGCGCCACTTGCAATCAATCACCCACACGAAGTCAAGTCTCTCGATTAGTCTCTTTCCAATACGTTTTGGCACACACTTTTCAGAATTGAATGATGAACACGAACACCATTATCTTTACTTTTCTTTTCTTCTCTTGTACCCTCGATCTGAGCATCCTCACCTCAACTAATCAAAATTTATCGCATTGTCAAGAGTTTAAACACGATTACGAACAAGCATTGAAACAATTTGACAATGACAACAACTTTTACATGTACAATACGTAGCCGCGTTATTATTTTATACTATCTGTAAAATAGCACTAACGAGGGTAATATAGTCATTTACTAAAACAATCCTTTCTCTCTCTCTTCGAGCTGAGAGCTTCTTCACTCGCTCACTCGGGTCCTTTAAAAGTATCGTCAAAACTCTCTCTCTCTCTTCTTCTCCGCTGTGACTTCTCTTCTTCTCGTTCTCCAGCGTCTCTGTTTTCAATTTAGGGTTTTTCGATTGTTGTGAGTTTGTTTCGGTTACGAAGAAGAAGAAGAAGAAAGAGTCAAGGTTGCATTTTTACCAGAGCCCATGGAGAAGAAACAAGGGTTTTTCTCATCACTCAAAGACGAAGTCGTAAGAGGTCTCTCACCATCTCGTTCCAGACCACGTTCTCGTTCCGCGAGCCCGTCACGCTCATCACACCCGCACATGAAAGCTCTTCTCTGGGGCAGAAAGAAACTACTCGCAAGCTCCGGCGGCTGCAGCGGCGGAGGAGGTTTTTACTTGCCGCAACCAGAGGCCTTGATTGGGAGATCCGGTAGTTTGAGACCCGTGATGGAAGGTCCTGATCCAGACAACGGTGAAATGTCTGGTGGGGATTCGAAACGGCTCGGGTCGGGTCTTAGTCATTGGGTCAAAGGTCAGTGGTCACGTGCTCCGTCCGTGACCTCTGCTCCGGCTTGTCGGAAGTCTGATTTGAGGCTGCTCCTCGGCGTTATGGGAGCTCCTCTCGCTCCCATTAATGTCTCTTCCTCCGCTCATCTTCTTCGTCTCACCATCAGCGATTCTCCCATTGTTAGTCTCTCATTCCTTTCACAAATTCCAAGTTTTTAAGCTCCTTAATTCGTAAAATCTTGAGTCCAGATCTTGTTTATGTTTTTTTTTTAATTTGATATTTGGACAATTTGTGATGCCTATTTTATTGAAATATATCTCAAATTTAGCTGATTTTGGATTGGTTGGTGGAGTATTGTCATTATCTGGTGGGGGTTAGATTCATATAGTACTCAGATTTTGAGTTATGTTAGTTTCTATATATAAAAAATACAGTTTTTATTTTTTTTGTTTCTATTATTGTGTGATTTTTGTTTGATGTAGTGATATGTTGTTTGCAGGAAACAACATCTGCACAGTACATTTTGCAACAGTACACGGCGGCTTGTGGTGGTCAGAAGTTACAAAACTCCATTAAAAACGCTTATGCTATGGGTAAGCTCAAGATGATCACTTCAGAGCTTGAAACTCCTACGGGAACTGTTAGAAATCGAAACTCTACCAAGTCTGAAACTGGAGGTTTCGTTCTCTGGCAGATGAATCCGGATATGTGGTATGTTGAGCTCTCTGTTGGTGGTAGTAAGATTCGTGCTGGCTGCAATGGGAAACTCGTTTGGCGACATACTCCTTGGCTTGGTTCTCACACTGCTAAAGGACCGGTCAGGCCTCTTCGCCGTGCACTTCAGGTTAATCCTCTTAACTGAAAAAAATCTTGCATGGTTTTGAAGTCAATCCAATGGTTGTTTTATTATGTTATTGATCATTCAGGGACTTGATCCGAGAACTACTGCTGCTATGTTTGCTGAATCGAAGTGTGTTGGAGAAAGGAAGGTGAATGGTGAAGATTGTTTCATTCTGAAGCTATGCACTGACCCTGAAACGCTAAAGGCGAGGAGTGAAGGACCAGCAGAGATCGTAAGACACATCCTCTTTGGTTACTTCAGCCAAAGAACAGGCCTTTTAGCTCAAATCGAGGATTCTCAGTTGACCCGAATCCAATCTAACGATGGTGATGCTGTTTACTGGGAGACAACAATCAATTCGTCTCTAGACGATTACAAACAAGTCGAAGGGATCATGATTGCTCACTCTGGACGCTCTGTTGTTACCCTCTTCAGATTCGGGGAAGTGGCTATGAGCCACACTAGGACGAAGATGGAAGAAAGGTGGACTATTGAAGAGGTCGCTTTTGATGTTCCTGGTCTGTCTCTAGATTGCTTTATCCCACCGGCTGATCTTAGGTCTGGTTCGTTATCTGAAACCTGCGAGTACTCGGGTCAAGAGGAGAAAGGGAAGAGCGCGATCGTGTTGGCGGCATCAACAGCTCATAGAGCTAAAGTAGCAGCCTTGGAGAAAGGAAGGTTCCACGAGAATCCGGTTTGGCATATCGACGTCTGAGTTTGGTAGGGAAGATGCAATCTGTGCATAGTAAATGCTTATAACAAAACTCAAGCCTTGGAAATCAAACTAACTAACCCCTTTTGTTTAACAGCTCACATATTAGGAGTTTGATTACAACGATTGGTTTAATTCCAGTTTCATTTTGTCCTTTCTTTTTCTTTGTCACCTTCAATATTTTTGAGTAAGGTGATGGGATTGATTTGCAAAAAAACGGTGGCAGCAAGAGAAGGAGAATTGTTGCTTAAGTGACGAATTTGTCTCATCTTTTTTTGTTTGTTTGGGAAATTTTGAATTTATGGAAAATTGATTTCTCCATCTTCTCTCAACTTTCATGGTTTTAAAGAACAGTTTCAAGTTGTTTGAATTTGAATCATATAGAGTTTAATGTTGATGAAGACATGATATTGATGTGATTAAAAAGGAAGTTGAGACATTCTTAATGTATGTATTGTTGATATTATTAGTGGTCAGAGAGAGTGAGGTGTGTTAGGTACCCAATAGAGAAAGTGATGGTTAGGAACAAATAAAAATGAAATTTTATGAAAGGAATTGAAGATGATGATTATGAATTTATGAATAAAGGGGTCCATTTTTGTTATGCTTTTGTAGCAAAAAATAGCTTTTTGGAACAACTGTCTTCTCTTTTTTGCATTAACTTTCTTTTAAAGTTCTCTTTTTTTGGGCATAACTTTCTTTTAAAGTTGTTATATATTGTTGATAGCATCTTTTGATATTCGACTTCGATATGTATGTAACGTACTGTGTACATGGATGTATGAAAATGACATCGGTTTGGAAGAGGAGACAAAGCTCTGAAAGTGCATGAAAACGTTATGTTGTTGAGGTTTACTCAAAAGCATAACGAAATTTTTGTTGGATCAAGATTTGGTATTGAAAAAAGAGGTTGCTTTGTAAACCAACAAGACAGACATTAAGAGAGAGATCTCAGTGAAGGTATCTAAAAAGATTCACACCAACAACACTATCAACGCTTGAGCTACCCCAATGGCACACAAAAACCGTTAACACACAAAAACACGTGACAGAACAACAACAAAAACACTCAAATGGGAGAACGAAACTCGAAGACGTGGCTATAAGTTGGGTAAAGAGTCTATTTACAAAGTCTTGTTATTCCTTAGCTATGGCTCTACGGCAGTAAGGACAATCTCCACAAGCTCTTAGCCAAGGGTTTAAGCAAGATGAGTGGAAACTATGGGTACAGGGCAAGGATATAAGCTTGTCGTCTTTAGTGAAACTCTCTAAACATATGCTACAATCTCTCATCTCGGTTTTAACCTCAGCTGAGCTAAAAGTTTGCTGGTGTAAACAGTTAATAGCATCTTGAGTAAGTCCTTGGGGTTTCTTGTTACTTTCATAGGTCACCTGATGCTCTTCTATTTGGAAAATTGGATCTCCGTCTGCGGAATGAAATGAGGACTCCCTTTGTTCATCTCCCAATGAAACTCTGTTGTTTCGACTGAGAAAAAACAAAGTGAAAACCATACAACTTCAGTACCCCCAAATTGTGAAAAGAAGTTCCAAAGAAAGATCTCACTAAGTAACAAGAATCTTTCTTCTTATGGAAACTCCTCAAGGAATCCATAAAACTGATTTTAAGGCTTACGTATTGACCAATTCTAACAAGAATCAAGAGGAAATCAAAACCAGAATCGTGATCAGACCAAAGCAATCGTCTTTAGATTAAATCTAAAATCACAGTAAGAGTGCACACATCAAGTAAAGCTGTAGAATTTTTCACAGACCTGTTGCTAGACAAAGAAACACCTCTCAGTCTTTCGAAAAGTCTTGCCCTTGCGAGCAGAACAGCTCCAGGGAGCCTCTCTGATCCACTTAGGTTTACAAAGCTGCTACTCTGAGTTTCAGTATCAGTACTGTCCGTATTCAAATACTGAGCAGTGCCTTGAACATCACGAATAGGTCTACGTTCCTTAATTAACAAATTAGGCGAGATTTTAATAAATTGTGTCAATTTTTTTTTTTTTTTTGGTAACAATGTGAAGAAGTTGGGTCAAATTCAGACAACTATACTACTGAAATCACTTTTTGGAGGAACGAAACTAACCGGAAGGTGACAGAAGCGTCGGAGACGCGGAGTGGGTCGCCGTAGAAGATCACAGCCGTCGGAATCATGACGTTGGTTATGGTGATGGGTACCGTGACGACGATGATGATGGTGCGAGTGGTGTCGATAAGAAGAAGTGTCGGATTCTAAATCCGGGTCGGATCGACCTGGACGCGATCTTCGTGTAGAGAAGAGCTCGGATGCGCTCGTCATGCACCGATCAATCACCGAATTCGTTATATGATCTCTGAAACTAGTGCAGAGGCGATGAGATAAGGAGGAGAGAGAGAGAGAGAGAGAGAGAGAGAGAGAGCGAGAGAGAGAGAGAGGAAATGTAAAAGAAACTGCAGTGAAGAGGTGACGTCATCCCACTCGTTGTTGTCTGAAGGAAGACATCTTTTCTAAAAACGGTGCCGTTGTAATAACAACTAAGGGAAGAAGCCAAATTTGTTTTGGGCCTATCCGAGTGAAGTCCACTAAGGACTAATATGTTGAATACGAGAACATGGTGTAAATGTTTAATTTTGACTGTAAATTTAGGGCCATGACCAAAACCTAAAATTTAACTATATTTTTAACCGCGGACTGTTCTTTAACTGTAACCGGACTGTTCTTCAAGTAACCGGATCGTAACTGTATTCACCGTTAGCCATAAAAATAAACTATTTATAGTTGGTAATCGTAACTGTTATTAACCGTAACCATATCAAAACCATTGGTTAACCGCATAACTAACCGTATGGTTAAATTTTTAAAATAAATTATCTCATTGAAATAATATTTTAAATAGATTAATGTGTTAACTAATAAATCTAATCCACTCTATTACTCATTTTTGTTAATAAAAAAAAGATAATTTAACTTAATAATTTTATAGCTTTATGACCATTAACTTTTTAATTTGTAAGTTTTTCTATTAAATAAAAATCATTGATTTAACTAATTTACTATAAAGTATTTGAACTATATAATTAATATATATTTCATATTTTAAAATAAATTATTATTTGAATATATCATCATTTAAAATTTTATTATTAAAGTAAGAAAATATAAAATTACATCCATGATGTTAACTATATTATAATCAAATAACCGTAACCATATATAATCGTAAACGCCTTATCCGTATACATAATGGTTAAGAAAAATATAACCGTTAACCAATAACTAATAAACCATAACTGCATTAACCATAACCGTGGTCATGCCTATGTGAATGCCAAATATGATAAAATTGAGTATTTTTTTTTCATAACAAATGAGAAAAGATTTTTCAGTTCGAAATATATAGTTTCCAAATATTTACATAATCTATGTAAAAACGTTACATGAAGTTAGAAAATGTATAGTTATTCTAATTTTATTTTTTCGTTTTTGAATCGAATTCATATGTCGAAATGCATTTTATAATAGGTAATGGAGCAATTATGGATCAACTACTTAACTCAAAGTCAAATAATCAATGTACTAGTTGCAGTCTTGCAGACTTGCAGTGGACAAGTTGGTTCTAGTTAAAAAAAGGTTCCCTCTTTAAATGAGTTTTTTTTATTGCCACTTTGTTAATAAACTCATTTAATTGGGTGTTAATTGAGTTAATTTCCCCCTTAATTTTATATGATTAATTATTCTGACAGACATGTATTTAATACCTAGCTAATGAGTTATCGGGAGATTGATTTTAAAAGAGTTTGTAGATTTCAAAAGTTTAGAGATTTTAAGATTCTCAAAAAGATTTGTTGATTCTAAAATAATGTTTACCCAGATTTTTAGAGTTTAATAGATTCTTTATATGATAGACTCTACAAATCCTTATGATAATTGCAGTATTTTGAAAGTTGGTTTTAATGACTAAATATGTAAAGAATCATTAAACCAATAACACTAGAATTTGATAGAATTGGAAAATCAATAAATACTCAACTTTTTGAATAACAAAGGATTTTAAATAGAATTACAAAATACATACACCAATAACAAGAGATTTTATTAAGAATCTAATAATCCGTACACCAATAACAATAGAATATTAAACTCTAAAAATCTTTAAAAGTCATTTTTCCAATAACCCCCCTAACTGTATCTTTTATCCATGAGCAACTCTTAGAAGGTTGAAAGGTTACTGTACTGATTTTAAAATATCTACTAGTTTCAAAAATTAATGGATATAAATACGGAGATAACAATCGGACTTGAGATATCACCATGGCTGATTCGAAGATGAAGCTCCACTGTGGCTGGTTCTTTTTAAATTCGGCAGCTCTCTTTGGTATCAATGAGAAAGGTCTTGACTTCGAACTTGTATTCGTTGACTGGATTGCTGGTGAATCCAAAACCAAAACCTTTCTCTCTACTCTCAACGTATGAACTCTTACACAACTCCTAACTATCACATTATACCAAATTTTAACTTCATATATGTTTAAGTACTGATTATCCTTCTCATTTATTTTATTATTTGCAGCCATTTGGTGAAGTCCCGGTTCTTGAAGATGGAGATCTCAAACTTTACGGTATGAATCTTGTTTTACAACTTGGATTTGAATAGTCTAACGTTTCTTGGAGGTTTTGCAAAAGGTTACATTATTATTACCTTGTCAAATGTTTCTATATATTAATATATGTTAGTTTGGTTAGTTTTTTTGCATGTGTTTTGCCATTTTGGGGTATGAAATTTTATAGTGTTTTGATTATCTATATATATATATATATATATATATATATATATATATATATATATATATATATATATATATATATAGAATCAAAGGCGATCACGCGATACTTAGCAGAGCAATACAAAGACACCGGAACCAATCTATTACCAGATGATCCCAAAGAGAGGGCAGTCGTGGGGACGTGGATGGAAGTAGGTAACAACAAGTTTCTTCCTATAGCATTAGCTCTCATTAAAGAACTCATTATAAAACCGTATCAAGGTTTAGCCACCGACGTCACATCAGTTGGAGAAAACAAGGAGAAGTTATCAGAGATTCTAAACATCTACGAGGCTCATTTAGGCAAGTCTCCTTACTTGGCTGGTGAAAGCTTCACTTTAGCGGACCTTCATCATCTTCCGCCGATTGATTACTTGTTAAACACGGAAGAAAAAGAGTTGAAAAAGTTGATTTATTCACGTCCCAATGTAGCCGCATGGGTTGAGAAGATGAAGTCGAGACCTGCTTGGTTAAAAACAGTCGTCATGAAAAATCACATCGTTGACTTGATGAAGCAACGTCGTTTGCCTAAAAAGTTAGACTCATCATCGGTTCATGAGTTTACCTTAATGGCTCAGAAAAGTGCGTTTGCGATGGGGAACAACTAATGAAAAGAAAATCAAAACTACAATGTTAAGTTTATTAACTAAGCACCGAATCAATAATGAGTCATTATGTATGGTGTTTATTTGGTTGTATATGTGTCATATTTATATTTTGGTTTTTAACATTAAGAGTATGCGTCAACTTGTAATTGATTGAAATCATTTATGTTTTTTTTTAATCCAAAACTATTAGTATGTGTTTGTATCAAAATAATCCAGTATATGATTGGTTTTAGCATTGAACTGAATTGAATCTATGAAGGTTATTATATACATTGAAAAGAAAAATTGTGTGCTATAATTATATACATTAGACTTTAGTGCTAGTTGAGGTATTTTTGCAAAGGAAAATTTAAGGACACGTGTTAACTCTTAAGCTTTGAGACTATCGTTACTATTGTGAACACACACACAGGAGATTATTCAATCGAACGGCTCCAAACGAACCGTTTGAGAGAGAAAAAGAAGAGTTTGAGTGGGATGTACTTTAGAAAAAAAAAAAAAAAAAAAAAAGCCAAATATCCCGTTGTAACGGCTACTTCCACATTTGTATATTTTCCCCCAATCAAAAAAAGAGAACTTCACCAATCAAATCTTTCTTCTCCTCTCTCTATCGTCTTCTCCAATCGAATCCTCTCCAAAGATTTCAACGCTTATCTGAGTCTTCTTCTTCGCTTTAGAGTAGGTTGATAGTTGATACAACAAATTTGAGGATAATGATCAAAGCCGCCATGGATCTCGGTTGCTTGGATTTGGGATGTCTCTCTTCACTCTCTGACAAGAAAACCGGCGCCGTCGGTGTTTCTGATCCTCTTCAATTCTCTTCTTCTCCTTCCAAATCTAGCAAGGTAACTCCAGTTTCGATTCACAGATCCAATTTCATTCCGATCTATCGATTTTGTTTTTCTCGTCTGATGCTTTTAGTAACATTGGATTGGAATTTCTTTCCTCCTGTTGAGTAGAAATTAGGGTTTTGGTGATTTAGACTCTCGTACAGTGGAATTGATGCTTAAGCATCCCAAAATTACTTGAATTCGATGATATCTCTTCACTATTGAAACTAGTCCTTAGAGGCTATTCGCACTTGATTCACCTACTTGTTTTTAAATTGCAGAACAAATCACCAAGAGAGACATCAGCGGTTAGGAAATCACAATCAAAGAGATCCGCTCAACGTAAAACATCACCTCTCGGTTGGTTCCCGAGGAGAAAGGGCGATTCCTACCTGAATAGGAAGATTAAGAAGCTACAGGTAACCTTTTTTATAGTTTACATACCTTCCACTGATTGGTAACTTACATTAGTTCAATCTGGAATATTGAATTTTGATTGTACGGTATTGTATTATAGGAGGTTGGTGGAATGAATCAGACGCTTGATGAGACTCTTGGCGACTCCAATCCACACTACTGTAAAATTGTAAGGGAGCAGATGGCTGTCAAAGATGCTGCAGGTAAAGCCATGGAGCTTCGTAAAGCTGCTCTCGTTGAAGCATCTTGGTGTAAAATACTTCGAGCTGCTAGGTAATTTAGCATCTATAAGATTTTTTTGTGGTACCTCTTTTATCTTTTCTAATTATAGGGTTTATTTCCGGTTGATAGGATTCCATGTACAGAAGCAGAAACTTTGATGGAGAATGCAGAAAAGGCTGCTGTGGAAGCTTTTGAAGCGGCAACTGCAATGGGAGTGATAATTCATGATAAACCAAACAGCTCAAGGAAACAATATCGTATCGAATCATCAGGAACACATGGAAGGGGATCTCCTACTCATACCGTTACTGCGTCTTTTGAAACTGCGTTTGATGTAGATAAAGAAGTAGCTGCTGTTGTAAAAACTGCATTTGCTAGGCTTGCAAACTCCCCTTCTCTCAGTAAAGCTGAGTTTAAAGACCTTCTGAAGAAGATAAGCGAGAATCCTGATGTGCGTGATAATCATGAGATCACTGAGTTGTCTTCAGAATGCGACACAGAGTCAGATTCTGAACTCGGCATTCTACACAAGGTTGATGAAGAAGTGGCTGAATGTGAAGAGACTTCGTCTTTCAAAACGAGACAGCTAAAAGTCAAGAGGCGGCAGTCCTTTGGGAAGATTAGCAGGGAGAAACTGCTGGATATGATGCTTGAGAGGCTTCAGGGCTTACAAGAAGATCAACTTTCAAGTCTTGCCTCTGTAGTAGCAACTTGTGGTTTAAATGAGGCCTTGGCTGGAGTTGGTAGCCACAGGGAGCAGAACACAAGCATCGAATCAACTGTTTCAGACCATGGGAATTCTTCTTCAATGGATATAAGATCAAGAAGAGATTCTAAATTTGGGACCATAATGGAAGGAAAAACAACAGGGAATGGAACAGATACAGAGATTCCGAGTTTGGACAAGTATCTAGTGAAGCATATGACCAAATTAGAAAAAGAAGTCTGTGAAGCAAAAAGGGCTTCAAAGGACCAATCTGACAAAGACAGAAAAGTTCCTCAAGGTGTTGCAAGTGATCCTGTTCCAGATTTGGGAAGCATCCTTGTGAAACATTCTTCAAGGCTTGAGAAGGAGATCGAAGAAGCCAAGAAAAACGCAGGAATGAATTCTAGAAAGTACCAAAAGAACTCAAGCAGAAACAAAACTTCAATGGATCCTATCCCGGACTTGGAAAGTTTGCTAGTGAAAAAGCATGTTTCGGGATTGGAGAAGGACGTTCAAGAAACTATAAGGAACTGCGGAAGTATGTATGAGAACGTGAAGAAGCCAGGAAAGAAAGAGAGTTCGTCTGAAGTTCCCAGCCTGGATAGTTGCCTGGTAAAACATGTCTCCAAGCTAGAGAAAGAAGTCCTAGATGCAAAGAGGAGAAACCAAGAAGATCTTGAAGCAAGAAATTTAGAAAGTGTTTCAGGTGGGCTGGCTGAAGAATTGGGAAAAGAAAACGTGGACTTGAACAATAAAACTGAGGGTCATGAAGAAAGCTTAGACAAGATCTTGGTCAAGCCGACTCACAGGTTGGAAAGAGAAAAAGCTGCATCAGAAGCAGTCTACGGAAATCGGAGGATTCAAAAGAGAAAACAAGCAGCAAAAACAGAGTCAGATTATGAGAGTTTGGACAAAATTTTGGTGAAACATGTTCCAAAGCTAGAGAAGGAGAAGCAGAGATTCAAAACTGGAGCAGATAAGACGGAGAACTCAATGAACAATGACGAAGGTAGCTTGGACCAAACACTGGAAAAACATAGCCAGGGACCTGAAAACATGAAGACGGCAAAACCAATTCTTACCAGACAACAAGAGAGGGATATAGAAATACAAGAAACTTGGGGTGGTTTAGGCCTTGGGGAGTCAAAGAACAATAGCCAGAAGAGACTTGAAAGCAAGAAAACAGAAGCTACAGATCATTTGGGGGAAGACAAAAGACCGGTCCTTTCTAGACGACAAGCAAGGGACAAAGAAATGCTAGAAGCTTGGGGTGGTTTAGGACTTGGGGACTCAAACCTGTACCAAACAGTTAATAAGCATAAAACGAAACCTGAAACCGAGAAGGTAGAGAAAGCAGCACCATCATTAACAAGAAGACAAGCAAGGGATAGAGAGATGCAAGAAGCTTGGGGAGGTTTAGATCTCGGGAACTCGATTCGACCGAGTGTGTCAAAACTTGAAAGAGAGAAGGTTAGTTTCTTTCTGTTGCACTTCTGTTAATTTTTATTAACACAACAAATCATTTGAGTTGGTTTTGCTTTTTGATTCTCTCATTCGCAGGCTGCGTGGATTAAGGCCGAGAAAGAGGAAACCAATCGAGGAAACCAATCGAGGAAACTAATGTCCAACGGAACAGAACATAAGAACATATAATTCTTTTTCTTTTAACAAATGGACAATTAGATCATAAGGATCTTAGCTAGTTTCAAGAAAATATTGTGTAAATTTCATTTGGTAATAACTGATGTAGAGTGTATGTAATAAATATTTCTTTTGTAAGGGACCAATTTTTAAAACAAATTACATCAATGTGTTGCTCAAATCAGATAGATAACAACTCTTTGTGTGCAAAGTAATATTATCACGGACAAAACTACTAAACCATTCTGCAATTTGCAATGAATCAAATCACAGATTCAGAGTTCAGAGGTATTGAAATTGAAATTATCATGCGGAAGTAAACCATAATCAAATAAATTATATGCCGTAAAGATAAACAAAAAATACCTTTTCTTTTACAGCAAAAAAAAGAATAAGGGCCCAACCGGGTTCGAACCGGTGACCTATTGATCTGCAGTCAATTGCTCTACCACTGAGCTATGGACCCAATTGGCTTATTAAGTATTTAATAACATTTTTATATGCCAAATTCACATTTCCAGACGAGAAAAGCAAGAAACAAAAAACTTCCGAACATTTGAACAACACAGTCCTTTTTTTTTTTTTGTCTGCAGTGAATTCTGAGACAAACAAAGAAAAGAAAATGGGTGAGAATCCATGGCAGCCACTTCTCCAGACCTTCGAGAAACTATCAAATTGCGTCCAAACTCATCTTTCCAATTTCATCGGCGTTAAAAATACTTCTCTTTCGTCATCCGCAATCCAAAACCCAATCTCCTTGGAGGATTCTTCTTCTCCACCAATCGCGACCAACAGTTCTAGTCTTCAAAAACTCCCTTTCAAGGTACGAATCTATTCCGGGTTTCGATAAGTTTTCGGGTTTTTTTTTTGCGGCTTTCTCAAAACCTTCATCTGCTTATAGATATTATCACCAATGTGTTCGATGAAATTCCCCAATGAACCCTTTCTACCTTTTCTGGGTCAAAAGACTCAGAACTCGTCTCTCTTGGGCTAATTACGAAACATATAGCTCAAAGTTAGATGCTTTATTTCATATCCGTGCTCTTTTCTAAGTAAATTACTACTGGTATACACTATCTTGATACATGATGATTTAGAGTTCAAGTCCTTACTGATAAAGATATCGTGAGTGTTATGCGCCCTTTTCATTTCAGCATTAGATTTTGTTGATATGAAGATGATGTAACATGTACACCAAACTTAATGAATATGCTTTACAGGACAAGTCTACAGGTCCTGTGACTAAAGAGGATCTTGGGAGAGCTACATGGACATTTCTGCACACTCTTGCTGCGCAGGTTGAATTTTCTTTGTTTGTTTTTCTCTCAAATTAGTCGTATTTTATTTTTCGCTCGAACAGACTTAGAGGTTCTTTTGCGTATTATTTGATTGTTTATTGGCAAGTCTTTGGGCGAGTGCTCTTTGATTCACTTTTGGTTCTTGCTCTGTGTGCATTGGTTTAACAGAAGTGTGAAACAAAGGATTTTAGTTTAATTTTTGTCATTTCCTTACTTCTATCTTATTACCTTGATGAGACCTCTAGCAGTTTTGTAAGTAGATGTTTGTGAATTGGTTGAACTATAGTATGTATTGTATTCTTAATGAATTGTTTCTTTTTTCCTATCAGTATCCAGAAAAACCATCAAGGCAGCAAAAGAAGGATGTTAAAGAACTGGTACAACTCTTCCTGCCCTAGTCTATTATCTTATTTACTTTATAGACACTACAATATTAGATGAAGTTGAAATTGGTATTAGTGAACTAGGAAGCTAGAATTTTCAGCTTGAAACTTCAAAAAATCTATCAAGGCTTAACTTTTTCGATCAACCATTCTCAAGAACCTGCTCTCCCGAAGTCTTCTCCTTGGAAAGCTAATAATGAACCACTTCAAATTCTGTAGATGTCAATACTTTCTCGAATGTACCCTTGTAGAGAATGTGCGGATCACTTCAAAGAAATCCTAAGGTAATGTTATCTTTTAGCTCATTGCAACTTACTGTAGCGTATTTTGATCACTCATTCCCTCGGTTCCATTCATGATAGATCAAATCCCGCACAAGCTGGATCTCAGGAGGAATTCTCGCAGTGGCTTTGCCATGTACACAACACCGTAAATAGAAGGTAAACTGAAAGCAGATTAATGTTTATATAGTGAGGTTACTAGGGAAGTATTCTTGTATGCCTCAAAGCAGTGTGATTCTAAATCTTGTTTTTGCAGTTTGGGGAAATTGGTGTTCCCTTGCGAGAGAGTGGATGCAAGATGGGGCAAGTTAGAGTGTGAGCAGAGAAGTTGTGATCTCCATGGAACTTCTATGGACTTTTAGACCCATTTATTAAACTACTTATACTTGTATGAAATTTTACAACAGCAAAAAAGAGTATAAACTGATTTATTTACAATCCTTTTCCACGAATTTCAATTAAATAAAGACTCGAAAAAATGTAGGTAACAAATGTTAGTTGATAGAGATGTTGGACTGATAAAATTGATAATTGACAGTGGTAAGTGGTAACTGGTGAATTATTTATCATTTAGTTAAGTTAAATAATTACAAAAAAAAGTGTCGATTAACTTGAAAACTGATTGACGGATTAACTGAAAAAAAATGATTAAGAAAATAATTACAATTGAAATGCAAACATTTATAAATATCAAATTGAAATGCAAACATTTATAAATATCAAATTGAAATGCATATATCATCTATAGTTTTTATAGTTTCAGACTTCAGTGCCTTCTATATATGTGATGAAACGTTACCTCTAAGAAACTTGGGAACAACCCAAAAAAACAAATCAAGTACTTAAAATATCACATCTTTAGTGTTGATTCAAGGGCACGCATAATTAGATCATAATAATAATACTAAAATAATTACTTAATTATGATGGATGAATAATTTTATACTAATATTTTTATACACCAGCTCTCCCATGTGTATCATGTTTTGTGCAAACCCCATATTTTCAAATAATCGAGTAAAACCATTGAGTTATGAGATGCAAGATCATAATCTCAAGAAACTATATACTTTTAATTTAATATACAGAATATTCTATATGGGGATTAACTACAATTTTGTATTTCTCCATTACACTTATTAAAGAAACTATACAGGAATGTTGTATACAGTGAGTATAACAATTATTACAGAAACAATACATGTTCATTATCTTATAAATAAATAAAGTGAAGATCCCTCTTGAAGGAAAAAAAAAAGCTTTTTGAAGAAGAATGTGTTGGGATTAAGTGGAAAGGATTGTTCTAAGTCTGGAAAGCAAGAAAAAGGTAACAATATTAAAATCATTTTTGTCAAAAAGGGTTTATCTTAAATTATTTTAATTACTTTCAAAGTTGGCTAACTAATAATACTGGTCTCTCAACTGAATATATATAAAAAAATGATTAGTCAATAATCTAATGGAGTATGCTTCAAGTCACATGATCTTAAGAAACTTTGCTAATAAACAATTTAATACTAAATCCATAAATGAACTTTATTAGAAAATAATGATAAGTAGATAGATATTGGGGTCTTAAGTCTTAACAAGCTTACTAATAAATTTTTTTTTAAAAAAAAACCTACCACAGTATGTGTCATGCGTGTATAGTTATATATCAGACCTAACGTTAAGAATTTATATAAATGAATATATTTTTAAAATAAATTCCAACTACAAACAAGTAACCCAACAATGACATCTAACGAATAGTCTAGTTTGCATCGTGATCATCTTGTGTTATTGACATATAAGTTAAACTACATTTTAAACTTTTAAGCTAAATGTTTCAAGGTTGTTTCAAAACTAAAAACTAAAACTAAACTAGACTTACATATAACTTTTGGTTTTAAGAAATTGCTTCATCCACATTTCAGTTAACAAGTTGCTAGAAAGGGCACATATGATTTGTATATTGAATAGAAATGAAAACTTAATAATGCAAATAAATAAGAGAAAATCATTACACTGTACGCTATTGCTTTTTTTGTGTAATGAAGTTGTCAAAGTAGTTAGAAGTGTGTTGTGTGTTTTGTGTATGTGTGTGTGAGAAAGAGAGATTGGTCTTTATTCTTTAAAGGCCTTTTTCCAATTAAATATCAACAATCAAAGAGATGTCATCCTCTCACCTTATTCCACAATATATATATATTTCTTGGTTTAAGTGGTTTAACCATAATTTTTATTTTTTTTATTTAGTTATAAGATTAAATGATCACACAATTTATATATGAATATATATAGATTACTTAACTGTATATTTTGATACTACAATACACTTATACACAAATCTTCAATTTCGTTCACGTACTACACAACAAGATGAACACAATCCATGTATTCTACTTTCGAATCGATTAAGGTTAATTACCACTTTTTTGGTAACATAAACTTATTTGTTTACTTGTAGTATTAAATATTAACATGCATATGATATATAATGGATATCATAACGTAAAAAAAAACCTTCAAAACAACTATGTTTGTGTAAAATTATTGTCTCTATTCAATAAATAAATAAATAAATATAACAAAAACTAAGAACATAATAATATTTAAAGTTTAATGATAGAAAATAATATTATGATCATCTAGTCGAATAACACAAGTCACCATGTTATCAAATAGTTATTTTGTTGTTAACATATTAGAATGTTTATATGATACTCGTAATTACAATGTGGTCCATACTTGTAAATACGATGTCGAAATAGATAAAAATAAAACATATAATGGCTAAAAGTTAATTATAAATTAAGAGAGTAGTTTAAGAAAGCTTTGACTCTAAGCAAAAATGACTAAACAGGGACTAACTAATACTCACTCCAAAGCAAGAAATTTTTTTTAATTAATGGGAAGCTAAAAGTGACATTACATCTCTTCTGATTTCTCAACTAAGTATTTCCTTAATTAATACCAATTTGCACTATACAACATACATTACTTTGCTTCAAGATAAAATAGGTACCCCCCTAAGTAAATTGACCTTAACATAGTTGACTACATATTGACCGTAGACGACCAAACCCAATCAAAGAGTAAACAAACTTATATTTCTTATTTTGTATAATACAATTCGGTATGGATCTTAATCATGTACGTTCTACACACACATCAATATCTCTACACGATGCGTCAAAATTAACTTTTTTTTCTCGTAATGAACTAAATTAAAATTCTCCTCAAACATGTGTATAGTATTTGGGGTTAATTGAATCGTTACTATATATATTTGGAAACGTAAGAATTGGATAATGCCAACGACGTATTTGATTATCAGCTTTCATAGTTGATATATTTTAGAATTTAGTTAATTATTCTTCACTAATTTTATTTTATTTTTCTATCTCTGTTTTTATTTTATTTTTATATACGTTATTATTTACATATTTGCGGGTTAAGATAAGAGATTAACTAATTGGAAGCCAAGGAATGATCTGTTCAGTAAAAGAAAGCCAAAAAGTAATCTTCTCTCAATGACAATTCTAAGAAAAGTATCAATTTGAGCACATGCAAATATTCAATCAACTTTTCAAAAAGCATAAAGATTAATAAACCATATTTTCTACTAAAACGGTTTTTCGATGATTAAACTACTAATCTCTCAATAGCTTTATGTAAATATCAAATATGCGACCATACATATATATATGTTATTGTATCAAATAAAGAAACAATACAGATTTCTGGTTAGTTATGTGAATTCATTGAAAACAATTATAAATGAAGTTTTACTGCAAAATAAATCAACCATGAACTCAATCCGTAGCTGGAAGATGAAAAAATATTTACTCAAATTCAAGTGTTTTGAATTGTGGTAGTTAGCTTGGCAAACTAATGGCATAATAGAGTTTCACACACATTCTGATAGTGCTGAAAACTTGGCAAACTGAAAATTTCTTGAGTTAAAATATAACAATGACTTAAAACCATATCAATTTCAGAGGTTGATTTTAATTTGTTGCACCGGATCCGATGCTAAAATTCTTCGTTTGTATAAAAAAAGAAAATTTGTATCAAAATATTTGGTTAATTCATAAGTTTATTTCTGATATTTCTACCTAAATACATATGTTTCACTATCTTAAAATTTGCTTCATTTTGCTCTTGTTTCTCTATCTTTAAGAAAACAAAATGCAGAAATCATGGTTAATTTTGTTAAGTGCTTGAAACTCGTAAGAAATTAGAAAAGATTAAAGAAATAAATACAGAAAGAATCATATCTTATTATGGAAACTGGAAAGTAGAAAGGCCATAAAAACGATATTAACTTCTGATCTTGCATAAAAAAAAAATAAAGAAGATTAAGAATAAACATCCAAAACGAAAAGAAAATTATTAATTAAAATTAAACATTATAGTTTAGGGCAAAACGAAGCTTTTAAAGTTGATGTAAACCTCTGAAAAAGCAAAAATTTATAATAATAAAAAAAGATACTAAGGAGACTTAAAAGAATAAAGAGCTCTCTCTCTCTCTCTCACTCTTCAGCAAAAAAAAAAAAAAGTTTCCAGGAAACCCCAAATCCACAAACCCCACTTGCAATTTCTCCCCACATCTCCACATCTCTCTCTCGTCTTCTTCGGCTGTGAAGCAAAATAGCCAAATTCCAAAATCCTTTCTTCGATTTGTGCCGAAAGTTTTCAACTTTGGGTCAGTTTTGGGGAAGAAGAGCCAAATCTCTTGAATGCAATGTGAGGAAGATCACCAAGGAAGAAGAAGAAAGAAGAAAAAGCAATAGTTTTTCCCGACGAGAATGGTGGCTGCAGCGATTTCAACTACTGACCCGAGAAACCCACCTCGAGATCGACAAGATAAACCTCAACCCATTACCAACAATGGCGGACAGAGGAGACCCAGAGGCAAACAAGTTCCTTCTCGCTACTTATCTCCTTCTCCTTCCCACTCTGTCTCCTCCAACACCACTACAACCACCACTACCACATCTTCCTCTTCCTCTTCTTCTTCCTCTGCAATACTCAGAACTAGTAAACGATACCCTTCTCCGTCGCCTTTACTCTCTCGCTCTTCCACGAATTCCGCTTCTAACTCTCTCAAAACGCCGTCTTTGTTACCTAAACGGTCTCAATCCGTGGACCGCCGTCGACCCTCGCCGGCTCCGGTCACTGTAGGCAGTGAAATGTCGGCGGCTACCAAGATGCTTATCACTTCCACTAGGAGTTTGTCTGTTTCGTTTCAAGGTGAAGCCTTTTCTCTTCCGATTAGTAAAAAGAAAGAGACTACTTCTACGCCGGTTTCTCACCGGAAATCTACTCCCGAGCGGCGGAGATCGACCCCGGTTCGAGATCAGAGAGAGAACTCAAAGCCTGTGGACCAGCAACGGTGGCCTGGAGCTTCTCGGAGAGGAAATTCTGAATCTGTTGTGCCGAATTCACTTTCTAGAAGCTTAGATTGTGGTAGTGATAGAGGAAAGCTTGGATCTGGGTTTGCTGGGAGGTCAATGTTGCATAATTCTATGATTGATGAGAGCCCTAGGGTTTCTGTTAATGGAAGGTTGAGTTTAGATTTGGGAGGTAGGGATGAATATTTGGAAATTGGAGATGATAGCCAGAGAAGACCTAGTAATGGCTTAACGTCTAGTGTTTCTTGCGACTTTACTGCTTCTGATACTGATAGTGTTTCTTCTGGTAGCACTAATGGTGTTCAGGAATGTGGCTCTGGTGTTAATGGAGAAATCTCTAAATCAAAGAGCTTGCCTCGTAATATTATGGCTTCTGCTAGGTTCTGGCAAGAAACTAATAGCCGGTTAAGGCGGTTGCAAGATCCTGGTTCGCCTTTATCCTCTAGTCCGGGTTTGAAAACCAGTAGTATTTCATCAAAATTTGGTCTTTCGAAACGGTTTTCTAGTGATGCTGTTCCTTCATCATCTCCTCGTGGTATGGCTTCTCCTGTTAGAGGTTCTGCTATTCGCTCTGCCTCACCAAGTAAGCTTTGGGCGACAACTACATCATCTCCAGCTAGGGCGCTTTCGAGTCCTTCTCGAGTGAGAAATGGAGTTTCTGATCAAATGAACGCTTATAACCGCAACAACACGCCTTCGATTCTTAGTTTCTCTGCTGATATTAGGAGAGGGAAAATTGGGGAAGATCGTGTTATGGATGCACATTTGTTGAGGCTTCTATATAACCGTTACCTGCAGTGGCGGTTTGTCAATGCGAGGGCAGACTCTACTGTTATGGTGCAGAGATTGAACGCAGAGGTATGGCTTAATTATGAGTTTTTCATTTCCTTCTGTGATCAATAACTTGACTGTTATGGTTTCCTGTAAATACATTTAGCCACTGCAGCAGACTTTAAAAGGGTATGATTTCTTAATCGATGTATATATAGGATCTTGATGCAATAAGTGAGCACTTATAGAAACTCATCATTTAGGCTCCTAGGTCATCCCAGATCTATCATGACAATTTGGAGATTAAGCATGACTTTTTAAATCTTACTGAACTAATACAGTGAGAGAGTAGTCAATTTTTCTGCGTGGAAATTAAAAAGAAGAGAGTATAGTTAGTTTCAATATTTCAAGAACATGTATAAGTAAATCTTGATTTCTAGCGTTTTCTGGCGTAACACAAAGTGTAAATTTACGCTCTTGCTTTTTTTCTTTGCCAGAAAAACCTATGGAATGCATGGGTATCAATCTCGGAACTGCGGCACAGTGTCACTTTAAAACGAATCAAATTGCTTTTGCTTAGGCAGAAATTGAAACTGGCTTCTATTCTGAGGGGGCAGGTAAATTTGATCCCTTTTAAGTTTTTACGATTTCTTACTTTAAAGGGCCAATATCCCAATTAAGACGTTTCAGTTTCTTCTATTTTTGAGAATTAAGACACTTGTTCTATTCAATTTGTCTTAGTGAGTCCTTCTTTCCGTAATAAGAAAGTAAAGTTTTGGATATAACTCAACTATTGTAGAATGGTAATTGTCCTGTAATGTCTTTAGCTAATAAGTTTGGACTCTAATTAATTATTTATGTATGGTAGGTAGATCTCTATATCTACCTTTAGAAGTTGGTATACTTACTTGCTTAGAATCATCCCACAATACAATATTTGGAATCTTTGACAAGGAATCGTCATTAGAAACTCTTGATTATTTCGAGATGAAAACTTTAGTGATAGTACATCCCTACAGGAGAGGCAGATAAGAAAATATAAAGAGATTATGCATGCTGTTTTTGGTATTAGTAAATACTCAACTTGCTTGCTGTGTTTATTAAACTGTAGATGGGTTTTCTAGAAGAATGGTCTCTTCTGGATAAAGATCATTCAAGTTCTTTGTCAGGAGCAACCGAATCCTTGAAAGCAAGCACGCTTCGTCTACCAATAGTTGGAAAAACCGTGGTTAGTAATTTTCTGTTATGTTATCCTGATATGATTGTTTTGGCTTAATCTAAAAACCTTGGGTTAGAAAAATATTAAGATGTTTCTTGAATTGTTTAGGTTGATATCCAAGACCTTAAGCATGCTGTTAGTTCAGCCGTCGATGTAATGCAAGCTATGTCATCTTCCATATTCTCACTGACGTTGAAGGTAAAAATGCTCTGTCTCTCAGATTTTTTTGAAGTTAAAACACATCTTTTGAGTCTATTAAATCTTTTGGGTCTGAAATGTAATCAGTCTTGAGTTTTTCTATACACAACCCTGGTTTTAAGGGTTTAAGCTCATTAATGTCCTTTTTAGGTGGATGAGATGAATTCTGTAATGGTCGAAACAGTGAATGTAACTGCTAAGGAAAAGGTTTTGCTTGAAAGATGTCAAGGTTGCTTATCAAGAGTAGCAGCTATGCAGGTATAGGGTCTTTATCATCGTTTCTCTTTTTTGGCGATGTCTCTACTCTTTTCTCACATCGCTTTGGGTAAATGCAACAAACCAGGTTACGGATTGTAGCATGAAAACGCACATAATACAACTAAGTCGGATACCAATCACAAGCAGCTTGACTTCACAACTGTAGAAAAACTGATCTTCCTCAAGAGAACAGAATTGTTCTTTTTGACTACACTACTCACCAAGAACAGAGTTGCTAACACGGGCCTTTTCCTTCCATGGATCCCGACCTTATCGTTTTCAAACCAAGATCAAGGTGAGATTCGCGGATTATTATCTCTCCCTCCCTTGCTCTTTAAGTTCTACGTTTGTTATTCTTGTAAGATTGCAGGTAATTCCTCTAAAAGTAAGTAAGCTTAGTTTTTGTATACAGAAGTTTTTCTAATGGTTCTTTTGGCTTGTGTACATATAAAGATGTAGTAATGTATGATCTGATGAATCACTGATTTTGTCTTCATTTTATAGTTCCTAGACTTGTTGCCGTTCTTTCATATTAAGAAATCTTGTCGTTTTCTAGTTGCTTTGAAGGACTCTGTCATCACTAAAAAGCAAGTACATGTTAAAATAGGGCACTCTCACCTCAACTCTAATAGTTCATTTTACTTTTGGTGAACCTCCAAAAGTTTGTATAACACTTTTGTAAAAGATCTAAACTGTCCCACATCAGGGGTATGAGATAACACATTAAGTAACATAGTCTAGAATATTATTGAAGAAACAGAAAACTCCAATCTAGAACTGCTAAACAGTTCAAATAAAGTTGAAAAATTTAATCTTTGCACTTTTAACCTCCACTAAATCCCCCCGCGACGGCACTTCATTAACATCTACCAGTCCCTCTAGGCTCTGCTTCGGGTCAGATACATTTGTTGCAACATCCGCATTACCACTAGGACTCAACTTGTCTCCTTGGTAGTGAAGGCGTTTGTGTCCACCAAGAGATGGTCCCGTCGGAAACAATTTATGACATACAGAACACTGGTGGATTTTACCGGACGGTGCCAACGTCTTTGGCCCTGTTTTTTCTCCAGAGTCATTAAGAAGCGGCTTAACCCTGTGGCTAGTAGCCTTGTGACCACCTAAAGCTTGGAATGAAGTAAACTCTTTTCCACAGACACTGCACTTGTAGGCATCAGACTTCGGCAGCATCTGCGGTTTTGGTTTCGGTTGTTTTTGAGGTTCCTTTTTGTGAGAACGAGTTGCGATTTCAACTTCAGACAGAGAAGAAGAAGAAGAAGAAGAAGGAGCTTTAACATCATCATCAGAAGAAGAAAGCCTTTGCTGTAGTCTTGATTGCACAATATTTTCCAACAAAAGCTCAATGAAAGCGTCGTTCTCAGCATACCCGCCTAGTTTTTTTTCTCCTCGTCCGTTAGTTTCTACGAATGATGAACTCTGTTCCGAGAAACAATCTCCATCATCACCAGAACGCTGTCGTTGAGACTGCACACTACTCTCCAACCCCGTCTTAGTCGAAACGGCGCCGTAACCAAACCCTTCTTCTTCTTTTTGTCCTAGTCCTTCCAAGAATCTGTGTTGTGAGAAAGAATCTTCGTCAACTCCTTGTGAATGTTGGCTACTTTCGTAACCAGTCTCAACCAAAGCAGCGTCATCTTCTTCGCGCCGGATCTGTTCCAGCGCTTTAATGAATCGTTCCGAGTAAGTATCTTGATCACAAGTTGTCGAAAAATTACGTTCAATCTTTTCCAAAAGATTCTGAATGACAACATTGTCGTCGACCTGTAACCCATCTTCGTAATCTTGCATCGCAAATTCTAATTGTTTCTTCAGAACGGACACAGGCATCGACGGCGAAACTTGATTCACCTTCGTCAGAATATGTTTCAATTGCGTTAACAGAGCCATACCTCTTCCTTCCAATTATCTCTCTATCAGATCAAACCCTTCTTTCTTTTTTCCTTGTTGCCTACGAAAACTTGAGAGTCTTGGAAACAAACCCCAAGTGAGTTATTATATAGATTTGGTACTGTGCACGGATCACTCATATATATATGTACAAGTTTTAAAGTCGGCTAGTGTATTCTTTACTCGAGTAGTGTATATATTCCTAAACTAAATAAAAGGCAATTAATTAATATTCAATGTTAAGAAAATGTAAAAAGTCCATATTTGATTTTATGTTTTCTTCTTTTCTCTGAACTGACATCTTTTTTCTTCAACTACATACTTGTCTTACTGGCGTAACAACACAGTGCTCTGTTTTTAAGTTTTAGGGCCAATGTCCCAATTAAATAAACTACTTTTTCTGTTTTTTTGTTTGTTCTCGTAGATAAGTATAGCAAACTCAAAACACACTCTTAAAGTTAGTAAACACCACTAATATATATTTGTTTAATAACCGAATGAATGGGATATACATAGTGTGCAATCAAAAACAAAAAGACCCTTAATCATATTAGTATCGAAAAAAACAATCTTGTTAAGGCTACTTGGCTGTGCTTTCAACTTCCTCGACCTCTCCGCTTCCAGATTCATCAGACTCCGGCGACAGTGGGATATTAAGATCTATCAATCTCCTTTGGCTCTGCTCTGGATCCGACACATTTGTTACTCCACTCCCATTACTACTAGGACTCCACTTGTTTTCCTCAACAGCAACCTCCTCCTGACTAGGTCTGTGATCAGCGTCAACAACTCCCTCACTTTTCCTGAGACTCAGCTCTAGATCAAGCCATTTTTTTCCAGTACTCGCATCACTGAGACTACACTTGTCACTGCTTGGAACAACCTCTTCCTGATTGAGACCGTTGACAACGTTGTCACTAACACTTAGACTCTGTTCTTGATTGGGACTCAACTTGAGGACAACCTCGTGTTTGTGACCGCCGAGAACGCCTTCGTAGTGACGGCGTTTGTGTCCACCTAGTGCTTGTCCCGTCGGAAACAAAACATGACATATAGAACACTTGTGGATTTTCCCAGACGGAGCCAACAACTTTTCCCGAGTTTTTTCTCCAGCGTTTTCAACTAGCGGTTGCGGCGGCTTAACCCTGTGGCTGGCCTTGTGACCACCTAAAGCTTGATACGAAGTAAACCCTTTTCCACAGACGCTACACTCGAACAAATCACACGTCGTTCCCTGCGGCTCAGTTGTTTCAGTTTCAGTATGCGGTTGCGGTTGCGATTGTGGCTTAAGCGTTTGCGGTTGTGGCTTAAGCCTTTGCGTTTGCGGTTGTGGGATAAGCGTTGGCGTTTGCGGTTGTGGTATAAGCGTTTGTGGTTTCGTTTGGCGTTTATCACGGGAAAACTGGATGAGAGTGAGAGCAGCGATATCATCGACAGACGGAGAAGAAGAAGAAGAAGGAGGATCTTCACCGTCACCCAAACGCAGCCGTTTCAATCGCAAGTGATCCAACCAAGGCTTATAGAAAACTGCATCGCTTGTAAACTCGTTTTCTTGATGATCTTCGTCACCAGTAGAACGCTGCCGTATAGAAGGTTCACTACTTTTTAACCTAGGAGGAGGAGACTCATCGAGAACGGTGTCGTTTTCACACTCGCCGTCTTCTCTCCCTCGCCGGAATTTTATGCGTAGGCGTTTCGAAGAAGGATCATCATCACGAGGAGGAGAAGAAATCTTTCGCTTTGGTCGTTCGTAACTCCTCAAATCGTCTTGTTGTAAGAATTTGTGTTTCAGAGCGGCGAGCTTTGTCAACGGCGGACACTGGTCCAACGCTTTTTGATCCATAACTTCTCCGATACGTTTCAGACGGCTTTCTCTTAATCCCTAAGAAACTGATCAACACAAAGAAAAAAGGTAAATCAAAGTTGTGTTTTTGGTGCTTCTTGTTAACACACACTCACATATATATTTAAGTTTTTAAGTCGGTAAAACTGTTCAGTGTTATGTAATTTTGAGATTAACAATTGTGAGAGAATATGGAAAATTAAACTGAGTTAGTAAAAGAAAAGGAAAATATAATCTTGGGATATTCTCTACGTTAACCTAATCTTTAATTTTTAGTGCATAATCCCAGTCAATAGAAAAAAAAAAAGTAAAATTTGTTTTTAAATTTCCATTTAGTGTGAGACTTTGAGAGAAGACGACACTTAACCCTAATTATATATAAAAAAAACACTATTAGGTTAAATGCTATTCAATGCCAAAAAAAACTTTTTTTTCCCCTTGGACTGGACTAATGTGTGAGTTACAAGCCGTGTGGGACAAGCATTAAATCAGACGCGTACACGTTTAATTGGTTTATCTTGTTCTTAATAAATATATCATATTTTCTCAATCATTAATATATATTATCCTAGGTGGAAATAAATCTTAAATACTCATTATATTGATAAAAAGAAAAATATCTATCAATTTTCAATTCATTAACAATAATATTAAAAAAAGAAGGGAATTTAAAGAAGAAAACCCTCAACATTGGCCGGATCCATTTTTAAACCCTCAACTATTTTTTTAGTAGATAAAACCCTGAACTAAAAAACATTAACAAATTTAACCCTCCGTCTATAAAAGCATACATTTATACTGTTAACAATTTCGTATACTCTAGCGGAACAGTAAAACGAAAACCACTAGGCATATTTTTAAACATATTACGATCACAACACAATTTTTCGATTATAGTATTCTGCAATTCCTGATGGAAAATATAAAATTTTCTCATATTTTATGCAAAATGCTTATTCTGAAACATATTTACAACAACAAACAAAAAAATTTGACTTACCACAATATTTTACAAAATTCAAACCAGATGAAATAGACATATGTTCTCTCAATACCTCACTCCATAATGGAGATTCGATGAGTTAATGTCATCCATCATTAAATTTAATTATGCGTCTCACCCTCGATTAACTCTGTGTCAATCGCCTATTAAACCTACTTTAGTTTCTTTTTCACTAACCATTCAACATTTGGAATTTTAAGGTTTTAGGATTTCACGATTTGAGAGTTTTTTTTGGTGATCTAATATTCGACGTGTGAACGTTTATGGAAAACGAAGGTTCTTAAGAGAAGGTTTGTTGTTAATTTTTGTATTTAAAAACTAATGCTTAGTCTTTTTTTGTTTCAGTTAAACAAACGTTGATTGCGTAGAAGAAATTATTACGGGTGTTTAGGTTTTTTATAGATGGAAGGTTAAATTTGTTAATGTTTTTACTTCAGGATTTTATTTACTAAAAAAATAGTTGAGAGTTTAAAAATTGATCTCACCAATGTTGAGGGGTTTTTTCATTAAATTCCCAAAAAAAAAAGAAAAAGTTGAGTGTCAAAGATTATTTGTAGGTGTTGGAGAGGTTTGGGAGTGGCATGTTCCTTGGACGTGGACACGTGGCCAATTCTCTACCATTCGTTGGGAGATATCTATATAATAAACTAGTGAGTGAAATAAGTAGTAGTGGTGAGATAACACTAGTACGTGATAAGCCAAAAAACTTTAGACCGACGTGTTTATGTAGACGTGATGTGGCCAGATTAGGTTGATTCTGACATATGTCATTAGGTCTGATCAAACACATCATCATCCAATTTCAAGAATAATTAATCACTTTTAGTCCATCTTTCATTGTTCCGTTGGGGGCCAAACGCAAGTGCTGTTTATGGGCCTAATTTGGGTAGGTAGCTGAAGTCCATGGGCCTAATTTACGCCCCAATAAAACTGTATTGATCACAAATTCAATAGGGGCAGAATTTGAATTCAAACAATCATTTTCTTCTTCAAATCTCATTCCCTCTCTCTCTCTCTAGCATAAACCCTAAATTCGTGCTCTTCAGGATGACTTTGGTGCCGGCCATTGGGCGTGAGCTCTCGAATCCGCCGTCCGATGGGATTTCTAATCTCCGTTTTTCGAACAGCAGTGATCATTTACTAGTCTCTTCATGGGATAAGGTTATTAAAATCCCTAATCTCTTTACTACACTTATTGCTCTTCTGAAGTCTGATCTGTATCTTCTGATGCTTTGAGTTCTATTATTGGATCGCAGAGTGTAAGATTGTATGATGCGAACGCTGATTTGCTGAGAGGGGAGTTCAAACATGGTGGAGCCGTACTCGATTGCTGCTTCCATGATGATTCTTCTGGTTTCAGTGTTTGTGCCGATTATAAAGTCAGACGGTATGTTTGATTTATTCTCTTCCTAATTTTAATTTGGTTCGAGGCAATTTTAGTTGAGATTTTAGTCAGTAGGAGGGACAATCTTGCATAGGAAATGTTTTGCGGATTTTTCTTTTAATAATTGGGTTTCTCTTGTTATGCCTCAGAATTGACTTCAATGCTGGGAAAGAGGACGTTTTGGGGACGCATGATAAACCAGTGCGATGTGTTGAGTATTCTTATGCTGCAGGTTGGTAAAGTGTTTATGATGTTCTTGATGATTAAGTGAACTCTTACCTTGTTGATACTTAGATGCTTTTAATGGCTAGAGAAATTCATACTGTTAGATGTTTTAGTTAAATGAAATTTGTTAAGAGTGGTTATTTTAGTGCATTTGTGTTGAGGGCATATATTTTCTTCACTGTTGCAACTTTATTTGGAACTCAGACATCAGTTTTTTAGCAAGTTGGTCTTCTAATCATCTCATCTTATTACTTAACAATTTGTTTATATGACGTTATAGGGCAAGTGATCTCTGGAAGTTGGGATAGAACGATTAAATGTTGGGATCCTAGAGGTGCAAGTGGGCTGGAGCGTACACAGATTGGTACATATCAGCAACCTGAGCGTGTGAACTCTCTTTCTCTAGTTGGGAATCGTTTGGTAGTGGCAACAGCTGGAAGACATGTCAACATTTATGATCTCAGAAACATGTCCCAACCTGAGCAAAGAAGAGAGTCCTCTCTTAAATACCAGACAAGATGTGTGCGTTGTTATCCCAATGGATCAGGTAAAATTGCTGATATTTCGCATTCAATGATTTTTATCAACAGTAAAAGTTGCTTTTATTCTGGTCCAAGTATACTCAGTAGCCTCAGTTTCCTCTTCCACACTTTTGATTTCAATTATACTTTGCAGGATATGCCCTTAGCTCTGTTGAAGGGAGGGTTTCAATGGAGTTCTTTGATCTATCAGAGGCTGCTCAAGCTAAAAAGTATGTCTCTAATGTGTTTCCTCTTACCTCTTTTTGACGAACTATGGTAGTCTTTGAGTTCTTGTTTATTTCCTGAGCTTTTTTTTCTGGTAGATAATCATATTCATCTTACATTTTTTTAATCTCATACACTGTTTTTGAACATGTCAGATATGCTTTCAAATGTCACCGGAAATCAGAGGATGGAAGGGACATTGTCTACCCTGTAAATGCGATTGCTTTCCATCCGATGTAAGTCTTATCCCGACAGAAACCCGATTGTTTCCTGCCAGCATTTTGATTGCTACAAGTCTTGACTAGTTGTTCACAGAAGTGGGCCTAAAGTTATATTTTACTAGATAAAGAGAAGAACTTGTTAGTTTGACTGGTGAAGATGATAATCCAGTGGAGAATATATGGATGTTGAGGGATAGTTCAGAGTATTGTGAATACTATCTGTTTATTTGAGAATAAATTCTGTAGAAGTATGTTCTGGGATACTCTAAATATTTGGAACCTATGGGGAAAATCTGAAACTCATAAGTTATTTGTACCGCTCAACTTTATCGCTTCTAATAACCTGAGGGTTTTTGAAATGTAGCTATGGTACTTTTGCTTCCGGAGGTTGTGATGGTTTCGTCAACATTTGGGATGGTAACAACAAGAAAAGGCTATATCAGGTTTAGCAATCACAAGAGCTTTTGATATCTGTATCTTTCAATGTTCTGTTGGTAAGTGAGACACAGCATTAATTTGCTCCTTTTTGTTTGTAGTACTCTAAGTATCCAACAAGTATTGCGGCGCTTTCATTCAGCCGAGATGGTGGATTACTGGCTGTTGCTTCTAGTTACACGTTTGAAGAGGGTGACAAACCGTAAGAATTGCATTCTTTCATCTTTTCCGTTCTAAAACCCTCAAAAGTTTTTGAATACCTTGCCTTCAGATTCTTGACCAGAAGGAATTATAGTTTGAGTTTGATGCTATATTATTAGATCTCATCAGGCATAGAGAAACATTCAATCCGTGGACCTTTAGACTTATGGATAACATCTAGAGATATTTTTTTTTTTGATTTTGGATTGATCTCACTTTTAACCGATACTGAGTGTTGTGCTTTTGCAGGCATGAACCAGACGCAATCTTTGTTCGAAGTGTTAATGAAATCGAAGTGAAACCAAAGCCCAAAGTATACCCAAATCCTCCGGTATAGTCAGGAATAATGGAACGATCATGGTAACTCGACATGTGTGTGGGAATTGTTGCTATGGTACCCAAAGAAGATACTTTAAAGTGAGTTTTAAAATCTTATTTTTTGGCTGTAAAGTGAAGTGAAGTGACATTACAATGGCTTTAGAATCTGAGATTGTGTTCCTTTGGTTTTGATTTTTGAGTAAAGTCCATTTACTTTTCCCTCTAATCTCTTCTCTGGTCTTTTTTATTGGGGTAGAAGTTAGAACCCACCAAGTTGTAATCCAAAATGGATGTAAGAGCAAAAATATAAATGGACTAGGAAAAGATTCTCTGATATGTACATGGAGATTCCTAAAACTTGATTGAAAATTCGAAGAGTTTACAAATGCAAACAAAGGGATACAAAAGTAAGTAGTGGAGAAAGTAAGTAACAGACACATACATACTGATTGCTTAATACTAAATAGACTTCTTTAGAGGAGTATATCATCAACACAAACACTAGGCCTCTCTCTACTCTTTCTCTTTTCTTCTCTTCTTCTTACGCTTACCATCATCTCAAGCACGGATCATCTGTAGAATCACATTTGCAATACAACGATTTTAACATTTGCAAAGTCTTTCTCTGTCACAGATTTCAAGTGTTGCAATAAAAGAACGTGTTATTTTTTACCACTTTGCAGTTGTTTCTTCCTTTCAATGTCTTTGAAGCTTCTTCAGCGAAAGCTTGGGCTGCTTCTGCTTCCGCTTCAGCTACCTCTGCTTCTTTTGCAGCTTCCTCAGCCTCTGCCATGGCAGCTTCTGCCTCTGCAACTGCCTGTGCTGCAACAGCTGCCGCCTCATGTACATTCATACTCTTCATTCTGGCTAACTCTGCTTCAATCTGTGACCTTGTCTGAAAAGTCGTTTCATCTCTGTCTGTTTTGGGTGAAGGCAAACCAGACGTCCTCTGTCTTCCTGAAAATATTCCCAGATTTTTTCTCTTGTGGGAATACAATGGAGTGGAGTTTGGGATTCTATACTTGCGCTTAACCTGTAAAAGGGAAACCTGGATCAATTAAACCTCGCAGGTTACAGTGAAAGATGCATATGTCTCTGTCCTAGTAACAACCATAACGCAATCATACTACTATTCAAAAGACAAAAACAAAAAGTCATACATGCTATTTAAAAGGCCAAAAATATATGCACATGATACTTGCAGTCAAATGCGATAATGAATGTATCAGACTTTACCTTCACAAGTTTACCGCAAGCTGTCAAGTACTTTAGCTTGGTAGACAACAACCGTTTGAAGTCTAGTGGAGCATGATATTGATCCTATACAAGCGAGTTAGAGAAACACGGTATCAGTTAATCCTCTAAATCAGCCTTTTTCAAGTAACATAAAAAAGGAATCCTTAAATCAGCAAGGTTCATGCAGAGTTTAATTTTCACATGCTTTACTCAAATAATTAGACTTGAAAAAGTTATATCCTTAACATGTTTCTGAAATAAATACAAAAATCTATTCTTATGATATTCCAATAAATACCTAGACATAAGTAGATGCCACCACAATAAAACTAGTAATTACAGGAAATAGTCCTAGCCATTCTTCTATTCAGGAGTGGTGAAGATAAAGTTTTCACCGATTGCTTTTCAGTAACACTGACCCCATGCACTGCTTATTTTCAAGAATACATTCTATTTTGGTTATCATCCAGAATGACTTCACAAAGGCTAGTTCACGACAGTTCAACCCACTAAGGGCAGGCAACAAATTAACAATACAGTCTATGGAAAAAAAAAGATGCAAGAACTGAAAAAAGAATACCTCGATGTAGGCACCAATTGTTGTTTTATTACAGCCACCAGGCTCCTTCAAGGTAGCTATTGCTTCCATTATAAGGTTATCCAACCTGCAACGTTTAAAAAGTTACAATTTATGTGCCAATAGCGTCAAATGATAGAAACATCTACATAAGTAGGAATTTTACACACTTAAACCCTAATCATCAAATCAAAATATTAAAGCCACATCAATAAGATGGAGCAGGAATACAACAACGCATCTCCCCTTCTTCAATACAAGAAACAAACAGACATATATATATCTAACCTTACATTAGGTCGCCTTGGAGCAGGAGTAGAAGGAACTTGCAGTGCAGAGGAGCCAGTAGTTGAAAAATGCTTGGCATCCACCATTTCTTCATCACTTTGCAAAGAAGTGGTTAGGGCAAGAGAGTTGTCTTCCTGTTTAGGAAGAGAGAGCGTCCTTTTAACAGCTAACCTAGATTTTTCACGCGATCCCCAGCCATTGGCCATGACACTCATGTTTCTCCATTTGTCCTGTCCCAATTACAAACCAAAATCAGAAAAAAGGATTCATACATAAATCACAAAAACAATACACATCAGGATAAAGAAACAATCATGACCTTGAGATCTACGTTGGAACGCAGGTACAAGACTCCGCTAAATTCAGGATCTTTGAGAATTGTGCGCCATTTACCAGGTCCATGCTTTATAACGCCAGACTTTAAAGCTGATTCTTCTTCTTGTGTCCATTTCTGCTTAGGAGCACCCATTTCGAGATGCAACCTCTACGGGCTGCTGTGTTAAAGCAACTCAGTTCTGCAACAAAATCATATGTCACCAAACCAATCGGAATCGGAATCAGAAGCAGAAGCAGAATCGGAATCGCTTGCAATCGCAGCGTAATCTTAATTGTGGAGGAAGCTTACAATTCTGATTTGGAAGCGTACAATGATATGCCCAAAGCACTTGTCAATTCAAGTATTCTTCTTAATTGAAAGGTACAAATTAGGGTTTTCAAACGAACAGAGGAATCACGAAGAACATAAAACTTCGGCGGCCTAAAGGAGTAAAGGTTAACAAACGAAGAAGAAACTATTAGGGTTATACAACAAGTTTCTTGTATATTTTCGACAATACTTATGTTTTTCATATTTACAAAAATATACCAGTCAACAAAATAAAAAAATTTCAACTTCTAACAAAATTTATATGTTTTTTACATACTAATATTAATATTTGTATCATTTAGTAATCTATATTCTTAAATTTAATCTTATTTAAACCATAATATATATCTATATATATATATATATAATATTAAAATTTTACGAAACCCTAATCTTATGTCGAAAATATACACAATCGAGAAACAAGAGACATATGAATTCACGAAAGATAAGATTTTCTTTGAAAGAATTAATTTTGGCAATTTCAATTTTGTTGTTCCGGTGGATTGAGATTCCACTGATATGCGGAATACAAAGATTTACGAAATAGCAGACCGCTTAGACTAATTAAGCTTTTAAACGGCTTTTTAAACATGTTTTCTATCTATTACCATAAAGTAATTACACTAATTATTATTTTTTGAATTAGTTTATAAACTGTCTAAATATTTAGACAATTAAACTTTTAAGGAAGGTAAGAAAGGAAATTCCAATTTACGATACAATGCTCTTCTTAAGTTCAATTAAACAAATACTGTTTTAGAAGTTTTACTAGTGATGGACCCGCACGTACGTGCGGAGTTATTTTTACAAAATTACGATTTTTTAAGTAGATGTTATTTCGGTAAAATTTTGTTATATGAGTTTATTTGATAAACTATATATAGACATACAGTTGTAAAATATATATATTGTATTACATGATAAAATTTTAAAATTACAATTTTAACATTTTTTAAATGAAAATGATAAGTGATATTACGTGTTTATTTTTTAAACTAATCAAAACATTTCTAACTGTTTGCTTAGAGATGTTCAATCGGATTTGGGTTTGGCTTTAGTTTGAATTGTTTTATGTGTAGTTTAGAATGGAAACCCGTCCTGTTCCTTTCCGTCTCGTCCCGACCCGTCCCGTCCCTTCCCGTCTTCTATCTGTCATAAAATTTCTGTTCCATAATCGTTTCTTTTTAAAACATAATCATTTGCCAATGTTTATTATAAGAAACTTGGCAAAAAATTTAGACGGGATACTCATAATCCTCGTTTAAATATTTATTTTTATCAAACTAATAAAAATCTAATTATCAATCTAAGTCACATGCTCCCACCATTTTCATTCACAATGCACTGTCTGTAATCCTAGCATAGACAATCCTTGTTCGATTTTTAATTTTATTGATCTTTCAGTTTTCATCTTTATTTCTCGTTACTTTCTTCAATTCAAAGATTCACGTTTTAGCCTTTTTGTTTTCTAAAGATTTAGGTATTTCTATTTTTTTAATACATGGATTTATCGTAGTTTTGTTATCCGAAGTATACATTATCTTCTTGTACCTGTCATTTCATGTCTAAATATTTGAAATAAATAGGAAAGTGGAAATTAAATTTAGCAATCTAAATTACATGACCTCGTATCGTACTCGTAGTTTTATATTTGAAATTTAACTTTATTACCGTGTCTCATAACAATTATATCTAATCATGTTTTTTTTTTATGTGAAATAATTCAGATAATGTTTGTTTCGAATTATATGTTCCCGTCTCGTATCCATTCCTATAAGTTTATATATTTTTTTAATAAATAACACCATTTACATGTAACTAAATATAATTTTAATATATGTAAAATTTCATATAATCGTCCAAAAGTAGAGATTTATACGTCTCAAAGTTGAATTTTGTTCAATATTTTGAGATTTTAAGAATTAAATATAACTACCAATTTTTTTTTATTTCAACCGGTTATCCAAAACTTATATATCATATTTGTCAAGGATAGTT